CTGCTACCCAGGTGCCCTGTGTTCACAATGCCCCCAACGCTTATTGCTGCCGGAGTAGGCAATAATCAGCTTGATCGCAAATGGTATAGTAGGCACATGGTCAATATTGCTGCCGGAGTAGGCAATAATCAGCTTGATCGCAGATGGTATAGTAGGCACATGGTCAATACTAAAAAAAACGACGGCGAATTATTATAATGCCCATACACGGCGATATCATGCCGGACTAATGCCACGCCAGTTCGCTAGTTTGTCAGCACACGTGTTCAACCTCCCACGCAAAGCGCAGACGAGAATAATGTTTTGACCCCGACTGATCCTGGTGGGTCAACCTGAGAAATCGGTAACTGTAGGCACGTCTGAAGTCAGGCAGGGCCTAGCACCAGAATCCTCCCCCCGTGGCCTCGGAGGGCTGGTCGAATTTACCTCCTTGGTGATGGTAAACAGAGCGTGTATTCCCACACGAGTCTCTATCTCTCTCCATAAGTATCTCTCTCCTGCCAATATGCAAACCAGGCAGATAGAAACCCCAAGATTTCAAATGTTAGACATGGCAAATATCCAAAGGCGACTTCTCACCGTGACCTACTGCTTGCTACCCAGGTGTGTCCACACCTCTTTCTGTACTGATCGAACACTCGACTTGCTCGATGCCTGTGGTCACAGGTTAACGTATCCTAAAATTGGTATACTCAAAGAAAATGGACCCGAATGGTCCACAAACCAAAGAAATCAACAACAGCTCGTCTAGAGCTCTCCGCTCGCCTCTACACGCTCACAGAAACAAGAGAAGACCAGGTGGAAAAGAATAGAGAAAATATGAAAGAAAGAGAACACGAAAAAGAAACGCGCCGAAGTCACTACTGCGACGAACAAACAAAGGTAAACAGGGCCACTAGCGATAGGAAGCGCACGTCCACTTGTGGGGGTTGATGAAATCATGCATTGATGGGGAGGGGGTGGGGGGTTTACTTATTCATGCCATGGTTGTTAGACCTAGACTTCGCATTCCTACAAAGCCGGGACGGAGCACACCGGGCTTTCACCGGACCAGGCTCTCACATCAACAAGCGCAGAGCGCGGTGAGGTATTCAGCGAGTCGCATGGCGGGTGCGCTGCATGCTGCGAAGGTTGTTCGGCATCTTGTGCTTACTTCCTTCCATACGGAAGACAGCTGCGAATGATAAACTGTATTTGCTGGTGCTTTCACTTCGAGAGACCGTCATGAGCACTGTGTAGCGCTACCTCGAGGGTGCTTGACCAATACGAAGTACAACACAAAGTGGTGCAAGCATCCCCTTTTTACGCGGAGTGAGGGTTATCGACCCCACACAACATGATCTACTCGACCAACACTATGCTTACTGCAAGATGATGGTGGGTGTGGGAAATTAGTCAAGGAGCCAATTCGGTACAGGTCGCGCTAATCGGTCTGCTTCTTCTCGTTTGATTTCTTCCCTCGCCGTCTCGTCCGTCTGCTGCCCCGCTCCAGCCCCATTCTTGCCATGTCTGAGATATATAGTTCTGAGCTTGTTCCTCGTTTGAGCACTCGTTGACAGCTAGCCTCCATTTTATTATTATTTTGCCAGGAGGTCATGAACATGTTCGTCCCCTGCCGTACCCCCGTATGCCATGGTACATCCCGCTTCACCTTCGCTGCTTCGTCCAAGTTAATTGCGGGACTCCGAAAACGCATGGCTCGGCGTCCGTAGATCCGACCTTTGCCTCGAACGCATAAAGGCGTCATTTAGGTACACCTGCCAGTTCTGCTCCGGTTCACCCCTGTCTGGCCTTCCCCCCCTACCAGTTCGCCAAGCACAACGGTTTCGTGAGTCACCCGTTTGGTTGTCTTGCCAATGCTCCCGCGGAAAGTAGGCGCCATTGCTGAACAGTGTCTTCTACGCTCTGGCACCCTACCCTCAGCAGAGTCTGGGCGTAAGAAATCTGCCGGTATATGTCCTTAAGTTGTTGACCGATAACTCGCAGCTGTGTGGTATCTGGCACCCTACCCTTTTCAGAGTCTGGGCGTAGGAAAGCTGCCGGTAGATGTCCTTCTTACGCTGTTTACCGATAACTCGCAGCAGTGTGGTATCTGGTGTCACCCTCGGTACCAGGCTGTCTCTTTCCAACGACCAGTCGTCATCGTGTACCCAGCAACCGCGTTTTTGAAACAGGTTGTCTCTTTGCAGTTGCTGATGTGCACCAGCAGCCGTTTCATCGAGATACGTTATCTCTGTGCAACTGAGGTTCTTGGTTCATACATTGAAAGGACTGCACATCCGAAAAGGACTGCACATCCGAAACACGGTTCGTTGGTATAGCTCCCACCACAAAATGTGCTGCTCCAACTTCAGTAAAATACTTAGCTTCTGCGCCTAAAAGTGAGTGAGCTTAGACGTAGGTCAAGATGCATCAGTAGGATGCACGAGCATCCGCCACGGACTCTGTAACCGTTGTTGTGCTTGGCGGATGATAGGCAATCACGCAGCGAACCAACAGGCTCCGACGGCATGTTCCCCTTGGAGGTTTGCATTGCCATGGTCATTGATATTTTTTCAGGATGCAGGTTTTACACGTTCTACCTACGGAAAGAGGACCGGAGTGCTTGGTTCGCTTTCTTTTTCGGAACACTTTCGATCGTTGGAGGAAATTTGTGGACAGGGCTCTACTGGGGACTCGGACATGGTGCTTGGACATGTTGATGGCACTTACCCTCTTGTTGTATCATCCGCGGGGCCTCTGTTGATTTCTGGACAGATGTTGTATTGTAATCTCTTGTCTTCTCTTCTACCCCCCTCTATGGGGGCTTGGGGGCCTAGTCTCCCCCCCTTAGTGACCCTGGGAAGGTGCCCTAGGGGGTCAACGGAGGATAGACCTCTCTTGTTCATGTATTTTTACAAGTGCTTGTTTCGCTTCCGTTCTCGCAACAATTGCCAAGAATGGGAGGACGCACTTCCAAGACGCGTACTACGAATCGTCACACGTATCCCCGTAGACAGGATCTCTCTCTCAAGAATGATCAAGAGAACTGGAAGGAAAACGGCCGGAGGCCCTCTGAATGTTACCGGTGCAACATCGGGGACCGACAGGAACTCCCAAAATTAGTGATCGAGAGAAATACTCTGTGGTCCAGATTCGGTAGTCACCCCAGGTGGGGAAAACGTCTCTAATCTCCAATAATTCCTAAACGAAACAGGAAAACCCTCCCAGAAGAGTCTTCCTTTCTAAAATACAAATAACCTATTTGGATGCGTCCGCATGGAGTCCACGAATTGGACACACACGCATTCTTCTTGGCGTGGAACGGGATGTTGGTCAGCAGGCGACGAGCGTTGGTGTTGAGCTTGGGGGTGCAGATGACAAACCTCGGAGAAACGAAACGTGTTCGTGCGTGTTGCGTACAACATTACAGGGGACAATCCGAATGACTCCTCCGAGAAGTTTGATAGGACACTAAGCACCGCACCCATTTGGTGCCACTTGAAAGACCACACGATACTACATACATCCAAGTACAGTATCGTCTTGTGACAACGAGGCCTTTGGCGATCGCATCCTACCTTTGTGTGCAGGCGGACTGCACACACAAAGTACCACTATTATTTTTTGTCTTGTCTGGCCATCCATGATGGGGTTCAACACAAGCAACAGAGCATCCATTTTGAAACATCAATGTACGCGAAACCAACTGGAGCAACCAAGTTGAAAACGCCGAACACTCCCTACTCCGGCGCATCAATCCCAACCGTCACGATGCTTTTGCACCTGTAGGCGTCAACCGACCAATCAATACCACTACACTATGACTGGGCAAACGCTCTGATGTCCAACTGCGTGACGGTCTAGCGGCGTGTGCTGCGAAGAATGCCATCTTTGCCTTACGGAGGAAGTGCCCGGCCTCGCCAATGCCACACGACTCCGCGTACTCTTCTAGAGGACCAAAAATCCCAGACAGTTCCGCGAACGATGGCGGCGCCTTCATCCCTCCACCTCTCTCACTCGCAGAATCTTCGGTGTTGTCTAGCTCTACCTCTTTGTCACAAAATGTGTCTGTCCTCTTTGACGTACATGTTGCCAGCGCTCTACATAAAAAAATCTCCCCTGCGTCTTTGGACAGAGATTGCGGTGAAAAACAGGGACGCTCCCGCGTTTTGAATTGCCACTTTTGGGGGGGTGAGATGCCCAAAATGCCACTATTGAGTATTGTATCGGGTTGAGATTGTGACAAGAGATTTTGATGCCACTATTGAGGGCATTTCACTATTCAGGGTGCCGCTATATCGGGACCACTACTCTACACAGCTACGTACTCCTCCTGTAGAACCTATAATACTTTCAGAGGAATGCGGGACATCCCCCCTACGTAACGATGGGTGTCATTAAAGCACCACACTATTATTTCACGCAACATACGGCGGGAAAAAAGCGTGCACAAAGCAAAATTACGGAGTGCGGAGGGTGCGGCGTACGGAGTGAAACGGCGCCGCAGTTCGTGCCGCAAGCATTGAAAGCGAGCACTGAGAAAGCGAGCATGGAGTCTACGAACTGGACGCGCGCCAACTGCTTGTTGAGATAGGAGGTTTACTATACCGTTTGTTGTTGGTGGGCTGACGAGAACGGATAGCACTACCTCTAGCTGTCGACGTGGTTGTCGAAGCACATCACGCTCTTCGTGCACCTCTCTTCATGCACCTCGGCGGGAAAAACAGAAGCACACACATACATACCGCGAACAAGGACAGCAGCATTCAGCAGCTGTCTACAATGCACGACACACAATGATCAAAGAGATACGTCCCGCCGCCGCAGAAACAGTCATTTTGATACACTCAACGGAAAGCGACTACTGCATGATACCCCCTCTACGTGACAATAGGGTGTAAGTTGTATACTCTGTTGTTCTAGCACAACAGTTTTGTGCACCTCACGGCGGCGGCGGCGGTAACACACTCTTTGTTGAGAATAACCAACATTATAGCTATTGTATCATATTGCGAAGTGCGGAATGCGGAGAAGAAATGTCCGGCAGTCACACGTACTGAATCTAAGTGTGTGTTAGCATGTCGTGGTAACTCACGAGCTGAGAATAGTGTGAGAGACAGACCGACAGACAGACAGACAGAGCACGAGACATACGTACAAGAGAGCCATACGCCCTCCGTTGACCCCCTAGGGCAGCCTCCCCACAGGGTGTCAGGGTGGAAGCTAGGACCCTAGGCCCCTATAATTAACCGAACCTACGTGATTCTGAAAATCCGAATCCTTTTCGTCCCACACGATGGTCAGCAAAAATCACATCGCAACAAGGCAAGCGCCTGGAAGATGTACAGGCGAAATGATACGTAGTGTTCCCTACTTTTCGATCGAAGAGCTCATCACCATTGCGCAAAATCACCGGCCGTCGCCGGCAGTGCCGGGGAACGGGGAAGACAAATACCGGCCCAGCGCATCACCGTCGGCCTTCTTGTTGCTGAGATCACGTACCAACTCAAGCTCATCTCTGGACTTCAATGCTCCTTTGGGCAAATACCCCTCGACAGCTGCTCCGTGTTGCTCTAGGAGTCGGCGACGAGCCTCTTCCACCACCTGAACAGACCAAATCATGGCGGTCTCAGTTCAAATTGGGCCTGTACAAGGTTCACAGTTCTATGAGGAGAACACCATCCTCTCCACCATGAGGTGTTGCCCTTGGCGTGTAGGGTATGAAACGGACACGACCGGCACCTTCTGGCCTATTTGAATAATCAACAATCAGGCTTCATCATTAATCCGACAGATGCAAATGCGATGCGGGAATAGGTTACATGTGTATATATCATTTCGATGTTCTTCGTGCTTCGGCATATCTATCTTCTCTCGCACCAGCGAGTCTTTTCTCCCGGTTCCTTCTCACGGGCACGCGCGCAGGGGGATCGTCCGTACATTACGGCGTATGCCCGAGGACAGCAAGGCACCCATGCCACGAGCAACCGGCGCCCAAAGTCGCCCCGACTGGCTCCATTTCGCGGGGTGCATTCAACACATTTTTGTCAATCGCACGAACAAGAGGCTTACGCGTTGGCGATAGAGCTCTCGTTCCCTCTCGGCCTGAGCGTCCTTCATCTCGAATTCCTTCTCCTTTTCGTATAGGACGGCGCGTTCCTCTCTTTGATCCTGGCATCAAAAGGACATGTTGATACACAATTGACAAAATGTTCTTGGAGAAAACTGTAATGTTCACGCAAGCCACTCACACGTATGGTGAGGTATTTCATGGATTTCTTGCAGCAGTTGCCGCCAAGACGTCGCTGCACGCCAAAAGCTGCTCCACCGCGTGTTTGCTTTTTTACAATGAACGCCACGGACCGCGCGCAACGGTTCTTATTCCCAGGGAGGAAAAGAGGGGTACTCACCTCGATGTTCTTCTTGTGCTCCTTCTTCATGCGTTCGCGTAGCTCCTCTCCCCGCTTTTCCCGTTCCTCATCCTCCTATGAAGATACGTTGACAACGGGAGTCGGGCTATCACAAGTCGTTCATGATAAAAACCGTCCTGACCTACAACATCCAGGGTCTCTTCCCTACTCTTCAAGGTAAACGAACGAAAAACCAAAGAAGGTCCACGTGGAATACGCAGGGAGGGTCCCTAACACAGAATCAACAAGTGCAGGGAGTGTGTTGCCTAGGACGCAAAACATACAAGAACTTCGAGCCCGTTCGTCGGCCACGCACTCGGAAGGTGAGTGATTCCACAAAAGTGGAGTACCCCAGTAGCACTACGTGAACACAATTAGCCGAAAGAAACATCAAGATAGGCTTCAAAACGATGACGCTTGCAACACCTATGCATATGGATGGTCACACTCATTCGAAAATCTCCACTTCCGCAATGCAATCAACACAAGGACACACACGCAGTACTGCCCTGCCAGAAGGCGTGCATGCTGCCGTAGACAAGGCTGCCCACGAAACAACACCGGAGAGATCTTAAGGGCAGAAATGGGAGATAGACACTCGGGTTAGTCGTGACCTCCGCAGTGCGGCCTGCTGTGAATTATAGCACGTCACACATGAACAACACGACAGAACGGCTCTGTAGGCGCGACCATATGCTGTCTGCATGACAAAACGAGGCACCATGCCGCTTGAGACGTCATGAACAAATAGTCTCGGGTGCGGCAGGCACTCCCAACTCGGGATTCGGTGAAAGACCAAAGCCACGCGCAGATACCCCGCACCTTGAACTTGTTCAACATGATCTGAATGAGGCGGTTCTCTTCTTCCTTTTCGGCCGCGCGCCGCTCCTGTCTCTGCCTGAGCTGTTCCTCATTCGCCTCCATCATGGCCAGCTTGCTCTCGGCCGCCTGTTGAGACACCACAACATGGGCAGGCAGATGAGCCATCCAAGAGGAGCGCATTGCAGCAAGATTCCTGTTCTCCCCTACAACCGTGACAACGCATAGCTAGGAGTCTGCCAAGAATCGTAGCCCTCTTCTCAAGCCACGAACATCATTCACGTCCGCCGAGTCGATAGCCACCTGGGGCATAAATATCTCGGAAGTAGAAACCAAGGTACCTTCCGCTTGCGATCTTCGTCGTCCTGGATGCGCTTGGCTTCCAACTCCTCCTCCCATAGCATGTCTCTGCAACAAACAAAAACAACAAGCACAGAAACACGTTTGTTCAAACCATTTACCAGGTATACCATACTTCTCCTGGTGTCAAATAACGCCACCCTTGCTCAAACGAAGAACACAACACTGTTGTATCACCCACCTCAGCATTCGCAGCTCATCTTCCTCGTTGTTTTGCTTCTCTGTCTGTTCTACAACAGCCTTGAACGCTGCGTCGGCGGCTACCTTCTTGCGCAGTCTCTCCTCCTCCGCTTTCGCCTCACGCTGGGCGACCATCTCCATGTATTTCCGTATGTTTTCCTTCTCTTCCTGCCGTCGCCGCATTGTTGGATGGTTGAATTCTAAGGTAGAACTATGACATTCTTGCAGCAGAACATATCTGCTCCGCATTGTAAGGCAGGGGACTTCGCATGCCACTAAAGCTGAAAAGCAAGCCTGCAGCCCACACATGACACCGGCTCCGCCTTCTGCAAGAAGTGCTTGACCGCCATGACCTGCCACAGAGCTATACGAGACCTCCACTGCACCCCTGGTCTACGACGACATACCTTCGCATTCGCGCGATGGTTGTGTTTTTTGTGTTTTCATTTTCGGAGGTATAGGAACGTCAAAACCCAACATGGCCGGCCGAACTAAGCTATAACATTGGAAGCCAGCCCAACCCACCTTCTCCTGTCTGGCGCGATTGGCGAGTTCGGTAGCCCGTCGCCTCTCCGCCTCTTGTACAGTGCGCCGGGTTTCTTCCCTGCCCCCCCGCGAAACAAGACAATAAAAAAACAAGACGGATAGTACCCACAAGTGTCAACACCTTACCGTAATGATTTTATGATTTTATCACTGCTCTTGTTGTCTTCGTTATTGGACGTAACTCAGCCCGGCGAGGGCGGGGGTGGAGAAACTGTCCTTAATTTGCCTGAGGCCTCCAACGCACCGCCTGGTGCGGTGTTTGCCTTCAACTCGACAGCGACAGGGTTCTGGATGTCTTCAAGAAATAATAAGAAAAACTTGCCTTAAGAGTTGAAACGACGGATATACATTAAATCTGGATTCACATGGCCCGATGTGTCTTATCGAGAGGGGCCAAAAACGACATGAGAATCAACTACTGCCAGTGCAACGAGCCGAATATGCTGGTGTTTGGCATTTGCCAGTCTTCCTTCGTACTGACAGGTCTCACACTTGACGCGGACATGATGCGAAGGCTGTACTTTACGTCGCCTGTTGCATGGTTCAAAAGCGAACCAAAGCGAAATGCAAGTAGCTACCTTGCTCACGGTGCGTGTGTGCATGTCAGATAGCAAGCAATGCGGGGAGCGCCACGCACAACAACAGCATGCACACACGCAGTTTCAATACTACTCATGTGAAATCACCCACAAGGTGTACCGTGCCCCCTCCCCTCTCTCTCCGGCTGTGTGCAGCGGTGGATTGTGCATGGTGTGTGCGCACACGGGTACGCACGCCATGCGTGCAAGTAGACCGCGTATCACCACTGCTGTCGTTTCCAGTCCGCCCAAGCCAGATTTGCAATCGGTGTTTACATGTTGTAAATCTAGGTTTTGGGCAGAAGTCTCTCTTTAGATGTGACGAGTTGGACAGCACTCTCTACAACCAATGAACATGACTAGTTCCGGCTCGGCTCTAAATCCCCCCAAACTTAAGATGATCGACAATACCCTGGTCCATGTTTGGTGCCCGCAGACATGGCACGGAAGCTCGAATTCTGACGTAAAATGTCGCAGAACCTTGCAAGCCTACCAAATAGGCTATTTGATACTGAAACAATCGAGGTGGCCCTAACTTACACAAAAAAAAAAGAGGAAGCTCGTGATTATTCGTACCGTTTTTCGTTTGCGTAACAGAGTTATTGCAAAATGCACAGACTCTATATCCTCCCTGAACTTCACGCTCTATCTCCACTTCTGTTCACAACTGCCTCTAGGTCTCGGACATACCTACTCTTGAGGTACTGCTCTTGTTCTGCCCTCTCCTCTGCTTCGATTTTCTTGACAATCACATCCACCATTTCGCGATCACGATCCGCTTCCATCATCGCCTGGTGGTTGGAGGAAGACAAAGAGCAAGCATTTCAGACACAACAATTATTGCTGTACTGCTGTAAACTGTAAACGCACGGGATATGTAGTGAAGAAGCCAATTGGCCATGCTCAAGCCTCTGTAGACCCCCAGCTCAAAGTGAATGAGCAAGTGGAACACACCATGCCATGCGCCATTCGGTAGGCGATGTTCCGTGCCACTTTGCGTCGTACTCCGGAACGAAGGGGGGAGGCTCGAAACACCTACCGTCACTCTCTTCCTATGCAATCTAATGTGTGACCGACACTTCAATTTGTGCTGTACTGGTATGCACCAATCGCAACCTTGAACCGTATCTCACTCACCTCACGCTTGAGGCTCTCCCTCTCTTGCATTTGCGCATGCAGGGCACCCCTTTGTACCTCGAGTAGCTTCTTCCTAGCTGCTACCTTGTCTGCCTCCGTTTTTAGAGCCATCTGCCGGTCGTGTTCCATCTATATGGTATTGCAACGAAACAGTTGGACAGCGAAACGACAAAGCAGAGGAAGGGTAGCTGTCAAAAAGAACCAAAGGTTGCGCCAGCGTGAGATCAAACATAGCGCCACTTCACCACTTAGCGGCCTGGAGCGCTTGCTGCAGGTTGTTATCACGCGCTCACTGCTGGGAAACGGAATATTTGGCTACCTGAACCGCCTTGCTATGTAGAATACAGCAGAAGGGCAGTGAGGAGTTTCGGGCCGGTAGAACACCCATCACACCGCAGCAGAACGTACTACAGTTTACATGGTATCGGGGAGTGCCTGCTCGGGATGTTGAACGTCTGCGTCCTGGACCACCACGCCACCTTACCTTATCGGCTATGGCCTGCTCTTTGTCGTTCTCCACCTGACGCAGGAATCGATTCTCCTCGTACTGCGCTGCTCGCTCCTTGTTCACATACGCCACTTTGAGGCGCTATCGCACAGTATCGCACAGTACATGGGTGTATCACGAAACATCAAATCAGCATGCGAGTGCGTGCTGTCTGTCTGGGTACGAGCGACCTCCAAGACAATGCCTTATTCGTGCATTAAGGATCTATTTCAAACCTTGCGCCCAACAAGGAATTGCTTCGTTCTGGGTTCGTCCAAAATGAAAAAACAGAAGGTGATCACAGAGTGTACCTGTTCAAGGGCCTTCAGTTCTTCGCTCTCTTGGCAAATCCGCTGAATCTGGCCATAAAAGCAACGTTTGGGCGGGGGGTTCGAGGACAGTCAGGAAAGGCAGCAACACACAAGAGTACAGATATATTGGGACTTTGCCGTATGTTGCGGACTTACAAGTGATAGACAGGGTAGCGAAATTGCACCATACACCGCCGTGACCACACATGGCTCCAGTTCAAATAGGAAAGCAAGGCCGAAATTCGAGGCCAAGAGAACGGCGAACCCCATCAATAAATAAGCCAGTTCTGCCAGGATGAAAGTAAACGATCCATCAGTTTTGGTGAAGGTTAACACACAGCCATCCCCAGCTCACCTCCACCTCTTCCCTGGTCTTTGCGGCCCTCCGTTTCTGCAGCTCCTCGGCAATGCTTTGATTTTGTTGCGACATGCGTTCCTTCCTGCGCTCCATCGCCTGCAAAACAATTCCACATCAAACAGACCGGATACAGCAGCATTGTGGCAACTCGCAAGCCCAGCGAGAGGATGTGTATGAAACTTTGTATTTATGTAAGCAAGAACAAAGTAGCGTACAAGGTAGGATCTAATGAGATGATACAGGCACTCCCCAAGGAAGTGGCAAATTTGTAAGCCAACCCCGGACAGTGGTGCTTTTTCTACTCTCGAAAACGGTACTTGGAGGATGAACAAGGTACAGAAGTGCATGACCTTTTTGGGCGCCCGTCAGGGTGTTCCCTCTACGTTTGCGCATTCCACTGCGGAAAATATGAAGACTGTTCAAATGAAGCATTTCCTTCGCAAAGTATACCACCCATAATGGTACTTGTACCGGACCCTGAAGTACTTGGCTGGTGCTTGGTGCCTGTTTCCTCCTTTTCAACGGGGTAGTAACATGGCCAACATCAGCTTACCACTTGCTGTTTTCGCTGGGCCTGAATCGCTTCTTCAGCTTCGATCTGAGCCGTGGCGTTGGTGCGGCGTTGAAAAGCGAGCCTACGTCAAACGGTACACGCGATGGATGGATCCAGTGAGTGTTGTAATATATTATAGCAGCATTGTAGGGTAGGCGTGAAATGGCCTCGAAGGGCACGACCGACCACCTCCGTTAAGCTCTTTTGGAGCCACGTATGTCGCACAAAGTGACACTTGCGGTGCCAATAGAAACGGATCTCAAGAACTTATCTGCATGAGCAACTGTTGTCATACTAGATTCCTACAGTGAAAGAAAATGTCATCACCGCAGAGTGCCATGGCCAACATGTCAAATGAACGCGACTACCGTTCACGACCGAAGTTTATGGCATAAAGGAACAGCGCTCAAGCTACTGGACGTCTGAATGCGTACAGTGTTTCGTGTCCTCTACTGTACAGATTTCGTGCCTAGACCTTATCTCATTCAGTTTTACTGCTCTGGGTGTGTGACCTTTTTTGCTTGATTCACGTACCATCAGTTTTCATGTCGATAGCTGAATCGATAGCTACGTCTTCCTTTGTTTGCAGCATTTTTTTGCTTTTGGTACTCGTGGACTTTGGCCAAGGGACAGTCCATAACTGCCCACACTGCTGAACTGCAGAAACACGCGCCTTTAGTCCAAGTTCAACACTGGGTGTGCTGAGACAATAAGCCATTTCAGGGCGTCCGTACGACGACGTATATCTACTAATTAAGTTAATTGAAATATTTGAAGGAATGTGACGTTCCGTTACTAAACTATAAAATTTGCAAGTGCTTTTTTTTCGACGTGTCAAGCCGGATTCGATCGCTCGATTACCTTGGGGTTGACCCCAGCCATGAAAACGATAGAGCGATCGAATCTAGACAGACCCAAGAATTGGTCGTGATGGGATGGTGGCAAGTAATATTCCCGACAAACATAACGTACAGCGGCGCAATGCACGTATGTATGTCCTCATGTTGTCAACACGATCAATTCTTAACAACATTACAGTACAATGTACACAGCAATTGGACATGGTTGCAACATCACCTCCGTGGATTACCTCAGACACATTCGTATCACACACACACGTGTAAGCGGGCACACAACAGTAGATCATGGGTGTCTGTCTCTGCTATACGGCGTGCTACGCCGAACGATTGAAACAACCCGTGTGGGGTAGCGTGTACAACAATGCAGCAGCAGCAGGGATTAGGTCTGTCTCCGGGACGTAGACAGCAAATACAAATAAGTAATGTAGTGAGGATATCAATCATGCACACACTACTGCACGTACACAGGAGGAGCAGATTGGATGTATGTCTCGCGACCACGTTTGTAACGATTGCTTGTCGGCCGGACTGCACACACACACGTCCGAAACGCACTTCCGCCTCGCCAACATTCATACCCACGGCTGACAACCTTGGTGACACCTGCGCACAGCTTGTACATCATCACTCCCACCGCCAACGGCACTTGAGCACAGCTTCTACATCGGTAATGTGTGATACCAATGCGTCCATGATTACCAATGTACGATGGAGCACAGCACACCGACGGCGACTTCGCAAGCAGGACGAGGACCGCACGTCCTAAATTATGCCCGCAACAAAGTGGCTGTCATTGAGGGGTAGCGCGCTATCCGCTCCAAAAACACAGTCCCGATCAACGGCAACATATATACGGGCAGAGGATGCAATTATGGTAACATCCGTAATTCGTATCATCGGGATTTTCAACGTCGGAATTAGCGGCCGTGCACAAATATGTGTGCAAACGAGTAAAAAAATGAAATCGTTATCAATAAATTTAGGCTGGAATTCAACGGAAGGTTGGCGGGGCGTATTTTGTACTCTTGTGGGGAATGTGTAAATCGCGCGGGAAAAAGACACGATATTCATTCGGTGGGGCCAATGCTCGTTTCGTGGGACTGCTGTCGAGTATCTCTTTGCATTGTCGCCTATGCTTCTGTCTTATTGGTCCTTTTGGGTTCCTGCTTTGCACTTGAAAGATCACGTGTTGATTGGCAGGATCGTACCAAATGTGGAGTTCGAGAGAGGGTTGCGGTGCTGTCATTCGAGTCTTTGTGAAAATATGGATACATAGCGCAGGAAAACAACGGCAGACTAGTGTACCGAGTAGGTTGCGATAGAGGATTCAATTAGTGCATCGGTATCGATACGGGAGCATCAATAGTTTATATAGTATCATAGGGTTTTTGTCAACGTCGGATATAGCGGCCGTGCACGAATATGTGGTGCAAAGGAGTCTACAGTAAAAAGTAGAAAGCGATGGAAGATAACGGAGAGTTGAGGTGCTGTGTTTGGTGCAATGTGGGAATTATGTCAAGCGAAGCGAAGAAGCGCACGGTATTCATTCGATGGGGCCGATGCTCGTTTCGTCGGACTGCTGTGGAGTCTCTCTTTACATTTTCCATATTGTATGCTGCCAATTTCCGTTGCCTGCTTTACACTTCAAATTTCACGTTTTGATAGGCAGAATCGTGTTTACGCTATTGGTTCACCTCTGAAAATAGGCTACCGTGTACAAACGAGTGCACAATGTATAACGTTTGTACCGTTCCAACAACCAGACAAAAAATCCCACCCTTTTCACTCTGCATTGCATGTACTGTATTCGCTATTAATAGTCATCATCAGGGTTTATTACTGTACTGCCTGATGATCATGACCATCGACTCGCACACATTGGCCTTTTCCATCCCGGTCATGTTCGTTAAAAATTCTTGTAGCCGTTGTTAGTCACCGCTTTCTTCTCAGCCTGCTACTCCATAATCATTGGTCTTTCACCTTGCGATTCAGGCCCCGTTGCCCTCTGGGGGCGGCGGGGTCTTTCAGTCTACCGTGCGATGGTGAACATGTAAATTATGCAAGTGGTGTGGAACTACAAGCCTTATCTCTACACTTTTCCGTATCGTTCATTTCAAATCACGGCGTTTGCATGCACACTGATGTGTTAGCAACGGCGACGTACCTTCGCTCGTTGTTCGCGGCGTGTGTGAGCATTGAGTTTTCCTCGTTGTATTTGGCCAATTCGTTCTGATACAGCTCCTCCGCTCGTCGTTGTGTCATCATCTGCCGATTGATGGGTCAGCGGGGATCATGTCGTTATATCGGCAACTGGGTACACAGGTGAGCGCTGCGTACAGAGTTACAAGTGCTCTTGTTGGCAGACATGAGACAGACGGATACTAGATGTACTCATGACAGCTGCCTAAGGCAATATAATCCGCCCGACAGCCTCTACAAACGGATAAATCATTGTATTTCCAGCAGCACTAAAGCAGTAGATGATGTTATCGAAGCTGGGCATGGAGACAGAGGAGAAAAAGAAACGTCGGAATTTCTTGAAAGCTCGGATGCACTTGTACATACTGCTGTACACACATGCCCTTAGAGCGTGGAAGTCAACTGTACAATGCACCTGCTGATGCTAGCTGTACAAGGTAGGAAGGCTGTACAAGGTAGCTGCTGATGCTAGCTGTACAAGGTAGGTCTGCTGAGCTACAAAGCTGCTTATAATATCAGGGAGCAGGAGAGTGCGGCCCAACCGCCCATCGGCCCCTCTTTCAAGATCTGCACCTGATCCACATATGCAGCCGTCATCCGCGGCGGTGCCCTTGTTCGGGTAGTCATGATGAGAATGGTGAACTAACCCCCGTCCGCACTGCAGCCTGCCTTGCTGGTGCAGGGTGTGAGCTTGCCTGTAGGTCTGCTTCGACAATAATTCGCGAAACTTCAAAATATCAAATGGTCAAAATATCAAAATATCCTTTCGTCGATCACGCCGCATCGGCGGTTACATTTGTTTTGCATCAAGAGCGTACATACATGCATGTGTCCGCTGCCGGATGATCAGTGCAGATATTTCTCGTGAAGAGCTAGACGACGATGATGCCACCGCGTGCAGGGATTGTTTATGACCGTAATGAAGGGGGCGTAGCCAGTTGCGTTAGAGAGGTGCAAAGGCCAGGGACACCGGAGGCAATACGCAAGTGGCGCCGTTCTGGCACGTCGCCTCCCGGCCAGCGTGTTCTCCATCCTGGCCAGATTGGAGACGCTCAAGATGTCGACCCCAAAATATCCTTCGGGAGCGGGGGAGTAAAAGCAAGTGACCACGTCGGGGACATCTGGCTTCAGGTATGGGATGGTGAATACAGCACGAAGCAGATCGCCCTAAACATGAAAATTTTATATACAATACATACATTATTTTCGTACACATTTGTGAACGGGCACCTCTCTCTGTAGCTGCTGCATTTAGCAGTAGACTATACGCCCTTCCCCCGATGTGGCGTGGACAGTGCTCGATGTTGTTCTGGTTTTTGGAGCGCATATTTCTGGAGACTACGACAGCAATGTTGCCGTAGCCAGGGGTGACTTGATCTGAGCCCCTACAATTGTATTTGAACATTTGCTGGTACATATGGTATAGTTTTATATGGGGAAATGGTAGAGTACATGCGCATTCACAGCTGATGAAACCCGGTGGTGAAATGCACCCAGCCTACAGTACAGTAGTAGGGGGACGAGGACATAATACCTTGATTGGTGGCCTTTCATTCTTTGTGTTTCATTTTATTTTGCTTGGTCGCGCGTGTCGATCGGACCCGTGGGCTCTGTGATTGGGATCCGTGGACTCTGCCGGGTGTTGGTCGACTCGTTTGTCCGGCACATCTACATATCTCCTGCTACCAACTTTGACTGTTTGGAGACTTTCGGTAGACTAATATTGTGTTTGGTCAGTTGGACCAGAATGGATATGAAGATGTTAGCAGAGCTCGGAACGTTTGTAAAGTCAAGACATCGCGAGCATAGCAAATTAACAAATTAACCCCAGGCAATAGAATACAGAGAGCACCTCACAATAACGGAGAACAAAGTCAAAAGCCATTACTTTGCCGTCCCTGTACGACAGCCCGGTGCGGACACGGACGTAAATCGGCTAAAGCTCGCACTCGCCGAGTCTGTGTATCGCAGCACCAAGCGAGAACCTTTGGGCAAGGGCTACCAACGGGGACATCAGCTACCACCGAAGGTACGATGTCCATGCCTGTTTTTCCAGCAAGTCGCTCTGCGGTTTTACGAGTTGATTGGGCGCGTTATGCACTCCCTGTCCATGCCAGTATATTTATTGGTGCGGAGTCCTAGTCAACTCAAGATGCCAGTGTAGGCCGCATTGTCAGTTTGAAGCATATCTCCTGGAATAAAATATTTCCTTCTCTAGTGACCCAATTGTAAAGAGGTTAACACTCGCAGTGCACATTCAACTCCCACCACCGTTGCCCCTGAAACAGGTCAAAAGCGATGCGTTCACGTTCGGGGTTTCCTCAGACAAGAGTGAGGCGGCCAAGTCTTTGCTGTACCCACACCCATCAGCCGTGGACATGGAGGTATATCAATGTAATCCCCAAAGCATAGCCGCTGGGGTTGACAAGTGGGGCAAATGAGGTAGCATGTGGTACCGTTTGTATCGCATACCACTGACCACAACACGTAGTGATACATCAGTCAAGCGCAACCTTGATTCTTCGCCGGATGTCTTGGGGTGCTGGAAGTTGGTTGTCATTCGGATCACGTTGTTACATCCCTCACCTCGCTGCATTCCGTCATGATGGGGCGGAGGAAGGGGTGTCAGTCATGCTGCGGGAGAACTCGAGATTGCGGGGACCATAGGGTTGACACGAGAGGTACAAACCGACAACGAACCCGTTTTGCGCGGTCAGCGTGCTACTAAAGACATGATCATCTGTGGCCGACTACAGTTTAGGACTCCTCCTGTTGTTCGATGATCCAGTTGCCTTCATGCATGAGTAGAAAGAATGCCCACAGCCCTCGAGATGTTACCAAACAGCCATCACAACGACGAGCTTCAAGGCGACGGAAAATGTGTGTTTTTTGAAGTCCTGCCTTATCTTGAGATTAACGCTATCACCCTTCTTGCCACATAAACACTTCGCAACAAGGAAAGCGGCGCTAGATGTGGACCCGGGGAACAACGTCGGCGCGGTTACATCTGGGACGTGGATATCGAGAACCATCGATTTGGCCGTCCTGGAAGTCTCGCATCTCCTCTTTGTCTGGACAGCGGAAGTGAACCCAGCAGGCTCGTGTCGAAGAAGCTAGACGACTTCAGGGAGACGCAGGATACTATTGGACGTGCAAAAAACCTCGGCCATGACCCTCGGAAAAAGCTTGGGAAGGTATTTCGAGTATCCGAACAGCAGAGCTAAGCTCTCGACTCTGCCGTACTGTCATAAACTGATTTTGCGAAGAGTTAAACCTTGGTGCCCGTAACTTTTTCTTGTGAAATCTCTCTTTGCCGGCTTTATTTCGCTAGAGGTCTATAGGGCAAAACCCAGCATTGTGATGTGCTGTGATGTTTGGCAACGCAGCATGTGTACGGCAAAGAAGCGGTCAAGCGCGGACCAAACGAATGGGATGCGAGGAGCTGCGTGGAAGGCAACTACAGCTGGGCAGAACAACAACCAGACAACGATCTAGGCAAGTCTATTACGCCTGGTTTCCGCAACGCTATTGCAGAAGGGCGAGCATTTGGGGTCCCAAGCATCCGCTCGGACATCCAGCCTTATGCACAGCGCTCGGTGGCTGATACTCAGAACTACGGAGACGACTCCAGTGCCAGGCAAGTCGGAATACCTTCTTCTCCACGAAATCAAGGTCGGCAGCTTTCACTACGCTACGTCCATTGCTCCCCGCACCCCCCGAATCAGCGCTGTAAAACGCAGCAGAGGACAATACTTTTCGTCGTTTTGGTTCCATTGCCGTTCTTCATCGGTTTTGGCACGCCTACTTTGGTACTCAAGTTCTAGTCGGGTCAATTGCAACAAGAGCACAACCAGAGAACGAAATCAGTTCATGCATCTCTACTGCTGGTACTCAGAATCAATCGTGGTTTGCTGATGACAAGAAGTTCATGTAGTTCCTGGGTGCACGGCGATAGAATCTGCCCCCATAGTCGCTCTTTCCACGAAACGCGGTTGGTTGTAAGTTACTGTCTTGGATCAAACACTTGTCATGTCATGAACATGCAACCTTTGCATTGAAAAAACAGGTATCTGGTAAATCCCAGTCAGTTCAGCCAGTTCGGAATTGAAGACTCCGAATTCTTCGTTAATCGTGGCAAAGTTGAACTCCGCGCTCTGTTCGAATCAATTGGCCAATCCTTCTCGGCTGAGGTGAGATGGAATAGTGTTGTTGACCAGGATGTGCACCGTCTTCCTTTGCAGAAAACTAACCGTACGGGTTGTTGTTGGTGGTGTGGTCGTGTTATTTTTCCGTAAGAAGACAGATTCGTGCGCTCCATGACAACTGGAACGTCCATCCTACAGGTCTTCCAATCGATTTGGGAAAATGCTGTGGGGAGCGAACAAGCCGAAGTCGTCAACGGGGAGGAAACATGCACCATCGTCGGCTTCCAGCGGGCCTTGAATGATTTTCTTCATCGGCAGGAGAATAACTGAGTGGAGCAGACCGCCTGACTGAGTTAGTTTAGAAGCACGAGTGAGTGTACGGAGTAGTAGTAGTGTAGAATACACGGAGAAAAGGTTTGGCCAAGTTCACCGCAAGGCAGCGAATATTAGACCCTGATTGGGCTGTATTGCAAATAGGCCAGATAGATACAGACATCACATCACATATTTTCGACCAGCCATCACCTTCTCTACTGTGTTTCCTGTGGATTGTCAGGTGGCTTGATTTGTCAAACGATTTAATACAGTAAAATACTTGTAAGCGATGTAACTTTCAAGGATTACTTTTTTATTTTGCGTTTTTTGTCGCCTCGTATATGCATGTGCATATGTATCCTTGGAATGATAGGCTCTCTCGTTCATATAGCAGTAGTATGAAAAATGTGCACTCTAGCTTTGTCCGACATGTCACCTGCGACGTCTGGCTGCTGTCTGGGACCTTGTCTGGAGTATTTCTCTTACCGATACTGAAACACAGCAGCAGCAGTGAGTGCCGGCCCCCCTGTCTGTCGAGAGGCTCATTGGATCATCATCTGTACTTCTTCTATAGAACTTGATATCTTGTCAGTAATGCGTGGTGTGTGTGTGTCTGGCTCGGCTCGGCCCCCCCGTTACTTGGTACAATATACCCAACAATTGTCAGCAGAGCACTCTAGACTACCGTATATGACACAAGATAACACACCCCCTGGCCCGATTTTCAAAGATCGATTACTCGACGACGAAGAGGATACATAAACGAAATGATACATTTTCCAAAAGCTCTCAACGAGACGGTTCCAACGCCGCCATTATCGGCGCTGTGAGTCTTCCTGCTGTTGAGAAATCGATCTTTGAAAATCGGTCAAGGGGGTGTGTTATCTTGTGTCATATACGGTAAGCCTGTGCTCATCGTTGAGACGCTGTAGATTCTTATTGCGAGCAGGACAGAACGCATTATTTATTTTCTCAACTTGTTGGTCATTTACGTGATGCCATCGTCCGGGTACACAATATCACTCCTCTCATCAAAACCCAATAAAGAAACCCAAATACAACATGGCATGGAATTACTTTGAACGTACGTAGGAACCTCTACCTACTACGCCGTTTTAGACTATGTTACGTTTCAGTAGTGGGCCATGTGGGCCCCTAATTAATACCACCGGTTGTGCCCGGCGAATCCACCGGCGCTACAATCGTACAGCAGTACTGTAGTTGTTGAGGGCCCACTACAGCAGTACAGCCTGCTACAATTGTTCAACAGTTAGTGTTGTACACAACATATACATCAAGCATACATGCAATTTTACCGAATGCTGGACGACGTTGTATGTATGCAGAGGAGACTGCATTGTATTAATATTAGTACTAAATTACAGCGCAGCTCGCACCCGGCTACAAGCAAGTAGAGCGTCTTGAGAATACTACTCATCAACGGGAGCGAGTTCCCGCATCATCCGGAGAGGCACAGGTACAGGCTACCGCAGTAATAACCATAAACGTAAAACGGGAGTGAGTGTGGGCCGCTGAGACCAGGGGTGAGAGAGTCAGCATGCGGAGGCAAGCAGGCAAGCCACCCCCCGTGAGATCATGACAATGTGCAGTCCGCGGTCCCCCCGAGAGCTGCCGACAAGGCAGCTCAGCCTAGATCAGATGTGGTACCACGTGGTACAAGTACAGCTACAAACCAGAGACAGCACAGACAGGCGGACCGAGATCTCAGGAAGAGATACACCATACCTGAACGTAGGGAAGTCTGGCGCGAACCACCAGCTTCTCTGTGGCCGAGTGAACAATGGCGGGCGACAATGGTAACCATGCCGCTCCGCCAGCGGCAGGGGCTTCTCAAGGAGCCGTTGGCGCTCGGGCCGGAGCTCAGGACTCCCGCCAATGGTACGCACGGTCGAAGATGCATCCCCATGCAGTGAAACCTGAACAGATTTGAATATACGTGACTTGCGGCCGATACGCTACTTCTATGTGCTGTGCGGGCTGGGCGTAAAAAGGACAAGGCAAGAGATGAAGTTGGGCCGCATCACAAGAATGGCTATTTTCGTGTGTGTTATTACAGCGTAGGTAAATATGTGTGCTCGCTAGCACCGCTGTTCGATCAAGGGATAATAAAAAACCCGTACCACTTGTACTCCGTGCGGTGCCGTCGGGACTCACTCTTTGCTTATCCTCGGTCCTTGATCCTTGTTCTGTTGATTAAGTCCAAGGAATGGTCGTTGGCTCACTGTGAACGATGCTATGGACTACCTGGATGCCGTGAAGCTCGAGTTTCGCCATCAGCCTGAGATCTACGATGAGTTCCTGGCGATCATGGGGCGGTTCAAGACCAAGCAAATGCTACCTCCAGACGTAATCGTCGAGGTCGCGAGACTATTTCGGGGGCGAAATTCGCTTGTTCTGCGCTTCAATAGGTTTTTGCCGGAGGGCTTCAAGATAGAACCTGACGACATACAGCGTATGGAGGACGAAGAATGCGCGGCAAAGGAAGGTGCTCACTTTCACATCCCTACCCGCGCGGGTAGAAACCAGATAATCTGCTTCTACAAGTAACACCAGCAGTCCACCTCCTTTGCACGCATGACAGGTAGTTATCTGGTAAAGTAAACAGGCTGTTGGTTGCACACAAAGCCCATTTCAGTTGGTGGGCGTACACGGAGTCTTCTCGGGGAAAGGTTGATCATGTTTGTTCCTGCATTTCGTCCCCTTGGGTCTCTTGCTTTCGCTACTGCATCAGGAACTAGCGTATTAGCCCGCTGCTGAATTTCTGAATTTCCTGGGCATTAGCATACAAATCAAGAATCCCGTAGCAGGTTGTTATTTTTGTGATAAGGGTACACATCACAGACGCCGCCTTGTCTCTCTGTTCTGTCCACCGTCTACACAGAAAATGCCGGAGGCACAGCCCCAGGGCATGCTGCAGGTGATGGCGATAGATCGGTGATGTCTGTACAATCTGGGGAAGAAAGCGACCCCGAGGAAAGGGCGATGGAGTTCGACCATGCCATTCACTATGTAACGACGATCAAGAGACGTTTTTCGGACGACGTTGGGACATACAAGGCCTTCCTTGAAATTCTGCACACGTACCAACGACAGCAACAAGGTGAGAGCAACGGTCATGCCAAAATTTGCTATGTAGTTGCTGGTTTGTAGTTCGCTGCACTCAAAGAAGTAGAGTTTTCTCATCACTGGACCGTAACCCGGCCTATATTTTGCAACTTGCCATCACGTAACTGGGGCGGGAAGCATGCGGCTGATTCTGTACTCTTCAAACGCAGGCGGTAAACAAACATTTACATAGAAGCTCATTGTGCTCGTCCGGACGACATGCATGCAGCAGTATTGGTTTGAATTGTGGCTGTAGACCCAGGCGTCTACTACGCCTGCCCATGCACGTGCATGTGCCTACTCGGCCGCCGTTCGCCGTCGCCCTGCCTTGCGTGCCTATATGTTTCCGCCCCGACAACGTCAGCCTCTCTGTGCGATTGCGGATACCCTTGTTTCGCTTGGTGAAGTTGTAGAAGAGCTGATGCCTTGTTCTGCTCTTTTCCACTTCCCATGGGGCATGCTTCGCGTTACAGATACGCACTCAGGTATCAATCATGTGCTGGAGCAGATCACCGACCTGTTCGCCGACGAACCCGATCTGCTGAGGGAGTTCACCTACTTTCTCCCGGACACCGTCCAGGCGCAGGCCAAGGAGAGGCTTGATAGCGCTGCCGTGGAAGCCGAAGTTAGGCTGGGCCGTGCGCTGAACGGGCAGCGCGGGCAGCGCCTTTCTACGCACGCTCCTCAAGGTGGATCCCAGCGTGGCAGGCTCGATGGCCGAGCCAGGCCTGCAAATTCGTCCCGGGGTCAGTCGCGCGGGCATCGAACACAGCAACGAGTGCTGGGGGGAAGTAGCTCGACTTACAGGAGTGACGACGACGAACAAGAGTGGCGCGAGCAGCGCGCTTACGGCCGGGGTCGGACCAACACCCAGCGTGGCTATCATGGTGGGTACGGGTCACGCTCGCAGTATTCAAACGGCGGGACCGGTAGTGAACCTGACCGGAACCCGTACGCTGGAAACAACCACATGCAAACTCAGCGCGGTGGAAGGCAAGCCCGGAAGGGGCGCCAAATGTGGTCTCAAGCTGAAGATTACGAACTTGGCCCCGACGGTGTCTTCAAAGGGCCCAAAAAGCGCACGCGAGAATCGGATGACGCTGGCGGGGCTGGGGGTCGAGGGTGGTCGTCAATGGACTCGCAAGGGACCATCAAGACCTCTCCCGCCAACCAGTTGTTTGATCAAGCACGTGATGTACTGTCGTCGAGCGGAGACGACACTGATTGGACAGAGTTCCTCAAGTGTCTCGACTTGTTCAGCAACGAAATTTTGGGGCGGGACGAACTGCTGGATATGGTACAGGATCTGTTCGAGGCCCACGACGGATTTGACCTGATGGACGAATTCAAGGATCTTGTCTACCGGCGGGGGAAGTTGGAACCACCCCCCAGAGACGCGATGCCCACTTTGGGGCTCTCAGAGATCAACTTCCAGAGCGCCAAGATGTGTACTCCGAGCTACCGCGAGCTACCCCAAGATTATCAGGTCACCTCGTGCAGCGGACGGAGTCCAAACGAGGACGCAGTGCTGAACGACACGTGGGTCAGTGTTCCGGTCGGGAGTGAAGACAGCGGCAGCTTCAAACACATGCGGCGCAACCCGAACGAAGAGCAGCTTTTCAAGGTTGAAGATGAGCGCTTCGAGTTGGACATGCTGATAGACGGTGTAGCTTCGGCGATTGCTCGGCTTGAACCGGCAGAAGAAGAGATCGAGGCGTTAAGAGCCACGGCGGGGTCTGCTCTCGGGCAAAATGCGGCCCCCGCAGCGACTAGTCGGGAGGGGGCTTCATCCATAAGTGGGCCAGACGGCGGTGATGTAGTGTTGCCGCAATTCCAGTACCGCTTAGACAGGCGCACGCTCGGAGCGCTACATCTCAGCACAATATCTCGGCTCTACGGAGATCACGGGCCCGAAGTTGTCGACCTGTTGCGCAAGAACCCAGCAGTAGCGATTCCGGTGGTGTTGAAGCGGTTGAGGCTAAAGGAAGAGGAGTGGTGCGTGGCGCGGGAAGAAGCTAAGGGTGGCTGGAAGGAACTTGCCCAGAAACATTTCCACAGGAGTCTAGACCACCGGTCGTACAACTTTCGCCGCGAAGACAAGCGCCATACGTCTAACAGGGCTCTGCTTCAGGAAATCAAGGACAGGAAAGTAGACGAGGACCCTCAGAAGGCCGCGGTCGTCAAGGCTGCCCGAGAAAAGGTTCACAGTGCCCAAAAAGACGTGCTGATACTTGGGCGGGTATCCCCTACGTCGACCGCTGCGGACGGCGACAGTATAAACGGCCAGGGCAGTACGGGAGAAACTGATACGGCGGCGCTGGATGGAAGTGCTGCTGCTACAGCGACGGACAGCCCAGGCACGTTGCCTGTGAAGAGCGACGATACAGCGACGACGGGCAGTCGGCCACGAAGCAAGGAGGGTATCCGGGTATTGAGGCACCAGGCAGAGCAGACCTCTCCGTGGTACATGTTTGCCCACTTGACGCTGAAGTATCCACAAGAAGGAACGCCTGGTATCCACAAGGACATCATGGAGCTTCTGACGCACACTCTGGCGCGTCGCCCTCCATCGGAAGACGACGTTCGACAAGCTTCTACAACAGTGGCAGACTTGCTGCCGGCCTTCTTTTCTCTCGGAAGATCCAATCAAGCGGCAAATGGAGAGGGGAGCACGGCGTTAGGTGGAAACGGAGGCTGTGCCCAGGCAAGGTCTAGGAACAGTTGGAGTGTCGCCTTCTCTATTGAATAAACAAGAAGCTGGGTTTACCCTGGGTTGATACTAACTAGTGCCCGACCGGAATTCAAGGACAAATGGTCGCGATACAAGCAGTACTGCTGTTATTGATGAGAGTCGTTGAAGTGAAGGTGTGCAGTGCCGAGTGCGTCCGTTGTTCCCTTACACACACGTGCTCGTCTTGTACGTGGTACAGGTGGTCGCGAACCTGCCCGTCTTGAGCTCGGACGATGACAGCGACGACGACAACAGCCAGAGCAGCGGCGATGAAAGGAAGGGGGATCGGCGACGTAGCCCCCAGAGTGTCACAAACGAAGGAACAGCTCTAACCCCGGATCCCCAAGGGTGTGTTCCTGCGAAAGACTCTGAAGGCCGTGCCTCGTCCAACCCCCTCCCCCAGGGGCAAGAGGTGATGTTCACGACAACCGACTTCTATCTGGTGCTACGTATGCACCACTTACTCGCGGAGAGACTCGCTGAAGCGAAAAAACTGTGCAGCGAGGCAGGGCTGTCACGCCAGACTGTGGTGGCCTCCCCCCAAGAGGTAGGTGGTTTGTACTATTTAGCTCGCTGAGGTAGGTGGCATCTCAAAACGGCAAACCGGTATTGCCAAAAGGGGCTGATAGGTTTTGAAACACTCGTAGTCCTCGATGTTCTTCCCATCTCCACGGCTCCCTCACTGGCTTGTCCGGGGCCTGTACATGCTTATGTTCAAGCTTTTTTTCGCGTGCAAAGTCGGGGATGGGCGTTCCCTGACGGACCGGAAAACATTTGGATAAATGTCATGGTTCCAACGTCTCTGACTACACGTTGCGGCAAGCTGGCGGTGAAACATCACTGCTTTGTTCTGCCAGTCCTGCGTTTTGCATTTTTTTGTTGAAACTTGTTGTGTCACAAGATGTGAACAGTATTGATTGAAACACTTGGAGATGAGTGTACCTGTGAACCACGCGCGAGAGACACGCAGCATCTGGTTCGGACACGGGTGATCCCCTGTGCTTGGCAGTCGGTATAGGCTTCCTTATCACGGAAATGAGTTCTTGTGCACATTATTAGTAGCGATACGTTTTCCGCTGGTGATGCTAACATTTGTGTCAGCGAGTTTCGAGACTGTGGCGAACTTCGGCACGCACATGCAACTGAGTACGAGAATGGTATCCTTGCACGCGCAGTCTCCAAACGATGTCCGTCATGCCCACCCGAGCAGGTCCTGCGAGCGAGTGCGGGTGTCACCGGCACCGGCATGCATGCAGCCAATGGAGACAAGGAGGAAATAGGGTACAAGACATTCCTTGGGCACCTGTACGATTTGCTGGAGGAGAAGATCAACACGGAGCGTTACGAAGAGGGTGTGCGGCAGCTAGTGGGAAACCAGGTGCGTGGACACACGAAGCCCGCAACGTGCACGCACTTGGGTTTGTCTTTCGGCTTGTAGGCCGTGGGCGATTTTATTTGATTTTCTCAGGCTTTTCAACAGAATAACACAGGAAACATTCAACTTTACAGAAAAACTTGTTTGCCGACATCAGGCGAATAGAAGACAAAAATACGTCCCGGAGACGATAGGTACCCAGGGCAATCACTTTTAAGCAATCACGCGATAAAATCGGCTCACTAGGCCGAAAGGATGCGATGCAACGCTGTACATACTGCTATGCTGCTGTGCGAAGAACGCGGCGGGTCTCTTGTGGGGCTCCTTGGTAACTTTGTATGGGGGGTGCCCAAAACAATTGGCGAGAAAGACGCAGGCGCCCCGAGCTCAGGCTTGGGCCATCGACCCGCCATTAGGCGGGTTGTCCTTGGCTTTTGGGCGACTCAAATATCATGTGTTTATACTTTCGATGATTTTGACGTTTTTTGGCGATCGCCTACATACGGAGCACAAGCATATCTTGTTTCAGCACCGGCGACAGGTGTTCGGCGAATTTTTCCGCTCCTGTGTTTTTTTCGATCCCTATGTGAAAAATACCAAACACTGTGCCGTGTGAAGAGAGGTGTGGGAGAAAAGCAAGACTTGTCCCATGATGTGTGACACCTGCCGTGCGTTGTAGAGGTCGCGAACCAGTAAGCCCAACCTGTCAACCGCCAAAAGAGAGAAGTAGAACAATCATGCAGTGGCTATTTACAAAGAAACTGTGAACTCGCACCGCGACCTACCGTTGCTTGGCATCCCAACTTGCCTGGGTGGTAAGATCGCGAAAATGTTGTTGTCGCGACGTTCGATCTATACCATGGCCACGAAAAGCACATCACACCATGTTTCCTACCGCAAAGAGTTTGGTGCACCGAAATTCCCCAGGTACCCCTGATCGAAATGCTGGCTGCACCCTAGGTGACTTCAACGGAGCGCTTGAGAAAACACTTCTTCGATACATATGAGCGAAAACGTAATTGATATAAAGGGTTGTGCCAGACGAGAGCTGGACGCGTGTTGTGCTACACGTCACTAACCAAGCACATGGGCCAGTTGGTTGGTGCGACATCTGGCTTCAATAATCCTTCAAGTGCTCCAGATTTAGTTCAAGTGGGACACGCATGCATATCAAACGCGAGAAGTTTCACCACAAAAAAGGCGGTCGAGTGCGTTCTTGCGTCTACCAGCAAGGCTCACGTTGCTCTCCTTCCTGTTGTATGCCCCCCTGGAATTCGGGACGCCATGAGCCAGTTCTAACTGCAGTTTGCACCCCGCTCTAATTTTTGGGACTAATTCAAATTCAGGGCTATGTCCTGTGTAGTCTCGACAAGCTTGTGGTGGGTCTGCTCCAAAATCTGTACCGCGCGAGCGCAGACAAGGTCTTCCACAAGCTCACTCAGCTATATTACTACGAGCGAACGACGCAGACCGAAGGAGTGGTGCCTGCCATCTACAGGGGTCACGTCCAGGAACTACTGAGTCGCTCGGAGAAAGAGGTATGACACGTTTGAAGTTTTGATTAAACCGGCAACAGCGCTATTAATATGCGCATAGAGCAGACCGACGCCGTTGTGATTGCTCTTTACACTTGCTCTCAAAGCGGAAAGGGTGTCAATCTCACACCCGTGCGTTCTTGTGGTCTGTCTTCAACAGGTGGTGCGGGTGCAATACCACCCTGGAGCGCAAAAGCCATCTGGTGGCTGGCTGCTGGAACCGGCGTTGAAAATGGAATTCTTAGGTCGTGTGGGCACTGAAGCAACTCAGGAGGGTGCTATTGAAACTGACAGCGCAACCGATGGCACTGCACAAAATGAGGCCGTTGCGGCTGAGGAATAGCAAAACTGAGCTTTCCTCCCGTTTTGAGCGCCACCTTGTGACTTTCGAGGTCCTCGCGGACACGAGTGTAGGCTGATACTAGGGGGATTAATATCTGGGGAGTAAGTGTCTGGAGGAGCAGCGAGATTGTATGTTTTGCCCAGTGCAGTGAAGTATGGTGTCACGACAATTAACTGTGTGTCGGAAAAGTTACGGTGGTGTGTCGTCGATGTATCTTGCCCTTCCCTCTAACCTCGCCTTACCCTAATTCTTCTCGCATCGAATGGATTGAGCAAAACAATCGCCTCTTTTCACCACGAACATGCCATGCAAAGCGGGAGTGGCCAATACTGTACCTCAGTGTTTCCCGAGGCTTTTCGGAGAAAGCGCAGAATGTCGACAATACACGACTTGAGTCATGAGTTCGTGAAGCCAGTAACGCATCGACTCATGGAACAATACCAAATATTCGTCTCTTTTTTCGTTACAAGTGGCCAAGGATCGCACTTCTCGAAAGTGCAACCGCTAAATAGAATTTCGAAGCACATCCTATGCCGAGTCACGTGGAGTGAAAGTCAGCAGAAGTTGTGCGAAGTAGGACGTTCAAGGATCGTCAAAATGAGCAACTCGCGCAAGCACACGACCTTCTGCGCTGTTGCGGGAACCAAGCCTACCGATATCACTCACGGGCACCTTCATTTTCATAGTAAAATGAGCTGGTTTGCCCACTGATTCAGACCACAACCTCAAAACCTTTTCGCGTTTTGCAGCATGACTCGAATCGAGGCGAAAACACAACAGCTGGGGGTTTATCTCACAACATGCCTAACAATGTGCGGACAACGACAAAACTCACGTACATGCACCTAATTCGACTCCACGGTCGACGACGGAAAATAAACGGCTGAGATATTCTCGTCACAAAAGCAGAGGCAAGCACAACAGGAGGAATGGGGAGAAACGCCATTTCGTTTCCTGTGTGGTGGCCCCGGCTGGCATCCAAAATCGAAACGGGTCTGGAAATCAACGCCCAGAACAACCGGAAGACACATACACGCCCTACCGCACAACCACCTCTCCTGCGACCATCTTAGGGTACACACGCTTGTACAGATTTAAACAAACGGTGTCATTTTGCTTGACCGCCTTATTGAAGATGACCTTCATCAGCCCATGCGTTCCGACGGGCTCCTTGATATGCCCCGTGAGCCCGTACTTGGTGACCAACTCTGCCGGCTTGAACCACTTGACGTCTCCGGGTCTATGGAACATGTGCTTCACCACAGCTTTGCGCTTTCGGACGCGAATCGGGTACCCTGTCAGCACTATCTTCTTGAGTACGATACGATCCGGATCGACGCCCAGGAGAGTCCCTGTCGCCACTAAGACTGTCCGTTTTGCGTTGCTCCCCGTCGCAGCCACCTCCTTGAAGACCAACACTGGAGATGGTTGAAACGTGGTCGGACCGTACACGCTTGCCGCTGAGAATCGATCCTGTCGCAAAAATCGCTCGTACTTGTGCTTGTCACAATTCAAGTTGATTTGACTGAATACTGGTCTGGCTTCCCACCTCCGGAACCCACACTGAAAAATGAGAGGTTCCTTCGAAGGGATAGGCTCGACGAAGCGAGCGTCGCGGTTGATGTTGAAGTGCAGGGCACTGAGGCGGTGCTCATGCCGTAAAAGTGAGAACAGAACCAAAGGCCAATCCCTACCCCCAAGCAGCTCCTTCCTTTTCTCCAATACGTCCAAAGGCACCGAATCAATCACGACTTCGACGTACTGCCCTGACTGCACGTAGCTTACGCGGTCCTGATCAGCCGCAAGTACTCCGGACGGGTCAGTAAGATCCTGATCAGCCGCAGAGTCGACATCCATGCCGGCTCCACACGTTCCAACCACAGAGGAGGCAAACGAAGACCGTCGACTTCCACGCTCGGAGCCCTCTTTGACCTCCAGCAGGTTCTGGTTTTGCTGGCGCTCCATCGCTTCACCAGCGCGGAGGACATCTTTCTGCATGGCAGGGAAATCCTCGAACTGACATACGAAAAAGCACACGCAATAGTTAGATGCGTTAGCGCGGATATCGAGCAACAGGGAAGTAGAATGCCACATTTCGAACCAAAATCGTGAGGTTTCGTCGTCCACTTTGCGGCGTTAAGGGCCTTTGGGTGCATGAAAAGGTGTCGGTCCAGGTGCTTCATAATTCATTGGAGCAAAGCTCCTGGATCCCAGGAGCCCCGAGGTGACTACATGTAGCTTGCGCAAGTGACTCCTTGCACTCTTTGATACAGTACCATACATGCGCAGGAGAGGCGTCAGATACTGTCCTCAGTACTAACTGTCAGTAAAATACAATGCACTTCTACTACCATTGGCATAAAATGATTTAATGATCTGACAGTGAATGGTGGCAAACTGTTTCAATGTCGTAGGCGGACTACTGCTGTCACCTGAAAAATCCGCGCATAATCCTTGGGCAGGCTCTCCTTGGGATCCCAAGGGCTTGTTCGGAAGCTCTTCAACGCCCGAAAACGTGCAAAACGTTCGCGAGCTGACCGATCCGCAGGTGTATCCACCTCGTCTGGGAAACGAGTGTCCTCGTTCTCGGCAACCTGGCGTCTAGCCGCGTCAAGGGTGGCATCCATGGGATCTACCGACTCGTCGTCATCGTCCTTCTCGTCGAACGCCCATGCTTCCCCTTCATCACTGCCCTCCTCGTTCTCTCCATCTACACTGCCCGCACCTTCAAGCCACTCGGCTTGGTAGCCAGACCAGCCTTGAGGTAATACTTTACCACCGCTCTTTTCTTCGTCGTTTCCCTTCACTTCCTGGTCCACCATCCCGTCCATTTCTTCCTCGCCTCCAGCTTGGGCCAGCTCTTGCTCCGTCGGCCACGTTTGTTCGCCAGCTAGATTATCTACGGTAGCCTCCACGCTGAGGTCGTCGCGTTCAGGGTCTGCCCTCGCCAAGACTTCCACCCCGGCGCTCGGTGCTGCACTTTCCCCCTTCAGAGCCCCCCCACCGCGGTCTTTCGGCTTCACCGGGAACGGTTCAGCGGCGCTGTTGATCTGTCGCAACCCGAAGTGCCCAGCATCGCCGACGTGGACCACTTGATTGACATCAAGTGGCCGGCCACGAATGTATCCGCGGACATGCAGCGTGCCAAACTTGTCACCCCTTGACCCGCTCTCGGGTACAACCTCCGTGCTGTCCGCGAGGAGGTACGATCGTATCGCCCGCCAGTGTATCCGCCGAGGCGCCGTCGTACTGAGTGTGCGCGCCAAGAGACTCGAGTTGGAAGCGTCTACTGCCTTCGCCTGGCCAGCGAACTCGGTCTCGAAAAAGCGCTGCGCCCACTTCTTCATGTCAGATTGTTTTTTGCCCTTGAGAACGTCAAGACCCTGCACTACTCCAACTACAGCAGGCAGACCTGCCGCCTTGAGGGCTGTGATCATCATTTCTCCCTCCTGCCGGACAGGCGAAGCAGAATTCAAAACAGGCGCGGTTTAGGCGTGTTTTGTGCGTGTGCTATGTACGTTGTCATCCCGTCAATAATCTGGACGCCAGATTTCACACTCTTCAGGATGTTTTGCACGCAGCAACCGAGGTCACGCAGAAGGAAGGCCTCACATGCCAGACAAGCAGTTCAAATGCGAATGCGGCTCCGAGTGCGAAGACCGGGCTCATGTAGATACGGAAAGTTTGTTGTACAAGAAGGAGAGGGAAAGGTACATGACTGAGCTGGGAAAAGTAGAAGGAAGGTATGATACAGGGAGATGTTCAAGGCATGCAGGAGAAGACGGTAGCTGTACTGGGGCAAAGGCAGTGGGTTCACAAGGCGGGAAGTGGTATCGATAGGATAGGTAGACTAGGGAAGACATTTTGAGCCACCTTTGGCAAAGTGGGAAGGAACAATTGGCCATCGGTGATCGGTCCTATGGCAGCAATGCTCCGTCCTCTCGAGGACGCGCGTTAATGGTCTAACCGCTGCGGCTTGCAAGACATAAGAGGACGCCCCCTCCCCCCTTCGCCCCCCCCCCTCCGTTTGTCATTACTCTTCTGTGGTGCTTGCCCTCGTTTTATCGCGAGAAGATCTCAGCCGCGTCTTAAGTCGAGTCGATTATTAGGATTCGGCATCACGCGAGAACACCCCAGTAGTTGTGTAAGACTCGAACTCACGTCCCACATAGGCTGAGGGCTACGTTACCGTTACAGGAGTATCCGGGCGACGGACGGCGGTAGATGCGGTGACTTTCTCGGACAAGACTCACATGTATGTACGGTTTGTCTAAGGTTCGGAGTTTTCAGCGTAGAATAGCACAATGACACAATGAAACAGGTACCCAATCGACATAGATGAGGACGTACGCATACGTCTGAAGGTCTAAACCACGGAAACCATTGTACGCCTTTGCAAGGGAAGGAGGACACACGTATGACCCGCCGCACGCGGTCGACCTGTTGAGAGCGAACGAACGACGAAGGCGGGTGAAGCCTGTACCTACCCGGCAACCACCGAAGCAACCACCTCTACTATTGTGTCGTGCACTCCTTCCGGGCAGGACCAGGGGGCGTGAGTGTATCGTCCGCGGGGGAAACACAGTCAGACGATGTACGCTGTTTAGCTTACCTCGTCTATAGCCGAGTCCGCTCCCTGCTGGACGGGAAGAACCACCAAGAGAAGATCAGCCACCTTCGCAAACTCCAGCACCGCCGCCAGGTCCCGCCCGGGTGTCAAGAACGTCACACGCTGCTTGAACTGGTGGAAAGCAGCGCTAACCACGCCAACTCCAGTTGAGGGGTCGCCACTGGTGCGGGCACACTGGTCAAGAACGCCTTGCTGAATGGTGTCAGGGGTGGCTATGGTGGACAACGAAACCCACACACACAGCTTAGGAGGGCCGGCTTCCGAGCCTAGCCTCTTCTGGAGCCAGATTTCCTCCCGCTTCTTTTTGCGCATCTGGACGGTGTGATTCGCGCGGTTTTGTTTTCGCGCCTCTGCTGCTCTCTTCACCCCGGCTTTGGGACCACCCCTTTCGTTTGCCACTCGTCCCGCTCCAAGAGCGGATTTGGAGGCCCGCTTACTTTGGTGCCCGGCGTTGCCTTTGTGTTTCTTGTTCTCCTGGCGGAGAGATCCAGGGCGGTGTCCGACAGGCATGGTGACAACCACCGTGTGGACCCGATTGGCGATGTGCAAGCTCTGCTCTCGGTCCTCCGCCTTGAGTCGAGACTGAGGTGGCTTGGCCTGTGTGTGTGACTTATAGCCTGTCCTCTGTGCAAACAACATGAATGGGGGGTGGGGGGCGGCCACCTGGGGGCACAGTGATTAAGGTACCTACCTCTCCATGAATATTCCTATGTGAAGAGCCCCGATGCCGCTTGGCTTGGCTTGCCCGCGGCTGCCACACATTCCTCAAGCCACAAGCTAGGAGCTTCAGCATCATGACCAAGGCTGTGGCGGTGAGCTAGAGTTGCAAAGATTGTCTATTAGCACATGAATCGCCTTTGTGGTTTGGCTGTGTGATGGTCAGTAGTCAAAGAGGGCCATGTGCTTGACGGCGTCGGTCGATGGTATCCTGGCCACTCGCTGACAAGTTCCGCCGCCAACAGGCAGTCTAGTCAAAAGATGCTGCCTGTTTTGCCTTTTTGCCGTTTTGACCACCAGCTTAGCTTCGGAAGTTGCCTTGCACCGAACTGACCGTGGTGTTTTCTCCTTGTGCAGCCCCAGGCGAAAGCCCCCAAGTGGTACTCGGGTGACGATGTGAAGCCCAAGGCTGCTCCTCAGAAGCACAACCCGACCAAGCTTCGGAGCACCATCACTCCTGGCACGATCCTGATCCTCTTGTCGGGGCGCTTCCGCGGCAAGCGTGTGGTGTTCCTCAAGCAGCTCCCTTCGGGAACTCTGCTGGTCACTGGTGAGTCTTTGGCTTGGAGCTAGGGGGGAACATTCTACTTACAACATGCAGGTGTTTGCGAAGGAAAAACACTTTAGCGAGCCCAATGACGTAAACTAACCTTGCGCTAGGCTTGGCCAGCATCGACGGCTGGGCTTTGAGACCCGCATGCCTCAATGTGGGGGTGCCTGGAATCATGGCGCAGCCCGAGGAGTGTGGCAGTTGATAAGCCGATGAGTGCAAAATGCTTATGAGAACTGAGGGCTACCGTATTGTAGTGTTGGTTTTAGGTCTTGGACCCCCCGCATTGGTAGCGCTGTAGAGCAGGATGCCTACAGGCACCACATGCATGATGTTGATAGTCACCCCCACGGAACAAGGCCTAGACCTCCCACAAGACGTACTTCGTACTTTTTTGGCTGGGGAAGGGAGGAATCCGGATGCGTCCTCGTGAAAGTAGCTCCCTCGGTGTACATACGGCAGTCGACTCAAAAATGCCAAGCACCTCACAATAGCCATGGTGAATGAAGTACGGCTATTTGTTTAAGCCCGGAAAAGGCGGCACAACCACGCATTTTACTTCGGAATTCGGAATGCAACAAAATATCAAAATCGTCAAAATCGTCCATCATTTAGGACACCGAGGGTGAGTCTTGTTTGCCTTGGAAGCTCATTTCCAGGTCAGATCCCGTTCACAAATCAGATTTTAATGTATGGCCGTGCAACGTGACGGGTGTGTGCGTAAAAGTGTTTGACTTGTAACCAAACTGCTACAACCCTTTCTGCTGCACGGCAGGTCCGTACTCCGTGAACGGTGTGCCGATGAGGCGCGTAAACCAGGCGTACGTGATTGCTACATCCATGTCGGTGGACGTGTCGAAGGTAACTATCCCCGCCGCGGACGACTCGTACTTCACGCGTGAGGAAGTGGCGACCAAGACTGACGAAGACCAGTTCTTCGAGCAGGGAGCCAAGGTAAGATGGGGCCGTGCCTGCCGAGTTGGCGCACTGCGGCGACCCTCGTGGTACGATAGACGTAAGGTTGAGCCTAGTGAGGTAACAAGAAACACGGCAATTGTTCGCCCAGGCTCACGAAATACAACGTCTTTCGGCTGCAGTAGGTGGCCCGATATTGTGGCATCAATACCTCTTGTCACTATCTGAACCCGATAAAGTGGCATGTTGCTGCCACTGCCTGCCACTGTTACCACTAACGATTCCCTCGTGAGTGGCAGGCATCTTGGGCATATCATCCCCCCAAATAGTGGCAATTCCGTAGACATTCTGCGCTTTTTGGTCCTGCAGAACAAAACGCAGAGTCGCGTGCAATTGGCGACGTTGATAAGGTTTGGCTGCTCCAGTTGTTTTCGCTTTTTCAGCTTTTTATAATCCCATCCTCCATCGCACCGGGAAAAAAAGTATGACTTTGATGCTGTGCGTTTGGACATTGTTTTGCAGTCTACCTGCACACAAAGGTAGGTTGTGCGCCCCAAAAGGCCTCGTTGTCACTTGGACGAACAAATGTCATTTCACCTGTGAAGGGCAAGATCTGCGTTGTCTGCTGGGCAAATACACAGCGGTCGGTGGCGTGCCCATCAAAGCATACATGCACCGTCAATGGTGGCAGTATTCCCGCCATGCCGATCAATAGCACTGCCCTGAATAGTGGCATATTGTCCTCTTGCCGCTACATTCCACTATATCGGGCCACCTATCGTACATGGACGTCATTCAAGTAGGGGACCTTTACGGACGTTGGATGATCTTAGGATTTCTCACCCTCAAAGTTCAATGTTTGTAGCAGGGGAGGGCAAGGTCAAGACCTCCAATCGTTTCTTGGTACTTGCAAAATACAACGCTCCGCATCACACTGACGGAAAGTAGATGGCATTTTTTGCCGTCAAAGTGGTACTTCGGGAGTGTATCCCTTGTTCAAATTGAAACATAATGGGTGAGGTTGTGGCCATTGCGTTCACGCACGCCGGGCGACGGCTGCTTTGGGTATTATAGTCTAAACCTACGTGTCTTGTCGCCGCAGATGCTGTTACTGTACCCGGGTGGCGACGCGCCCTCTCTCCGGTACCACCGACGTGACGGTGCTCTACGGAGAGAGGGCGTTTTTTGCGAGGCTTTGACCGCTTCTCTCTGCGTGTCCATTGTCGTGTCCCTAATTTGTTTGCCCACGTCGACAGAGCTCCACGGTGTCCGACAAGCGGAAGGCTGACCAGAAGACCGTCGACGCCGGTGTGTTGGCGGCCATGACGAACCCGATGCTGAAGGCATACCTCAACGCGAAGTTCTCTCTTAAGAAGGGGGATCGCCCGCACGAAATGATCTTCTAGGTTGTTTTTGGCATTTGCTGGGGCTCCATTAATATGAAAGCTTGACTTGATTTTTTTTTTGTGGTTCCGACCTGGACATTCACCATGTCCCATGTAGTTCCCAAGGCGTGAAGATGAGCCTATTCTGACGGCTGACATGGGCGAGGGATGTGTGCTGTCCTTTGTTCTGAGCCTTCCCAATTCTCGACCAACATGGACCGTCCGAGAAGGAACATGTCACCTTCGAGGTTCACGCGAAACTAAAGCAACTACATAACAGGTTTCCAGCCCTTAGGCCACGCCACGGCGGGTGGTCACTACATGTAGGCCTGCAGCTTCTAGCTTTGTTCTCGATGCACGTACTTCTGCTCCCAAGACACTTCGGTCAGCAAGACGAGATGGATGTCACACAAAGGTGACATTGACCATCGGTACTATCGTTTCACCTGAAAAAGCTTTTTACTGACAACTGTGGGGAATGCCTTGTTTGTTGTCCAATGATAGTTCCCACCGCCGCCAAAAATGCGGGTGGACGGTATCGTGCTCCTTTTGTGAAATCGGTCAACAGCAGTCGGGACAACTTGTCCACTTCATTTCAGACGGCGATCGACACGCTTCGAACACCCAACATATGAAGACGAAGAGTGTCACTTTCTCCCGGATACCACCGCGAGCGTTACTTGATATCATGAATCGCAAAAAGTGAGGACTCGGGCGAACGTTACAACGTCGCACGCAAGAGGTGGCAATGCTGTGGCAACACAAAGGCATTGAAAAAAAAACTGATAGGGCACCATGTTATGTGCACGGATGCCCGACCAACACCCCATTAAGTGGTACAGCAACGGCCACAGGCGACGATGATCACGCGGTACGCCGTTACCACGAAGATTGGTCACCTTTTCTATTGTTTGATTATCACACCTAAAACGAAGAGCACACGGAGCAGCGTGACACGCTCGTTGGCACTACTTGTATACCACTTCCGTGTGCCTCTTTAGTCCACGGGATTGCGGTGCACCCCTACATGTCTGACACGTCGCTCAGCTCGCCGGTCCTGGGAGCTCGCGAAGCCTGGATGAATGTGGATCAAACACTAGGTGTACCTCGCCAAGGTCTCCGTCGAACCTGTTCTTCTTTACTTCCAAAGACTTGTTGCCTTTTTGGTTCTGACGGTACACGTTCCAACGCACACAACAGCAGATTCGGATGGGGCATGTTCGAAGGCACAGAATGGTGGAGTTGGTTACATCATCACCGGATGACACAAGAGACAACGTTCACATATGCACAACTACAAAGGGATTCCTCGACAAACCCGCACGCTTGTCAATACAATAGTCTACACCATAAAATCTTGTATGCATACAACCAAGCATGATCACATAGCTTGTGCCCCCTCAAGTCGTGGAGGCTCCCATGAAGGTGTGTCGCTTGTAATCGTTGCAACTGGACCAGGTGATGGTTGGCGGCGAGCAAGGCCGAATCACAGGCAGATTCTAAGCATCGACCTCAGATGCGACAATGGAGCAATCGCAGCCGTTGAAAACAGCGCCAGCAGCAGGTAGGTTCGGAAATACGGACGTCCTACCTAAACCCACCTGCAAGATTACGACCAAGTCCGCTTCTTGGGTAGCCTTCGCCGAGCCAAAAATAGAGCTTGTGGTGAGCTTGTATCCTTCATCCTCTTTCCGAGGGTGTATCACTAGCGTGATGTGGACGTTGTGTTCGGTAGCAAATTTTCGGAATTTGTCCAGAGCAAGATCCTGCACAGCGGTAGACACATGGTGAGAATACTCGAAATTGGGCGGAATACATCTACCGCTGTAGTAGCTCACATACATGCACTTGTGCTTGCTTGAAGGACACAGAACTTCCTGCTCAACATCGAGGAAGTGGAAGCGGCGAAAACTAGACTTGGCCTCGACAACGTACCATTGAAGACCCCGACATACCACGTTTCATTCAGAATGACGGGGAGCACGTCATCTTCTCGAGTCTCTCAGCTGACGCATGTTGACCTTCGACGACCGTATCCCTCATTCCACACCCGAAAACCACGTACCCATACTGAGGTTGGTCGGTTCACTGCACCTGTGCGTCGAACTTGTCGAAAGGTCCTGGTCGTTTACCACCATGTCCTTCTCGGGAATTTCGAGTGAGCATGAACTGCAGATTGTCAAGGATTATGTGTTGAACGTCGTTTGCGTAGACAGCGTAGTCCATCGCGTCTATAACTTCGTCCACATTCGTTCCACCGTGGAAACGCAAGAAGCTTAGTGGAAGTGCCTGAAAGCGGTCCGCCACTGCCCTCAGCGAATCTGGCGACCTGTACATGGAGAAGGCGTAAGGACGAAGCGGGCACGAGCGCGTTGGAACATGGCGTGACAAAAAGGACCGGCCGTGGGAGAGCCGAGTGATGCTGCCTGGGCAGACCGTGGGCAACCAAGAGATGAACAAACTTCCGACAAATGAACGTCCGAGGCAGTTTGTCTCACCCAGCGAGATCTGCAACAGGCCTCCCCGCGAACTGGTGAAGCATCTTCTGCATCAATCTCGTGTTCTTGATCTCGAAGCTGCCCCACAACGTGCTGAGCCCTCCTGCCGCTAGATCAAGCGACAGCTGGCTGAGAATCGTTGTCTTCCCGGAGCCAGTGGGGCCAGTGAGGACAGTGAGCTCCCCACGCCGAAGACCCTTGATGATTCTGGTGAACCGCGGGAAGGACTGCAGACCTGTCCCACTATACTCCAGAGGATTCTGCAAATGAAGGCCAACGCGCGAGTACTTTTGAGCGATGTGACCCAAAACGAGTGAGGGGTAGCGAGTCATGCATGCACTTCGAAGTTGTTCATATCTTGTCTAGAGGAACATCCTGTTGGCGGCTCCACTCGAGTCTGGATATTTCCAGCACCGCTGATATATAGCTATACCTGTAGCTCGTGAATGACTTTCTGGCGAAGGTCTTGGAAGGTCTGGATGTCATCATGCTTTGTGGAGCTCGCTCCTGCCACAGACGCAGCGCACGTGGAATTGGGGTGAGCACGCCAGCGCACGTGGAATTGGGGTGAGCACGCAAGCACACGCTGCAGTAAACGCATGCCAGAAGCATCCCTTCGAGCGTCGTGCGACTACTGCTGCAGCGTATTTAGCTACGGTCAACAGCCCAACCGTTACGCAGGCTCAGAGGGCAAATCGCTCTAAAGGGGCATACGTGACGATGAAGTTGCCGCCGACCAATCTCACCGGGTGTGGCCAGGCAGCTGGTGCAAAACGACAGAGCATGGATGTAACGCATGCGTTGGCGAAAGGTTCGCTACAACCATTGTTCGTCCTCTGCTGGAACCACAAAAAACAAGCAGTTCGAGTAGGTTGACCTAGGGAAGGAGACTGGTTCCCATGTCCAACATGGAATCCTCAGTCAAGATATTCACCGAAAAAGCTACAGCAGTACTCCTATATGCCCCTCACCATCTAAAAAATCTTGAAGATTTCGGCCAGCCAGAAGTGCCTCGTTGGCGTCCTTGGGCGGGTTCGGATCGTCCTCAAGTGGTCTCACCACTAAGCAACGCCGCGTCCCCTGACAATTTGGCATCAACAAGGGATGGTAAACGTGTTGGCCACGTCCAAGACTAGGATGGTGTGTAGCATATCCGCATACGAAACAATTTTTGGTCACGCTGACCCCCAAGATGCTTCGTGGAGATGAAGAGGTGCCATGCCAAAAATGCCGAGTTGCTCACCAGCTTCAGAACAAACTTGTCCACCCCGGCTTGCCCCGCCCCATCGTGGTCCATCCAGAGGTAGATCTTGTTGAATCGCTCCAGAAGAGGAAGAACCTCGAGCGGCAGCGAACTCGCGCCGTTTGGCAAGGACACAGCTGGCTTGCCAGTGGCTTGGTACACAGCCATGGCGTCATACTCTCCCTGCGAAAACGACGACAGCCCAGGTGTTGCTAAACGATGAGTCTCGCAACCTATCAAAGCAGAGAGAAATCGATTCTCCAATAAATAAACGAAGAGGACGTGACTTTACAAATTAAACTGCACTGCCCTCTCATGGGTACCTCCGTCAAAACCACTTCTGTGGCGCCATCCGGCACAGTGTGGAGACCGAAGATCCCCCACCGACCTCCTGCAGGGTCTAGCCTTTGCCACTGCTTGTTTCGAACAGCACGGGCTTTGACGCGGACTGTGACGGCGTCAGGGATGCGCCTGGTACGAGAAGCAAAAAGAGGTCCGCACAAAATAGACGCGCAAAACAGTTCGGCGAGGAAATATATATATGCATAAACGAGTGTGTTTCGTGTGAGGACTGCTGACGCAAAGTGTAAGTTCAATACGAAAAAACAGACGAGCCAGGGGGGACGCAAACCTGACCCTAACCCCAACCTGACCGATTCTATACTTTATCCAGTATGTTTGCTTACTTTGAAAAACCTGCGTAGACTACTGTCGCGCGAGGTTTCATCCATTGAGGGCATATGTCAGTCGAAAGGAGCTGGCGCAACTACTGCCGATCTAAGCCAGCCAATGGGGGGGAAGTGGGGAAGTAAACCAAGGAGGTCTTTCGACTGTTCGTAGAATACCTTCAAAATACGCCAAGCGTAAAATGGCCGCCCGCTCGACGCATGCTGTACTCACGATTTTTCCCCGTACTTGTCCTTGACGAACTTTTCCAAACCCTTGACCTCCTCCGGTGGTATATCTTTCTTGTTCACGATCCAAGGAAACGTTATGCTTTGAGCTTCGACGTAGCCTGCCTCACCCGGATACCTGAGTTTCGTGCAATTCACACATCAAACCGATGGGATGTGATGTGAACGAAGAGAACTGCACCTGTATCGTCCCTCTTCAAACATTTATATGTTAATTTGCATCAGCAACAGCTCTTGGTGTAGTTACCTTTTAAGTTTCACTCTTTGACATATCCAGTACCTCCTCTTGCCTATTGTCTAGGCTTCGAGACAACGAGTCGATTTTCTGTAATCGGAAGCATATAACGATGCGGCACACATCACAAACTCCGCATTCACCAAACAAACAAAGAGCTCTGCATCGCAGAATCCTCCTCGACAACAAAATTTGGGCAAGCATCGCGAACGGTACACGATAAATAAAAAACTGAGTCGCGTTCCGCCTGTGTGACCCCGGCTGGTGCTTCCAAGCAAACCGAAAGGTAACAAATCAGATATTGTACAAAGCATGGGTATGACAACAGCTACAGAGAGCGAAGGGCGAGGGACGCAACAAAAACATGCCGCAGATCCATCCGTCCAGCAAATCTCTCACTTGTAGACAGCGCAGCCAACGCCGTACTTGACCAGCACCTCCTTCTTGATGCCCCGTTGCCCTGGTTCCGTTCCACTCAGGTAATCCATCACTTGGTCAAAGCGCGGGTTGTGCAAAAGGTTGGTTGGATAAGACCGCGCGCGTTGCTCATCTGGTATCGGCCGAAGCCCAGCAGCTCGTTGTTGTGTCACGTGAAACTCTTCGCCATGTGTCCGGCGTGGGTTTGGTGTATTTCGGGTACTTGTTGAACTCCGTGGCATCGCGACTTGGCTTACGAATCGAGCACCGCCACTCCCAGCTCGTCGCTTGAGGTCGTACCACGAGCCCGACGCAGCACATCGGTGGCACATCCACGCACCCCTGTTGGAATGAAAGCACACACCGGCGGAGAAGATGCGCCCGCCATGTTTCAAATTTCAGTGATTTGTCAGCGGAGGTGGGTTCTTCAAAACAACGCGTCACACACATTTACTTAATTAAACTACGTGCGTTTCCATCCACAGCAGAGTTACCAACCAGACGCATCAGGAAAAAACCTTTCAAGAATGCACTTTTAGACTTTTGGACACCCCGTACACTACAGGGATGTATAGTATGTGTACCACAGGGTCTGCATACTACGTGTACCGCGTACTGCTGTACACATGTAAGCACACGATTTCATATCGAAATATCGAAATACCACAATCCCAACGCCGATCATCACTCGTCTTGGGAGTCGCTACTCAGCGCGTGGCGGACTAGTGTAGGCCGCTGTAACTCTTGTACGGATACGAGAATCGCACGGACACTGCTGCTTTATGATACGGAGTATGTATGATACCACTATTCAAAAAAATGATGGCGCGTCTTCATTCATGCTTACATTACAATCTTACAACGGGGTCATTGGGGTATAGGTACAAGCGCTCCTCTGGTCTGGCTCTCTTCTGGGAACAAAGTTCAAATTGTGAAAAAACTTACCCATTATTGAGACCTATGTAGAGCTTCCACATGTTATCCGCCTTTCCACCAGTATCATGGCAGAACGGGCACTCTTTGACCACCACCTCGCCGCCCGCCACCCTGAACTCCATGGAGCGCTGGTCCAGAAAAGCGACAACATCAGTTTGTTCGAGCACATGGTGCTTGGACACGAAGGTGCTACTCTGTCTGTAAGTCTCGGCGGCTGTTGGCGGGAGCCGTAACCGTGCAGAAGCTGCAGTGGTGCATTTCGATCGACTTGATTGACATAGTCTGTTGACAACACGGAGCATCATGGTCCTGTGCGGGACAGGCTGTGGTGTGTGGTGCGTGCATGTATCGTGTGGATGGAAGTGCCTACAAATGGGGGGCTCCGGTGAGGAAGACCCCTCCCCTTCCGTTTTTTGGTCTCGGTGCCTGCTGCTCACCCAACTTGTCTCACCTCCCCCACAAAGCGGCACGCTGGACACTGCTGTCCGCGAACGCTCGAACAGGACAGGACTTCTATTCGTCGGCCTCTCTGTTTAGTTACCTCGGCTCTGGCTTTCACCTCTCAACGCGATGGATACAATGGACACAGAAGCTCTTCTCGGGATGTCCTTGGATGAGATGCTCGCAGCAAAGCCGAAGAAAAAAGTTGACAGAGGAGGCCGAGGCGGGAAAGTGAGGAACACCGGCCGAGCCTCTCGACAACAGCAAACCCAACCATACCGTCAACCTGCTCCAAAGGGTTCTGTAGGAGGGGGGTCTAACAACAGAGTTTACGTCGGCAATTTGGCGTGGACCGTGACGTGGAAGGAGCTGAAGGATCTGATGGGCACATGCGGCCCCTGCAAGGCTGAAGTCCCATGCGGTGCAGACGGGAGGTCGAGGGTGAGTTGGCGCCGAAGGCGATTTGCTGTCGCTGGCTGCTGGGGCACAAGATTGATCACGCAGACAGTTAGCTTATCCTGTGTTGCTGTGGTATGTGCAAGCCTCTGTTTTGATACTAGTTTTGCAAGGGCTGCGGGAACGGATCTTCGGTTTTCTTTTTCGCCGTTGCTCGACAACTCGCTCTCAGTGGGCACACGCTGCACGACGATCCCTGCGAAGAGGAGATACACCAAAATCAACACATTATTTAGACACGGGGGGGCTGCGCAGAAGAAGCCGTAACTCGGACGAGTTAGAAAAGGGCACGGTACAAACAATGGCATTACTCGTAAATGCCGCCTGGCGACGTGATTCCCCCCCTCCCATAAAAACAACACCTACCCCGAGCAGGTGAAGGAGGACAAAAATGATGCAGTTGTCGCACGTGTCCTCACACAAACAGATCCCGAGCAAAAAATCTTCGTGCCAACCTTGAACTTTTAATGTGTACCCCTCCCACGATAGACAACAGTCCGAAACACGGGATGATCACTATGCGTATTTGATGGTTTGAGCCTGTTACTCACGGGGGATTGTCACTGTAACGCCAGGATCAGAAGCAACAGCAGTCCTTGCACATGCGTGCCGTTCGCCCTCGGCTCGAGCATTGCTGTTGCAAACTTGCTACCGCCTGTGTCATGGAAGACTCGCATGGTCCCGGTTGTGGCTCATATGCGAATGGAACACTTGGGATATAATTAAAGTTCATGACTTACTGCCGAGTTGTTCATAATTGCACACGGAGCAAGATTAAATTTGCGCTGAGATGAAGTTCGCGCAACCTGCCGCATTCAAGTGGCATTCCACCCACATCTCCTCGTTGTTGCCGTACACCGGGTGACACCGCATCCTCCTTTCATCACACACCCTGGTCACCCCCCTCAATGCCTGGCTCCTACGTTGTGTGTTTGTTCACTGGGACTGCAAAATGTTTTACACGGTACCGTACAAGAACCTCCCGGACAAAAGTGTTTCGTCATGGCCCACGTCTTGACACCAGCACCGGAGTGTCCTCACGTGTCTCATGCGGTATGCTACGGCTATCCACGGTGCAGTCCTGTACAAGTGGAACTTTGTTCACTGATCTACGTTAACTATTGTGGGTGCCAACCGCTTCTGACGCGCCCAACCGTCCCCCCCCCCGCGCTCCTTTGCTTCTTATGCTCTTCACTCGTCCATCTGTTTGCTGTTCAAAAGGGCTACGGGTGGGTGCTACTTCCCGGATATTTCCATAGGGAAGGGGGGTGGTGAAGGTGGCGGTTGGCCGATGCGGGTTGTTGGTTTGATATTTGAGGTGGAAGGAAGGAAGATGGTCGAACGGGGTATGGTGACAGGATGGGTTTGGGGTTGGTGTGATGGCGATTACAGGCAGAGAGAAGGCGGGACACGGAAGGCGCCGCCGGTGAATGGACCCGTCGCACTTTATGAACCAGCACCTGGATGTATGCCCCTCGATCTGAAAAGGGAACGTGGCAGCGAAATAAACGAAACCGTGAAATGACGGGAGTCACGCCATTGAGTCCTCAAAACGCCGGCGCGGGTAAGGGATCATTGAGTTGTTTCTTGTGCCTTTGGTGTTATTCGTTTTTTTTTGTTTCATTGCCTCATGTGGGTCTACCGGTATGTGTGAAGCGCGCTAGCAACGGTTGCCCTTGATACCGCATGTTCGGCAAATACTGTATTCAGGTTGGTGACATTCACTTCTGCTGCCGGTGCCAGCGATGCAATCGACAGGCTTCAGGACACCGACCTGATGGGGCGCCCGGTGAGAGTTGTTTGGTCTCATGAGTGTGTTGAGAGCTTGGCGCAGATTCGTAGGCTTTGTGTAGGACCAGTAAACACTACAGCAGTTCTCTCCCAGCTCATGCTCACAACATCACATCGTCGGTGTCCGCGATTTGCAGATCTACCTGAGGGAGGACCGTGAGGAGCAAGGCTTTGGTGGTGGCGGCGGATTCGGTGGCGGGGGCGGGGGCGGGGGCGGGGGCTTCAATGGCGGGGGCAATGCCAACTGCAAGGTGTCAAATTAGATTTCACGAAGACATTCCAGGACGACCCGATCAATTTTGCTGTATTGTTTTGGCCGCGTAGTTTGTGACCGTCGACGTTGTCAACTTAGCACCTAACCCCAAGCACCCATCGCGTCAAGGGGTGGAAGAACAAGTGATTTTGACGCTGGCTATTTTCTGGTACTTGAATCCAATTCAAAGAAAGGAAACCTTCCCGCCGGGGCTAGCTGCTGCATTCTACTGTCATCAGTAGAATACACCATGAAGAGGCGTCGTGCGTGTTGGCACGTTTATGTTTGCTACTGGAGCTGAAATATCGAAGGTCGTATGCATAGCAGGCTCTGAAAACAGCCGGAAATCTGCGCCGGAACCAAGCGGAAAACCAACATTTGTTTCAGCCGTGCTTACCGCCACGGTCTGTAAACCTGTGAACGGAGGGTTGTCAGCAGTAGCTAGTGGCATCAGCTACCCCAGTTTAGGAGATTGGGGTCAGTGGCGACGAGCACAAGCAACACAAGAGACCAGGTGTCGGTCTAATTTGCGGAGATTGTACATGTAGGCCACTATTTACGACCGTCGATGTCACCACCACCGAAGCAGATTTGAGCGCGCCAGCACACACGACGCCTCTTCATGGTGTCCTCTACTGATGACAGTAGAACGCATCAGCTATAATAATTCGCAACACAGACCTTATTTGAGCGCCTGCCGTTTTGGCTCTTTGACTTGAATTTAGAATGGTGTGAATTTTTGTTTTGATTTCAAAGGAGGCGTGTGGAGGTAGACGCGTTAACTGTATGTTTTGAGCAGCCTCTACTGCCGCCCTGTGCGAGAATCAACGATTTATGTTTTTCGCGATGCCTTCCGACTGGTCATGCGGGTCTGTTGTGCATGTTCTGGTGCTCTAGCGTTTGTTTTCAGAATCCAAATTCTTTGTCTGTCATCCCTTGATGTGGTGCCTGGACCTATAGGTGTTCGTGAGCAACCTGGCATACGACGTCCAGTGGCAAGATCTCAAAGACCACATGAAAAACGCCGGCTCGGTGATTAGGGCCGATGTTTTTGTCGGCCCCGACGGTCGCAGCAAAGGACTCGGAACCGTGGAGTTCTCCAAGCCCTACGAGGTAAAGCTGTTGAGACGAGGAAGGTCTGCTGTGTCAGGGTAAATGTTGTTGTTGACTTACGAAGATTCTCGGGGGTTGCGCGCTCGAAATGCCGTAATGTTTCCATGAGATAATGGCTCGAATACTCTTGGTTCGGGGCACCGGCTCCAACTGCTCACGCGCTTCTGTGGGACCGCGCGAAGAGAGGATCATGGCAACGTCATTGACGTTGTGTACTCTTTCGATGCTCATCTACATGCAGGCAAGGAATGCTATCAGCCAGCTCAGCGAAACTGAGCTCATGGGCCGGCCAATCCAAGTTAGGGAAGAACGAGGAGATGCTGGAAATCATGGACGCGGAGTGGGCGGGGCTGCTGGTGCCAAGGTACACAGCGCACTTGAATCATTCTGGGCTCAAGCGATCTACCCCACCTTTAGCCACTCCGAAAATTGTTCGACTCTCGAAGTAAATCGTTCGGTCTTCGAAGCAGAAAGTCTGTGGACCGAACTCTGTACGAGATCTTCCCCAAGTAATCTGTGTCAATACCCTTTGATCGTAACTTCTTCCTGTTGTTTTTTTGTGGGCGACCGCACAATTCCATAATTCAGGTTTATGTTGGCAACTTGAGCTGGGAATGCCAATGGCAAGACCTGAAGGATCACATGAGAGCGGCCGGCAGCGTAAAGTTCGTCGATTTGTTCCAAGAGCCTGGCGGCAGGTCCAAGGGATGTGCCGTGGTGGAGTACGAAACGCCTCAAGAAGCGCACAGCGCCATTCGGGACCTACACGACACAGAGCTCTTGGGGCGTCTGATTTTCGTGAGGGAGGACCGTGAAGAGGTGGGACCTGGTTCGGGTTTATTGTGTTTCCACGGTACAGGAGTAGTGGTCGGGCGTCTTTGCTGGCCTTAAATGATCTGAGAAAGGTTCGCAAGCGAGGGAAATCTCTCTTGTGTATGCCGACCACACTTTTGTGCAAACCTACGGATGACTTCCATACCTCTTTTTGTGTGTCCTCGGCAGGGACCCATCGGTAGCAAACGAATCGGTCAGCTGCATGAAGGGGCAGAGGGACGTCAGGTTCATGTTTCAAACGTGAGCTGGGAGACGGGGTGGCAGAGCCTCAAGGACCACTTCAAGCAATGTGGAAGGGTGCAATTCGTGGAGATCCCCGAGGACGCACAAGGCCGCTCGAAAGGATATGCAACCGTGCGCTTCGGATCGGAACAAGATGCTGCTGATGCCATCAACCAGCTCGACGGCACCGACCTTGATGGACGCCGCATTGGTGTTCGCGAAGACAACCGGCCCTACTAACGGGATCGAAAAATTGGTCTTGGGCCGGGCGTGGCAAGCGCAAACAGTAGAGTACGTCGGGCGACGAATGTGACGTGATGATACAGTAGTGCGATACATGTTGCGATGTACGGGTTGAAGCTTAACAGTGGAGCAATAAGAGGGAGTGTTTGGAGTGTTTGGGGCGGGGTATTTGCTGGTTGCGCGCGCAGTTTGGTCTATTTCTAGTTGCGGCCCGGAGTCGTTGGAGAGAGAAAGCCGACCACTGCAGTCTCCTTTTAGCTGGCCGGGGGAGGTTATTCAGGATGGGGGGGTGGTCTTTGAAAGAAGACACGAATACTCCGGGAGGAAATTCCCTGGGGGGAGGTAATAAACACGCTGTGCCAGTGGGTGTTTTTTTTTCAAAACTATTCAAGGCGAATGGGAGAGAAGGTCGGCTGTCCAGATACCGGAACGAAGCAAGCAGATGTACTGCATGTTAATTTTCTCGAAGAGAGGGGGTAAACTCGTGGGGATTTGCCGTTGATAGCTGGCTGCCGCCAAGATTTGGCGTGGAACGGATCTCTCAGCCGAGTGCAATGTGAGCTTCATTGAACGACAAATCAAGATCACACCTTCAATTCTGAGTGAGACATTCGCAAAAGTATCGACGACGAACGATGTGTCTACACTGCGTAAGCCTTCCGCAGGCTGCTAATTTCCTCGTCGTCTTCGTCACCTAATACGGCAGATATCAGATCGAACGCTCGTGCCAATTCTTGTTTTTCTTTGTCCGCCAAGAACAGGATGTTCACCGCAAACCGGCCCGTCCTAGATAGTGCCCAAAGCCACTCCACGCAAAACCTTGCACCAGCTTTATCTGCAGAGGCACTCCCGTTTGCAGTTTCGGCGGCGCTACCACCTGCGTCTCCTCTTGTTGGAGCACCAGACCGTTCCTCGTTCTCTGGCGTTGCCGGCATGGCAGTGTCAAGCCGTTGCGGATGAAGTGGAAACTCTTGACATACCACCGACAGCACTTGTCCCAGAACGTCCGGTTCCATCTCAACGCGAAACAATGCTGATACGTTCTTGGGGCCAATTAGACGAAGGTAGTCGCGCCGTTCGCCGTTGGTGCAGCACCGCCTTCGCCAATCCCGCTGGAACTGCGCATGGTCTTTCGGGGCGCGCAAAGGGCCTGCCTTCGCCCCGCCACTGATTGCAGTGTCGACAGAACGTTGTGTTCTTCTGGGCGCTTTCTGTCGGCCAGTGCTCCCTGAAACCTTCGTGGTGGGGGCGACACCACCAACTCGTCCTTGCCAACCCCTTTTGGGGACTGAGAGCATTTCCATCTCTTTGCGCCTGCCGCAAGCAACGTGGTGGCAAAGAAAGGTTGATATACGAAGTATTACATACATAGTTGTGCCCACAAACCACACAGACCCCTGTTCCTTTACACAGGGCGCGCTAGGGGATCGTTTCGCCTTTCTCTGGAACCATCGAGTGGCTTCGTCGTAGAAAGCCCCGTGGGCTATTATCTCCCCATACGAGATGCGGGTGAGTGGTACTGCTGTAGTCTACAGCAGGAAACAGCAGTGGCAAACTGCAGCAGCAGCAAGTTTGCACCCTGTATTGTATGCAGTCTTATCGCGTTTCACTCCATGCGCGTAAGTCGCTGACAGATTGGTTGGTGTGCCCTTGCCGGTCCAGGGTCTGACAGCACAAGTAGGTCTTACGTGACAGGGTTTAGCTGAGCGCACGAGACCATGTGCCTGAATTCATCGTAGCTTGCTGCCGTATGAATAGCTCGTTTTTTCATCTCGTCCGTCTTCTTCCGGCTCACATCCTCCTAAAAAGCAGGAGACACGATAAACGGACGATAAAGGGTGTGATTTGACCCAAAAAAGTGCACAAAAAGCAAGAATGCAACCACGATCTACCGAGTAATGGCTAGCTTCCGCTCATATATGTAGTACACACGTTCTTGAACTACCATGTAAGTGTAATTGCATGTACAGGAATTCGTGGACAACCGCATGTACTGCCGTCGACCATGGTACTTGAAAAAAATCGTCGGCAGCACTGCTGTATAACACGAACAACCCACTTACAGTAGGGTAGTCACACGGAACATTGAGTGGTGGCGCGTACTGGAGGTAGGCAAAGCAGCTAACATTCACCCGACTTGTTTTGCATGTGGGATGCCACAGACACAGACAAGACACCTCTACATGTATTTGTCAGGGGCGAAAAGGATGGCAGAGTGTCCAAAGATATACGCGGCAGCAGGTTCTGAAACGCACTCGCCTTGAGAGCTGCGCTCAGCTCTAGGTGTAACGCTGAAGTCTCTAAATGAAGAGTTCCATCGCCTTGTCTCGATGCCATCCTGAGCTTTTACCACTGGGCAGTCGTTTAGATGTGGGAACGTGGACGAGAGATACAATCAAGCGGATCGTATCCGGAGCAGAGTCGGAGATTTTCGCGTTTCTTTGCAGTGTTTGGGAGACTCACATCATCCAAGCAGTAGATCCCCCCCCCCGGTCCTTCGATCCCACAATCGCGTGCCCCCCAACACCGCGTGTCTAGTGTCTGCGCACATAACCAAGCCGAGAGAGCAGGGCTACACGCGCGCGCTGCTGGCTCGTGCATGCAGCCAGCACCATGGTCAAGCTCTATGCTCCCGCCTTTATGGCTCAGATATCACAAACTCAGGCGCAAGCAGGTTGGATGATATGTGGAATCATGTTGGCGATCGACACCCTCAAGTGAGCGAGCAACGTACGGAGATTTCAGGGGCGTTCATTTATCTCGACCAAGGCACTTGCAGTTCAGCCTCACTAACGCGCTGCCGCTGTGTCGGATCGTTTGGCATCAGCTGTTGATGTTCTATTTTATGGAGTACAATTCTGTACACGCGCACTTCAAGCCCTCCAGGGCTACATGTACGTAGGTATGCAGCCTGCCCAGCCACACTGAATCTCGAAAATGAACGAGCAGTGAAACTAGCAGACGCTGCAGGCTGGCTCTTTACAAGCCGCTTAGGGGATTGAACGTCTTGACACCTCGTTGTTGCAGTTCACTCAAGTACCACTATTTACTGCTGTGTAACGCTCCCAGCCGGCCTTAAAGTGCAGCAGCCTTGGGTATGCTCCTCATCCTGTTTATTTAATACGCCACGCATCTGTTGTGTCCGTGCCCAGTCCCATCAAGATCATGGCATGGTCGCTGCGAATGGACCAGAGGTTGTTTGCGGTGCCCTTTACGATCATGCTGGTGTCGCTCATCGCGACGCAGTTCGCTGACATCATGTACTTTTCGGTCCGAATCTTCTTCAGCTCAATCATCAGCATCTTTTTCAACAAGGTGTGTGAACTGAGTGAATGCGCATGCTGTAGGTCGTCGGTGATCGTTCTCAAATCGCAAATAACTGCAAGAGGTCGCTGATGCCATCGCTGCATCGCTTCTTAAGTCTACTTATCAAAGATGTACACTATGGTACATTATGTATCACTACAGCGGTAGCCCATAGATTTCACATAAAGTTGGGGGAAGGCAACAACGCCCACGGCGCCACGGCTCAAGAAAAGGAAGTCAAAGACGAGAAACATCGGTAGGCCATGTTTTTGGAAGCGGGCGCGGCAGCATCAGCTTGTTTGGTCTCGCCGGGACTGATGGCCCGTGGTCCATTTGGTACTGCTGTACCTTCCACAGGCCGGTCGGGGTCGGCTATCGCTCGGGAGCCACAGTTGTTCTGAAATTTCAAATGCACGTTGAACATCGTTGTGCGCCACCGTCCAAAATGTATCCAAATTTGGCACGGCGATGACGAAGGTTAAAGGTTGTATGCAACTTCTTGAGTTAAAGCAGTATTGGATTCTGTTTTTGTTAAGTCTTTCGGCGCCGGGTCGTGGAAGATGTCAAATTCCGTTGGCCATTCCATTAGGTGACCGTTCCATGAGATGATACGAAGTCACAACCAAGTTTTTGAACATCTACCAGGTGGATATTATCGGACAGAGCAACGTGCCGGCCGAAGGCCCCATCATTTTCACCGGGAACCACGCCAACCAGTTCGTTGATGCGCTACAGGTCAGCTCGTGCGGTTGAAATTGTCTCGTGAACCGCGAATGTAGTCAATACCTCGTCCTTTGGATGAAATAAAACATGTGTGATTTTGACGGCGAAGTTGGCATCGCTCGGACACTGCTGTCTTGTGATCGTAGGATGTTAAGATCATGAATCCTCTTTGTACATACATTTTTTATCACGTGCCCACACCGTGCCCGCACAGCGGTAGAAGAGATTTTAGGACAAGTCCAGCGTGGCAAGCCCGCGCTTGTTGTGTGATGTGCAAGCAATGGGGTAACCAAGCCTCATGCTTCAGCTGCGTGTTTCGTTTCCGTTCATTAGGTCATCACGGCGTGTGGCCACAAAGTCGGCTGGTTGATCGCCAAAAAGAGTTGGGACCGCAAGGTACCCGGGTTCTTCGCACGGGCTATGTCGTGCATCCCCGTCGTTCGCCCCCAGGTACATAAGACTTGCTCTTCGTATCTGGTAGAATACGCATACTTGCCATTTTTGCGTGTACCCGTCGTCTTGTATGCCGGGATCAGCGTTGATTCGCTTGGTCTTCGGGCGGATATGGGTGGTTCGTTTTCGCGTGACGCTACGTTTGTCTGAAGTACGTCCGTCTGGAAGAAAGTTCGACGAACGCCTGCCTGCCTCCAAACGCACCCCGGCGATGCCGTGCTCGTATGCTTTCTGCACTTGGTTGCTATGCGAACAGCATATCATGTCATGTCATGTCACGTCCCGCATTCTCCTCGCAGGACTCGGCCATCAAGCGTCCTTCTACTGAGACCATCGTCGCCAACGGTGACATGATAACTGGGATTAACACCAAGTTCACGGAGCTTTTCAAAGACAGGGACAAGCTCCGCTTTCGTGGGAAGTCGGAGCAGTTCAAGGTAGGGTCAGACCGTGCGCCCACTTGGGAATGCAGTCTCGGTTGTGAAGCAAGTATGACAACATGACAACGCTATTGTCCGATGTCGCGCACGGGCAAAATCGTAAGTCTTCGTGTCCGAAAGGGATGATAAACCGGCGATCACCTCCACTCTTTGTGCGCTTCCGTACGAGAAGTTGTTGTTTGCACATGTCTTGTAGTCACCTCGCTCGCGTTCTAATGAAAATTCTCCAGGTGGAGGCCGTTGTGAGTGACACGTCGATAAAGCTCGGAGAGGCTGTGCCACAAGACTACGTTGGGGTGAGTACTCTCGCGTTGCCTGAGGATCTGTTTGCCTTGCTATTGAGGACTCGCACCGTGGCGAAGTCATCCGAGGCATCATGGAGTATCCAGAAAACGCTGCGCTTCAGCCCCCGCACCTGGCATGGTAGTCCCCCAATGATGTCATGGTATGGCGTGAACGATTCCAACAATCAATGCATTTGCGAGACTCTCGTATTCTCGTATTTTGCACGTGTGCATTGGCGGCTAGACGCTGCTGGGAGACAAAAAAGCGACGTGACCGTACAATTTATCTACTGTCATCAGTTCTCGCGCGCATGCACCATTGTCGGGAACGTTTGCTCGGGCATGAAAACACTTTTCATGTCGCTGTCAATCGGTTTCGAGACTGTGTCCGTCCTCGTGCCGACTCCGTCTCACGTTGGCAGATGGGACCGAGCGCGTTCGATGTCCTCAAGTACGTCGATCAGGGCAAGGTGTTCGGCAGGGTACACATAGCGTTGGCACACGGCAAATGCCTCGGAGTGAGTACGCTGTCTTTGGTCCTCCGCGTATTGTGTTCGGTTTTTGACCTCGAGAGTCGCTGTCTCTACTGCAATTGTTGAACTCTGTTTATGGAGTCACCACTATTGCTATATGGCAGCCTCAAAGCCACAACCATGGAAGAGCCAAATGAAATGTATGCCTGGATCGTCACATGGCATACGGAAACTCGGAAGGTGAAGTACACACAGAATGGGTAATGATGGAGACCCGGCAAATGTACATTAGTGTGATGAACGCGTGCATGTCTTCGCGCTCGAACAGCTCATGCCCAGAAACTGAAAAGGCACCAACTCGGTGAAGCCAGCAGTTTGATTGCGTCAACTTTGCGTGGCTAGGCTCAAGGTCGGCCCTGCTCCTGATTTTCCTCTTTCCATTTGCGCAGATATTTCCTGAGGGCGGATCGCACGACAGGACGGACCTGCTCCCTCTCAAGGTGGATGCTCTTCGCTGTACAGTACTAACTTATCTTACAAGACGTTGGCTTAGGGGTCTGGCAGCACACCTCAAGGTTGCGAGGCACTTGCTGCAGGGACAGTATACAGTGCAAGGAGTACAGTACCCTTAAGAATGGAAAATACCGCCGTCCTTCACTCTCTGGTTTGGTCCTAATTCGGTGTTTGCCTCTCACACAGGCGGGGGTGGCAGTGATCGCGTTCGGTACACTGGAGAAGCACGGGGTTAACGTCCCTGTCGTTCCCATCGGGCTCAACTACTTCCGCGGCCACCGCTTCAGGGCGAGGGCTGTGGTGGAGTTTGGGCCGCCTGTGCGCATATCCGAGGAACTGCACGAGTTGTACAAGTATGAACAGATTGGTCCTTGGCATTGTGATATCAATTGCATCGTACTTTTCACGAACCTTTTGGTTTGTTGGCACTTTTACTTCTGATCAGAACATCATGACCATTTGGTAACATTCGCATCGATCGCTGTCTTTCTTCGTGGACTGGCAAGTCTTAAAATTGAGTAGCACAACGCAGCCGCGCGGCCCGCACGAACTATGCAGACATGCAGCCAGTGCCTGCGCCACTGTGTTCACCCTGATATACACGGCCAATAGATCAACTCAACGCTCGACACACTTTCACACTGTCCGCAATGATTGTTATCTTTATCTTGGCAGGACCGACAAGAAGGAGGCCTACTCCCAGTTTCTCATGCAGATCGAGGAGGCCATGAGGGTGAGTCTTGGCGATACTTAGTCCGGTAGCGCGTGACACCATTGAGAGTGCCTATTTTTGGTTGGAGCACAATGAGCAGTTGCGGAAATGACAATTCCTACAGGGTTAGAAGCTGCCGCAGACGTACCTGTCTAAATTTATGTTGTTTTTTTTGGCACCGTACATGACAAGCGCACACACTTGATCTTAGCTTGCTGCAACGCGCATGCGCGTCTGATTCACGCGCTTTGCCCAGGGCTGCATCATTACGGCACCAGACTACGACTCTCTGCAGCTGGTGTATACCGCTCGAAGATTGTGGCAATCCGACGACGTCATGCCTCCACCAGAGCAGAAGCAGGACATGAACCGCCGCTTTGCTGAGAGCTACAAGATTCTTGCTCAGGTTCGAAACTAGCCCGGCGTAGTCATCAACTTGTTGGTCATTGCTAAAGATCCCCCACATTGCCTGCTTAGGGCACGCACACGGATTTCGCGTGAACCAAAGGCGGGAGTGGGCAGCGAACCCGTTTCGAACAGCTCGTGGAGTGAGCAACTTTGTTGAGAGCCGACTGTTTTTTTTTCGTTGCATCGAGACGGACAATGTTTTGTCCCGTTTCTGGCCCCTTCTTTCGACGTCCCACGCACCGGTCGCGGATAAAATTGCCAGCAAACACCACTCATTCTACGCGTGAATATCGCCCGGTGTGATTGATGTGCCGCTTCACTTGTCTGCTAGAAATACTCGGAGGAGGGCATGCCACAGGAAGCCACGGAACTGAAGGAGAGGCTGGAGTCCTACCGCCAATCGCTGGGAAAGCTGGGCATGAGGGACTACCAGGTACGCATTTTTAGCACGGCGACACTAGTGAGCTTGCGTAGCAGTGCTGATTAACGAGCAATTTTGTAAAGCAGAGCTACACGTTGGGGCTCAGGCGTGATACTGTAGGGGAAGAGGATCATGTCACACGCTTGGGCCAGCTTTCCAGATGCTTGTGCTGTTGCTGTCGGTGTGTGGGTTGTCAGCTCTTTCACGAGAAGTTCGATTTTCCGGCGCTGGGCATTGCGACCCCGCCCATATCGATCACAACTGCTTACAATTTCCTTCACCTGTTGCGTTTCCAAGGGAATGTGTTGCCCGAACTACACGTCCTTCAACGTTCTCAACAATACAATTGTACGGGATTAACTTCAGGGAGCAATAGAGACGGGGTCCCAGTGAGAGACATGTTGAAACAAAGCGGTTGTTTGTTTCTATCTGCCCGACGGTCTCGTTTGAGTGCCCCTTCATCTATAAACATTTGATTCCAGTGTTGTTGACGTTGACGGATGTGTATTTTCGGCAAGGCATACCCTTGGAAAAGCAAGAGGAGAATGGAAGCGCAAGCAACTGGCCGATGTGGGCGGAGTCGCAAGGCCCAGCGCTGTGTATTCCTTTATTGAACTATGATGAAAGACCTGACAACCCACAAGCGGTACACGATATCTTGCTTGGAATGTTAATGTTCCGGCCCAGCGCAAGAATGAGCAGCCATACAGGAACACTATTAGTAGCAGCCTACAGTTCTGAGATAATTACGGCCCGGAAGCAGTCAGCTCTGTTGGCCGTTTGCAAACCACAAATCGCTGCTGCTTCACGTATCAGCAACGTAGAGTCCGCAAGGGTTGACAATTCTCGAAATTGTAAGTTCTCAAACTTACAACGGAATCGAAAGAGTGAGGCAAAACCAAAGTGACCTCGGGGGTCATGGTTTTCTCTCAGCATCAACAGAAGCGCGCCTCTGGGTATATGTGGTCTGGATCGCGCTTGTGCTTGTTTTTGAAATGGTGTTTGAATCGGCAGGGATGCTGGTGATCGATCCGATCATCTACCGCGGGTCACCCAATGTATCCAACTCTTGTAAACTCCCTTGCGAAGGTGCGCACGCTGGACAAGCCAAACCCGCTGAAGGCCACGTACACGGTGATCCACATGTTGGTAGTGCTGCTACTGGCGTCGGTGCCCTCGTTCATCCTCAACTTGCCGGTGGGAGTCGTGGCGAGGTAAGCCGTAGCACACAGCAAACAATGTTGCATTTTTTAGCTTTGTGGTCCGTCGCCCCTCCGGTGGTTTAATATACAACACCCACCTCCGAGATTTATTGGCGGGTTGAAGCTCTGATTTGTAGTATGAAACGATTCAGCACACTCACCTGAAGGCCCAATCTCTTTTCTGCGTTTGCATGAGCGATTGCCATCGGGAACTGCCACACACACACATTAACCCCAAGTTCGACGCAACATGGAGAACTGCGTTGTAGTTTACCATGCGATCTCCGCAAAGCTGTAGCTAGCTGCCAGCGGCCCTTGATGGAGTATGGGTCTCTTTGTCGAGAGTGAGGGTATGGGTATCGTCTTGGGTCGACAGCAGGTGGTTGTATAACGTTATGACCCATCAACCCAAGAAAAAACTGAGGGAGGATTTGAATATCTCAGCCGAACGTTTTTGTTTCAGAATGTGCTCTACCCAACTCTTTGGTTGGCTGATTTCGCACAACATATCATAGGGTAACGGCAATCAAGGAGCGCAAGAAGGCCCTGGCGGGATCGGTGGTGAAGATCGCTGGTCGAGACGTGATGCTCAGCAAGAAGATCATGATTTCCATCGTCATGGTCCCGTTGCTGTGGATGTTCTACGCCGTGCTGATGATGGCATTGACCGACTGGGAATTCTCCACCAAGGTGAGCATCTACATCTATTATACGACAACAATGACTGTGACATACGTCGAGGAATTAACGGCTCGCTCGTTGACATATAAGCCAGGTTGAATTAATGCTCGAGCGGGAAGCCTAACGTTTGCTCGGCACCCGCTGACCGTTTCTCTTTTAGACCCCAACCGGTAGGGTTTGCAACTTCCGCCCTCTTAAGCATATTCCCACCGCCCACCTCTTTGAGCAAGTGAAATGTGCGCTGGTACAGCAGTTCTGCTTTCATCGGGGTGGCCGCATGTTGGCAACGATTCGACGGCGATATTGATACAGTAGATGTACCTGGCGGTTGCCATTAGTAGGCATAGATTAAATGAGATGACGGAAGAAACTGCTGCCCGTTGCCCACCATGGCAGGAAAGTGGCGTATGCTGTTTACCACACTGACCCTCAGCATGGTATCCGAGACGACGATTGTGAAACCGTTTCGTTGCCACTTTAACCGGTTCGTGTTCTGTCATCCTTGTTGTAGGTGCTGGTGATGCTGTGCTTCCCGCTGTTCAGCTACGCTGGCGTGGTCGGCACCGCCTCTGGCATGGTGGACCTCAAGGACATCAAACCTCTTCTCAACATGCTCCGGCCGTCGACTCGAACGTTGATGGTGAGGATCACGCTAGGGTTCTTGGATTTCGGGTACAGTCAGATGCGCGTGTGTGTTAGTAAATTCATCTGCGAGCCACAGCTACAAGTCCAAGAGACCGTTGGAACCGCTGGAAATTCAAAAGACAGGCACCACCCAGTCGCGAATGGACGCAAAGTGTGCCAGGGTAGCACCTACTCGGCTTGCGCGGCATTTTCCTTTGGGACGCTGTCTCATAACAATAACGATAGTTTCCACTTGTATGCATACTACAAGCAAGACTGTAAGGAGCTTTGATCCGCGAAAGACGTGAGCGAGTCTGTAATGGCCGGGCGTCTGACGGGCCTACTTCTTTTAGCTTTTGTTGCAGTTCTTCCAAGCAAATGTATTGTCAACCGACGCCCCGATGAAATTTTCTCGGACCAACTTAAAATGTTTAACCATAATCCCCGCGTTCGTTCATCCTTGGCTTGAACATTCCACATGACCCCAACGCGCCAGAACGAACTACCGGCGGTGCGACGAGAGCTTCAGAAGGACCTTCGGGCTTTCATCAAAAAGGTGGGACCGGAGCTGGGAGAGATCTACACCAAGCCAGACCTCAAGTGGGGCGACCTGTTCCGCATGCAAAAGGTGTGTGCGCTTCAGCTGACCTCTCGCTACAAGTGGGTGGTTCTCGCAGAATACAGGCATTTGACAAAATCGCCGACACCTGTACAGGATGCGTGCGAGGTGCCAAACAAGTGCAACAGGCTGACACATTGATTACCGGGATGCAGGCAACAATTTTGTAGGTGAAATGACGCAACCATACACGTTTTCTAAATGATCCAGGTGTGCACGATAGCTCCGTGGGGGTTATACTCCGAGGGGGGGCGGGAAGCTAACTTGCAGTGTTGTGTGGAGAGTGTCACGTTTTATCAGTGACGCTGGATACGCAGACAGGCGTGTACATGTTTTAGGAGAGATGGTCACAGATTATTGCAAGGTCGAAAACGGTTGACCAACGCCCGCCTTGCTTGCAAACGCGTTCTCTTATGTGCGAGCAGGACAGCGCCGCCGAAGCCGAAGGGATCCAAAAGATGGCTGCGAATGCAGCGGAAGCAATGGGCGACCTCCCCAACCCGAAGAAGAACGATTAATTGCACAACATCGCACTTTGTTCGATTTGTGGGTGGGGGCGCAAACCCTGTCTCGATTTGACCAGCCAGTAGCCCAGCAGGCGGGTTGATTCTTGCCTTAGATCACATATCTCACTACGGCGGCGTCATGTCACGGTGTGTATGTATGATAGCAACGTGCTGGTCACGATTTGTCTCATGTATGCTGTTGGCACGAAGGCAAGGGGTTCGATATGCTCTCTTGTGTGCAGCTGTCCAGAACGTGTTCGAAGCCGAGGGGATCCAAAAGATGGCTGCGAATGCAGCGGAAGCAATGGGCGACCTCCCCAACCCGAAGAAGAACGATTAATTGCACAACATCGCACTTTGTTCGATTTGTGGGTGGGGGCGCAAACCCTGTCTCGATTTGACCAGCCAGTAGCCCAGCAGGCGGGTTGATACTTGCCTTAGATCACATATGTCACTACGGCGGCGTCATGTCACGGTGTATATGTATGATAGCAACGTGCTGGTCACGATTTGTCTCATGTATGCTGTTGGCACGAAGGCAAGGGGTTCGATATGCTCTCTTGTGTGCAGCTGTCCAGAACGTGCTCTAAGGTCGAGGCGTGCGTGCAGCGAGTTTAAAATACTCCTGCAAGCGCCAGTGACAGAGTGAAGTGTTTTTGTGGTCCACGCATAGGCTTTGCTTGCGCACCATTTTGCGTTCGCACCCAGTCCGGTGGCAGATTGTGTTGTACATTGTCGTAGTGGCCCGGTGTGCGAACTTAATGGCAAATGGCTCGGGACGTTTACAGCTGTGCGAGGTGCAAAACGGGCTTTCATGCCGTCAGTCGGATTCTCCGGTAGCTCACGAAGGTCACGTCCAAGTACTTGTATGCATACTGATGCATGCAGTGGACGTGTCGTGGACGAAACAACACACACACGCTGTCCTTCTGCCCCAGAAAAACATTCAGAGGCCATGCTACCATGTGTTGTGATTGTCTGGGAGGGGCGGCATCCGAGAATGCTCGAGGACGACGTAGGGTGGACGCTTACGCCACGTCGGGCATCGGCATACAAAAAGAACACGCTCAATGACTTCTTAGGGAACCAAAGCCACACGCTGGCAGGACACCAGCAACATCATGCCGAAGTGCTTTGTTTCTGTCTACGGCTCCTGTACGGGGAACTCGAACACAACGTCCTTGTTGGTGATCTTCTTGTATACCGAAGAGAAGGTGTCGAGCTTGGTCTCCACGTTCACCTAGGGTTGGTTTCAGAGGAACGATGTGCACATCGGGAGAAACGCGTCAGTCAGACAAATCCCATAGGAAACTCGAGGATTTCTGGCACGGAAGGACAACAAATAACACGCCCAAAAAGCCACCTGTACATACGACTTCCATCAACAAGGAATAGATTAACCCTTTTCAGCGCAAGCCAAGCGGGGATTGAGAACTTCACGTGGCTCGGCTCAACGCGGGCATCGTAACGAAGGGGTAGAATTCCTCCATTCGGGGGGGGGGTGTTGCCTGCTGCATGTATCGCGAAACCGAACAGTGCCTCACCTGGTCCTTAGGGTCGAGCTGGACCTTGAGGAGCTTGGAGCCATCGATCTTGCACCGTGTGCGCTTGCCGACGATCTCGGTGGGGAACACGAGGTCCTGTTAAGTCATGAGGGAAGCGTATCGCAAGCGTCGGCGGCGAAATTAGCTTGGAGAAACGCTGCTGGGAGCGTGTAGCAAGAGATATATGCGAAACACATGGCCATGTCCGCGCGACAGACAATTCCCATTACAAGTACAGCTTCCAAATGCACATCCTGACTAATCCTCTTGACACGAAAACACGCGTGCTCCGCCAGCAACCAGAACTCCGTTGTGCGATCAAAAGAAGCCGTCCTAGCGTGGGGTCTACATACAGTTCGCGCAAGTGTTCGGCCACACAAGTCAACACCAGTGGGTCAACCAGAGCCACTTAAAGCAAACCGCAGATGCCCATCTTTTGTGGCTCAACAACATACTTCACGGTAGTGTGATGATCTCTCTCTTGCAACATTCATTCTATCAACTCCCCAAACCCATTCTGTCTTGACCATACGTGTGCTTGATCCAGCTTTCGGATTTCTTTTGTTTGTCTTCCGAGATACCGCAATAAGTTGACACGTACTATATATATACTGTAGTCGCTCAGACACTCCGTAGTCGTTAGTCGAGTAACTGTCGTCATATCTATTTGGACCATCGCGAGGCTACTACAGAAGTGCCACAGACGCTCATCAGTGATGGCGGGCGGTGCGGCCACACGCACGTGCAGCCAGCTTCACAAGAAGCAGGCACTCCAAATACTGATGCTAGTGAGGTCGGTGTCGCTCTTCCCAACAATACAAAACCGCCAAAAGACAAATGCTGCCGCACCTACCCATCAGAACAAAAAAAAAGTGCGTTGGTGTCGTTCGGGAAGCAGCGGTGAAAGTAACTGCTGAGGGCATGGCGAATCACTGCATGGTGCAGCAACACACATGCAACACTCGTTACCTCGAGCATGGCGTCCTGGACGGCCGTGAGGGTGCGCGAGCGTGGGCGGATTCCCTGTGTCTTGGTTGAGCGAGCGTAGCTCTTGCCGAGGATGGTGCGGGTGGCGATGATCACCACGTGGCGGCCGCTGCGGAGGGAAGGGGCAACAAAGGGCTCTTGTCAGGAGACAACTCCGGCAGAGTTGCGATGACTGTGACAAGATAATTTTGGCAGTACCCATCGCGACATGATGCTGTTTATGGCATTCCATCAAACCGTTGCTGAGTCGTGCCACAGCAAGGCGATCCCACATGACTTCCGTATGCATAAGGAGCTGTACACTACAAAAAAAATCCGACTTCGAAATCAACAATTGTCACGACCGAAAAAGGCGAACACGCATGAATACTACTTCTACAGCTTAGGGCGCCACAAAACCGATTTTGAAAAGACATACGGAAGCAGATAGGAAACCGCATCGGCAAGGAAAGCTGCATCTAACGTAAACTCATTTCATATTTTACAAGTAGCGCAGGTCTGCAAGTTGGAAAAAGTGGTGTTGTGTAGGCTCTTCCCACTGGTGCAGGCGCGGGAAAGTCCCAAAATACGCAAAAGAAGGTATTGTGTGAGTACCACAGTCACGAAGAGCCTGAGTCACTCGCCCTGCTGAACAACCCCAACCAGCAAGCCCGATAATCCCCAGCACGAGACCCACTGTTTCTTTGTTCATCACAACAGAGATGGTACAGCAGTCTACAACCATGACCGACTGTCACAAAAAATGTCTACATGCCGTGAAAAGCTCAAACGCTAGCAGCTATTCGCCCCAGGCTGGTTAACCACAACCAACAGTTGGGAAGCAACTCTGTACAGCACGTTGTCTCCCCCCCTGGCAAGTCACCTGAACTTCTTCTCCAGCTCTCGCACCAAGCGCGTCTGGATCTTGTGGTAAGACCTCAGCAAACGGTACGGTACGAAGATGATGATGGCCTTCTTGCCACCCCCCACATCCACCTGGAGTGGTGACAGACGGGTTCCAGGTTCAGGTGAAGAAGCGCCCAGTCACGTGCGTTGAAACAAGGAATGCACTCTAGACATCGTTGCGGGGGGGCGTATGATGTGCTACCAGAAAGGATCGATATACACTTCGGTCGGTGGGTGATCAACGAAGCAAAATTACGCCAGGCATGAGGCCAAAACCACCTTGAAGGATGACCCCATAGTCGAAAAACACCGTCACGATCTCAAGTTGTTAGAGGACATGGCGAGTTACCACGTCCTGCACAGCGAGTCAGCTATCCCGCCCCCGCCTCCCCCGCACGTAACCCCAGGGAGCAATGCATCGTGACCTTTATCATCCTCCTCGGCGAGTGCTCGAGAAGCCGACCGGCGGTGCTCAACAGCGTTTAGCTTGAATTCGTCTAGCGGAAAACAGTCCCCCCAGTGACTGAGAGGTGGATCTGGAAGCTCAACGACAAATTCCAACGGAAAGCTTTATCCCATCCACACTCCCGTTTGAACCGCACCTGCTTCGCGCCCGTGATGTAGAGGTCGCGGATGTCCGCCTTGATGTCCGCGGCGGACATCTAGTAGAACGGCAAGCACGCGAGCATCAAAATGGGGAACCGTCAGCTCTGCAGGCACCAATACTGTTTGTGAGGAGGAGAAAATACCATGGGTTCAACGAAGACAGTGCACTTGAGGATGCTCCGCCACTGTAGAATCCCCATGGACGAGTTCCCGAATCTCGTGAAACGGTGATTGGTTCGTGATCATTATTATGTTTTGTACATGAATGTCGGCGTAGGTGGCCCCCTTGTACAAACTCCGTCATTTTCGCCCGAGACCGCCACTTGTTCGTAGCACGGACCGAGCCCACACAGCAGCACCATTGCAATGGACGGATAGTACGACAATCTGATACGGACGCTTTAAAGACGTCCATGGATCCCACGCGATGATAAGCTGTTACACAGCGGATATGCAGCGGAAGGTATTTCAGAATCGGCATTCGAGCGGAAGCACAAACACCTGGATGCAAATCCAACCGTCAGAGGCGGCTGCGTTTTTTCGGTGAATTCGCAAGACGTGGACAAACAAGCAAGTTTCTGAATCCTGAGAAAAAAGAAGGGGGGGGGGGCTTTCCAAGCTTCGCGAGGCTATTCTTCTCTCTGTCCCTACCGGAGTCTACGAAAGAACGAAGTCCGGGGGCGTTGGAATCTTGGACACGACACCAGTAACCAGGGTTTGCAGCCCCATGCCGAGCGTGCAATGGAAAGGAACATTGGGTTGTCCCCTGCTGTGTTTCTTTTTCTGCTACAACCTTGTCACGACATTATCACGCACGCCCCAAACAAAGCACAGTATAGCCGTCTGCGCAACAGACTCATCGCGGACGAGTACTTTATATGGCCTGAAAACCACTTTCGTGGGCCACTACCCTTCTGTGGGAATCACTGCTGTTGCACTGGTCGTTATCGTTGGAGATTGAGAATCAGCTTGATCCGTGTGTGTTCAGACCACTTTTCTTGCGCGTAGGAAAACTCCAAGAGAACAAGCCTTGGCTTGCAACGGCCCACCCCCTACCGCGCATGGTTCCGCTATCAACGTGCACAACTGGCGATACGTTGCAACATTCCAAGCGAGACCCACATTCTCGTTTCAAAGGCACAGCAGTGTCGCGGCTCGGAAAATGAACTGCCAAGAAAGAGTGCGGGACAAATATGGAGAGATGGCTTGGGACATGTGTACCAAACCCTACCCGACATGTTCCATCCAGTTCAAGAGCAAAACGGCTAGGCAAAACTTTGTCTTGTACACCACCCGTAGCCGTAACCTGCGTTGTCACATGTACATGAATTTGGTTAGCGATCCAACACTTGTGGCCACTCCTGGGAGTTCGTTAGTCCCAACAAGCCTTAGGCTTGCTTGGAACAAGGACCACAAGCTCGCCGCTGTTGGATCGCTGTTCTTCCGAGACTCTCAACTCCAGTCGATTACTCGCATTTGCCTTGATGATTGGAAACATTCTAAAACTGGCAGACCCCATCGAACCTTACTGCTGTGTCGAACGACCTAACGGATGGATGATTTAGAGATCCCCACAGCAGGCGCGAGGTACACATAAACTACTCGTGATATGTTGGCGCGGGAGAGCTCTCATGATACGACAATCAAACCCATCACATACCCACTATTCAAGAACCCGCTGCAGCAGAAATTGTCCACAATCGAAATTTGCTTTGGCAAAACACGGCACAAATCTTCGCAAGTTTGAGTGTGGTCACGTTCACGTGCGTGAAAACTGAAGCGGTGGGTGGGGCACTGGCAGAGCCGGACGCTCAGTAGGTATCCCAGCCACTACTGTGAGCAACCAAACTCCGGGGTAGACATTCCACACCAAAAACGCAGTCAGGACTGCATATGTACCACAACCGAAGGCGTAAACCTCATCCTTCCCTTACCTCGAGGTTGAAGAGCTCCTGAGCTACCTGCTGCTCGAACTCATCCGCCTCCTGGCCCTCAGGCTTAACAATCTTAGTCGCTCCCGTGAACATGGTGACCTATATTATATACACACGTACAGACAGGTAGCCGAAGACACGGAAGAAAGCGAGCGACTTTACAAAGTGAATTTGGAGGCAAAGACGCCAACAACTCGTTGACAGTAACCGCAGAGGGGTTGTTCGAAGTTGATGTTTGCATCGATCACAGCCTCAACGTTGCCGAAGTAGGTTTTCCGGGCTGACACGCTGCAGGTCTATCGCTACACGCAGCAGCAGCAGTGGTGCACAGAGCTCAGGCGTCCTCTATGTACGATCAGGGAATGGCTGGCACCAACACGAGCCTTAGACCAAATTTGTCTCGTTCCCTGAGATTGCGCTCCGCCACAAGGTACCCCTTTACCAATGACCAACTTCCTGGTGTACTTTTGTCTTTCCCACAGTGCTCACCAAAGCTCCAGCCCCCGAAAGCTCAAGCGTGTGGGCACCAAAGCTCGGCCACCAACAGCAGAGGCCCCACGGTTGGATGGTAGCTGGGGGGTGGGAGGGGGGGACAAGGAGCAACACGCCTCATTCTCATATGTACATTTGAAACGTTCTTCAGTTTTTTTTTTTCGCTCCTCTGTTGCGACAGACAGACGTTACCCCGCACGCAGCACGCAGCACGCAGCACGCAGCCCGAAACGGACTGTTTCCTGTTTCGGTTCACCCCACGATGGATATTGGCCGCTGAGAAGCCATAGCGGATCGGCACGGTAGTTGCTTGTGGGCATATGCAAACGAAACTACTCTGTCCCGACCCTCGATTGAGTGTGTGGTGGTCCACACAGCCGGAGTTAGTTTTCGTTACAGCAGTGTACAGCTTGACGGTGCCGCGGGTCTCCCGTGTATAGACGGACAACGGCTGCGGGTGTGAACATACTTGTAACTACCGAGTCTTAAGGAACACGATGGCCCCAGGGCCGAAGCGTGGAGATCTTGAAATATTCATAACGCCGAGGAGGGCTGTGCTTCCCGAGGTGTTTGTGCCCTGCACAACGCTGACGAACGAGTTGCATAGAGTCTGCTGTTTTTGTGGACTTTCGCCCTCAGCTGCATTTGGTAGAGTTTTCGCCCTAGGGCAGCCGGGCCACCCCGCACTCCTACCCCGACCATTAATAAACATGAACGAGGTCGTCGTAACAGAAGTGCCTGTACACTTTCGGTGGTGCAGGCGCATTGTCCACTCCGCCCACATTGACATGCTCGCAGGTAAAGTCCTTTCCTGAAGGCCAACGCGCGCGCCAGCTCTCATCAACTTGAAATAGAAGGAGCATATAACCGCGTTTTTCCCTTGTACTTCTTGCGATTGCTTTCGTCTGCCTCCAAGTAAAAGTACGTACATTTCCGCACGAGAAGATCCAATCTCGGCCCTTTCAAATCTTTATGTGTCAACTAACTGCCGATACAAAAACAACCGAAAACCCGCAATATACCCAGCGCGATCCACAACGAGCGCTGTGCAATCTCCCCGTCAAACCAGTCCAGCACAAGTTGGATGAGCACCCCCCCTGACCGAAAACAAACACTCAAGATGTCAGAAGTCCCGTGTCATGATGTTGCGAAGGAGTGTGGCAAAGTCGTACCTCGGCACGCTCCAGTCACCCGCAATGTGAATGTTTCGTCTCGTACCCAATGTCTGTTTGTCGTTCTATTCATAGGCAGGCTCAATCTTCCGACTCCCAGTGCACGATGTAATGGTATTTGACCCCTTCCTTCAGAATCAATCACCTTTGAGCTGTGTGGAACTCTCTTGTCCGACCACAGCAGTAGCAGGTTGTTGTTGCTTTCCGTTGTTCTCTTTCTCTTGATTAACGCTTTCCAAGCCAACTCACAATATCCCACGCACACACGATCATAGATCGATCGCCTGTACGCACACACTGAACAGAAGGGCACATGTCTCGGCATAAAGCCCTGATCTAGCATGACGTCACGTCTTAGCATCCGACGGCGCCAAATAACCATGATCAACCACGATCACATGTCTACCTCCAAATACCATAACAACGAGTAAGATCAAGATTCTAGCCGCAACCTACGTGATACTTCTAAGTAATCGAGCTTAAAGAATTCAGTAGGGTGGGGGATGCGCCGGGAACGAAACTTAATTATTTGCTACTTTCTGGGCCTAATAGGGGGAGGGAGGGACACACTGCAAGTTCTTCAGCTCTCTCACTGATCCAATCTTTCGAGAAATATTGTCGATACGGGAATATTGGTGGGACAAATTCTCGCGAACAGCGTGACGTAGGGATCTTAATGCGCAGGACGTTACAAATGTCGGGCGAGCACATGGAATGTGTATGTGTGTTTTTATTGTTAGCATCGACCGCGCTAACCGGCTGACCAATGAAAGACGTCAGTCTTAGTGCGGTTTAAAACACAAAACACTTCTATCTGCCATGAGCTGGGACCCCGTGAGGGGGCAGCATGGGGGAGGCTTCACCATCCGCCGGATCAAAGACAGAAACGGTAGCAACAGAAGAACACTACACGCGTCTACCAAGGATATTGCACTCGAGTTCGTTTTGGAGTGCTTTCACCATTATCTTCCTTGTTATCGCTACCATCATGTTCATTATCCTTTTCACAGCAATCCTTTGGCAGTGTGTGTGTGGCGGTCATCACATTTCACTGAAGAGGTGCGATATATCTCAGTCCAATCGCAAGTACTTCGAAGGAGGACAAGGCTTCCGCGCCGCAATAACAGTGGAGCAACATCGGTGTTCTCTACGACGGTGCCGAAGCCTACAGGCAAGCCGGTCGATCAGAGCAGACAGGTCTCAAAGCTCGTGAAATACAAGTAAACCTAGTATTTCGCGCAACTGCATTGCATGCGGGCGGTACAGCACTTATCCGGGCAGCATCGACGTGAGAAAACCCGCCCCGGTTCACAACGATCACCGGGTTGACGTCGGGAGACTTGTGCGTATATAGGTAAAAACTGTTTACAACAGCAGTCGTCCAGTAGGTCCGAAGGCACGAAACATATCCTTCCCTTAGCGAACGACACGCCTGCCCGCGTTATAACCTCGCTCTTTTCTATGGCCGTTGACCTGGGAGTTGCGGGGACCCGCTGGCGGCTGAGGCCTACGGGACGGTTTATTCCACTTTGTCCTGTTGGGTTCTCTGGCTCGCTGTCGCTCTGAGTATCCATGCATAATTTTCTTGGTTACGGCGTCGGTCGAAAGCTGTGACACCGCCCACAGCAAGCGCACGCTCTCCATGCGCTTCTCAGCACCGTCCAGCTCTGATGAACGAATTGTGTCACCGTTCCGTTCTCCGTGTACTACGCTAGTCGTCGTTTCAGCATGGCTGCCGTCCTTGCTCGCCTCGCCTTTGTGTGCTTCCGGCTGAGAGGAAACTTGGAAACACACGCTTTCAGCGGGGTCTTGTTTTTCTCCTGAAAGGTACTCAATACTTGAAGGCTGCTGCCGACTCGAACATTCCCCGAGCGTCGAAGCGGTAGACGCCACGGTCGAATGGTAGAAAACCCTTGCAAGTCTCGCCAAACTTGGGGTCCTTGTGGTCTCACGTTGGTCTGGCCGGGGTGATACTCTTTCTGCCGCGCCCGAAGGCGCCGAGGCCGGTCGATTTTTCGCGACCGCCCTTGCCGGATGTCTTGAGGAAGGGGCCGTGTGGACACACTTTCGAGACAGTCGCCCCAGACCTTTAGCATTCGAGCTCTCGTCAGACATGGGCAGGTCTGCAATGGAGGCGCGTTGCTGTCGCTGCTGCTGCTGTTTTATTGCGGGTTGCATTTGCTGTGCGCGACATCTGTGCGAGTAGTGGAGGTCCGTCGACCAGGGTGGCCGACGCGCGGCATCGGTCGCACACGTAGTCCCAAGCATACGGTCGGTGTTCGTGCCCTCAGCTTGTGATGCCAAGCGTTGATATCGCTGCTGGGCCCATTGGCGGTAAAGGGATGGGTCATTTCGAACCATTCCAAAGGCAGAAAGACGTCGCCATGACCGTTTTCGACGATCTCGTTTCCAGAGGTTGATGTCCTCCTTTCCCGTAGGTCCGAAGTCCGCCAGCGCACGGAGCTCTTCCTCGTCCATCATGGCTACCATTTTCCCCAGCTCATCATCTTTGACCTGAATAGCACGCTGAACGTCTGCCTTAACGCGTCTACTCAAACCCATCACCTGTTCCGGGTCGAGAAAAGGAATGGTTGTCTTAGTCGTGGTCGATGTGGGTAGGTCCATGCAAGGGCGTTTCGCTAAAACACGGCCCACGATATTTGTCGACAAGGGCACGACACAGGTAGGTGCGGCGTGTGTCACTCGGATGGCGTGCGTAGTGATTTAAAACGGTGCAATTGTTCTCACCACGACAACGAGGCACGCCGTAGACCGCGGCAAGTCACGCACTACAAAAGGGCGAGCACATAGCGCATGCCTACCTCTGCCCGGGCGTATCGCGTGGTATCGAGGTTCTTCTGTATTTTTCGTGCCCTAGGAGACGGCATCGACAATGCGTTTTCGGTGCAAGCTTTACCACTGCCTTTGGTGACGCCAGAAACCTGAGGATAGGCATTATTGAAAAACGCGACGTGTCGCTTTCATCGTTCCTTGCAACGGGCGTATCACATGCAGCTGTGACGAACGCTTGATCAACGTATCGCATACAAAAACATAGCAGACAAGCCATGCGAGTGAAAATCACGCTATCGAACCTCGTGTGCACGGCGTCAGCAACACACGCGGTACTCATTGCGACTACGGCTTGAAGGTTTAGGGGCCGCGCTGATGCTTGCATCCGTCAATAACATCTGGAAATCACTTTTCGGACGAAGCTATCTCGTTGAGACTTCGGGATGCGCTTGACCGAGGTTGTCAATGCCTTCCTTCTTTTCTGCCCGCGTTCCTTCAGCTCCTCCAAAGTCGTCTTTGCCCTGGCTTCCTGCTCGTGGTGGCAAAACAATTGTTGACGATGAAGCGGTAGAGAGCGGTGTCACTGCCTTAGCCACTAACGCATGGGAATATGGAGGCATGAAACTTGCGACGGGCGTTTGCTAGGACCACCCAGCAACATCAGCTCCAGAAACGATAGCCTCAAACAAACGTTGAATATGTTCAACAACTATTGTTTATTGGATACGGTTTCCCGAATGGGTTTGGCCCGGGAAACGGATTCCATAGACTGGTTATAAATTGTTCGTGCGCTGGAAAAAACACCATCCCATAAACCAGAATCTTGGCTGCCCACACGACCTTTACCACACACCAACCTGTCTAATCCTCTTTGTCGCATGTGGGTGTTCAGCGACCGTTCTATTGTTCTTGGTCTGTCGAAACTCTTCCCGCTGCTTTGCTCGCTGTGCCTCCTGCGATACATTCGACGAACGAGAACGAGGGAAGGAGCGCAATATTTTCAGAGCATCAGAAATAGCTGGCCACACTATCGCCCATATGATTCACCCCGCCACGCACGGGCTCTGTTCTCTTGTGGAGCATGCCGAGTGAGGTGACATCCAACACACCTGATGTTCATCTACGTGTGCCAAGGATGCCATGCGATGCTTCCATCGTTGCGCCCGACCTCGGACGTAGTCGTCCGGAAGTCATTGGTTGGCCTGGTACTAACGTGTCCAAATGAAGAGGGTATTCGCTAGCGACTCGTGCGCCTACTACAATAAGGTATTCGCGAATGTTCCCAGAAACATCATTGTTTTCAGGATACGGCATCAACGAACAACGCGCTGATCACATTGCAGAACTCACAAATTTGAGAAAGTCGTTGTTTTTGCTTGTCAGCAGGGCTTTGTCCTTGCGTTCCATTCCTTGAATGGCGTCCTTGAGGAGGGTATCCTTTTCACCGACGATTCGATTCAAGAGCGAGACGGCCTGTCTACTTTTTGCCGCACTTTTTACTCTCGGCGTCACAAAGGCGTGATCCAGGCTTTTCGGTGGTGGCTGCTTGCTGGATCCATCCCCCTTGCCGTGTTCTCGCTGTTTGTGAGTTCCGCTGGCATTGTTAGGCAGTGAGCATCGTTCGAGATCGAATTAGAGACAATCCAGTATTCGGCCGATACCGCGAAAGAGGCAACCCCAATGATCGGGTGCAATAGAGTGTAAACGCGATATTGCAATGCTTTACCCGACCCCATCCCATTCCCGCCGAAGCTCCAAACCTCCATGTACTTACTCATAGACAGGGAGCCAACCCGCTTCCTTTGCAACGTTTTACTGGGATATGGTGGAAGGTCAGCAGTCACTAGTACTCGTCAACACTGGGCATCACTTTCGTTCTCGCTATGTACGATCGGGAAAATATTCTCCCTGTTCGTGAGAAGTTGGCAGTACTTCGGCGGCATCTTAATTTTCCGACACCCAGCCATCCTTCAACAACCATAGCACAGGGGCGGGACCTTGACGGTATTTCTGTCAAGAACCAGAATCACGACGTTTTCTCTTGGAACTCGGGCAACGACCTCGCCTGAACTTCTCGTGGTTGCGTCGTACGATTCGATCCATCTGCTGCTTTGTCAGGGTGAGAACGGCGCCTTTGAGCTGCTTGTCGTGGGCATAAACAATGCTATTGAAGACCGATACCATCTCCTGCAAATCAAGGGAAGCACAAGCGACGGCCGTTTCGCCACGTAGCACCTCTGCGAATCAGGCGGTAGAGCCCACTGGCTTTTTGTTGACCAAAGCCTTCTCTATAGAAGACGCGGCGAGAGTTAGTCTGGATTGCCTTGCCGCTACTTTCGCACGAGAACATTTTCCTGTTTGCAAGGGGTTGGCATATTTCACGAAAACTGTTCATTGTACTACGAAGAACGAGAGGCTAGACCCGTGACAGATGTCACAATCTATTCTAGCTAGCATTTGACACCAGATCCGACTTGACGAACTTGGTCTGGAAGTTGGATCCGCTTGAAATTGTCGTACACTCTTCTTCAAATGCACCACATGACACAGAAGAACTAACCCTGCTCCTCTCCATGTGCTGGACACGTGCAGTTGCATTCGTTAGCTTGGCATCCTCTCTGTCTTTCTTTGGCACCTTCTTGCCAAGCTTCCTGTGGCAGTTTCGAAGACGAACGATTTTTGTTCCAGGCTTGCAACGTTGGCCTGGGTACTATCGATTCCAAGTGCGTCTGCTCTATCGTCTCCAGGGGAAGCACGAGGAATCCCCGGGTATTCACCATGAAAAAACAGCTAGTGGCATGTTTTTCAGCTAACGGGACATCCAAGCGTGGTATTCTACGATGTTCGAATAGCTCTACCGCGTGGGAGAAAAATCGACTCGTCGCGAGAAAGTACCTCAATGGGTACATAGCTGCCAGCCACAAGTTTTCCAAAGCGCCTACAGCTTGTAGATTGGATCGTAAGACTCAGCAGCCGTGTTTGTCAAATCGTGTCTAGTCCCTCCACATACCGGAAACCTTGAAGCATTAAAAATCCCGAGATCGTACATCGACGTCGTTGCCCTCATAACAATGACAAAACGAGCTTATCCGGAGAAAAGAACCGGTGAAACACAACTTCATGTTTTTCAAAGAATTTGAGAACTTGCCTGGCTGTGGAAAGGTATCCCGTCCAAGCGTCTTCTCCACCCCCTGCGATGTATCCTTCCATGTCCTCCTCGCCTAACTGAGTGCGTCGGGAAGGGGGGGATTTTTTCGCGTGCTAGGTACGGGCATCGCGTTTGCCTAGTGATCAAGTTGGAAAAGGGGCATGCTTCACAAAGTTTGATATGGAGGGTGCACTCAAGACGAACAACTCCAAATCCGGCATATGTATTCGCAGCTTCCCCTATGTGGTCAGTGTATGTAGTACCAAATCGTGTACCTCGTTGTGTTTGGCTATTGCCAAAGTTGATGGTTTTCGAGCATGGTAGATAACAGCCTTCACGTAGCTCAGCGTTACATTGAAGTTTCGCGCTAGTACTGTGCTAGCGACATATTTAACGTAATTCAATCATTTGCAGTCGTCCTACGGCACGTTGACGCGGCAGAACTGTTGCAACCTATAATCTGCGCCTACGACACGCCGCGCAAGCACCCCTACCACTGCCGTGACACGTTCACCTGAAGAATGGCGCGATCAAACTCGTAATCGAGCTTGTGGATGAGCATCCGTAGTTTTGCGGCCGCCAGCGCTCGCCGCCGTAATAATTGAAACTGCAACACGCACGTTTCATCACGAACGGAAGGCTGTATGTACTGGACTGCGTGCGTGATCGTTGAAGAAGCTTGTGGCTAAACACTTCAAAGGCGCGAGAAAAAAGGGTTTTGCAAAACCAATGTAGCTCCAGTTGGAAGGGGTCCTCGATAAGAACGATGGCCAACCTAATTGTTCATTGTCGTTGGCTCTTAAGGGGGCTTAGCACATATTCTTCGACTGTAGTGTCATCACGAGCGGGGTATCTTTCCGTCATTGATTGTGGAACTTCCTGTCGCGGCATATCATTCTCAGCCTTTTCCGACAAGCACGCTTCATGTTTATTCGAGAGGCACAATAAAAAACGAAGTTAGACGAAGCCCTTCCTCGAGTTGTCGGCCCTCTTTTTACGTAACAAAGTTGAGCGTAAGAAACAAGCAAGGCTCCGGTTAGAGAGAAGACGTTCACCACACTCACTTCAAGCAGAAAAACGATATGCTGTGCATATAGACCAAAATACTTGCTTGTACAACGAGTACTCACATGTCTGGACCTGCCTTTACTGCATAATATGTATAACATCAAGAACAAGCAAGAAAACAAACACAATACGGACCCTTGTCAAAGGGAAGAGCTTCATTGATGTTGTGAATATTACTGCTGTACAAGGTAAATAGTATTCTCCAAGATGAAGACTCACTCGTGTTGGTCAGTCCAACAGCCTTGTAAAGAGTCAAGCCGCTGAGGTCGATGTATTCTTCGTCATTTATGCATACAAGAGAGTCACAACTGAACTACCAATAAGTAGATATTTGAGGCGACTAGTGTGGACGTGCCTCTTGTTGCTCGGCTCCATACCTTCGGCAGCTCGCCTTTCTCCTGTTTGCAAAACTCAGTCCAGTTGTCGATGGCATCCCACGATTCCTCCGACGAGCCAAGTTCTTCGATGTCTTGATTCATGGTGTATGACTTCGGGTGCAATTCCCGTCTACGTAGGAAAATCTTCAAGAAAGATGGCTCAGACAATAAACGCCTCAATTAGACCCTGTACCATCAACACATAGAACGAGAGAGCGCGTGGGTTTTGTGGCGGTGTCGTGGTGCGTGGTACAAAATGCGGCGGGATTTTATTACGGGCCTTTTTCGTTCCCGAAACGAAACGCGGAGGATCACCGTACCACCGGGCCACCGGCGCGGGTAGTTTCGCCACCTACGGTTAGGCAGGGTGTTTGGTGTTCGTTGTATCCTCTTGGGCCACACAATCCTTCTTTCGACGGTACATTGACAACGGTCGGAGAAGCTCTACACTTTGCATACATTCTACCATTCTACCAGATGGAATCGAGCGCAACAGCAGCCGTGAGGGGGGCAAATCCCTATCCCATCCCAGCATTCATCGGTCCCTTGGTGCGAAGCCGACAAACCACGCCGTGCCCAACATATTTCGAGGTGTCATTTCTGGAGAGCAAGTTACCGGTACGTGTGTCGGTGTAGACTACACGTTCGTACCGAGGTCGGATCTTCGGGGTTTCCATCCATGATGTATCCTCTCGGCACAATTTCATTGAAGGAAGTATTTGTTATGTTTGCTGACCCCGGCAACCGCCATGTGGTTAGTCTAGAGCTTTCGAGTCTACGGTTGTTCCTTAACTCTGCCTGCTGGAATGACAACATGCATCGCAGAGAAAACCTGCGCGGAGGTTGGACGCCATCGTCTTCAAGAATTTCTACTGTTCGCACATCACCATCAAGCAGCGCAGACAGCGCTTCGACACAGCAACAGCGGCGGACTGTGGAAAAGATGGAGACCCTTGGCTGACGATTCTGCGAGACAGGCCCTTGATGGAAGATCCCCACCACGAGGACGATGCGCAATACTGGCACGTGGTGAGATCGGAGGAGTTCGATCCAGAGGAGTACGACGCGGAGTCGACGGCGCCTATCAGGTACCGTTGGGGCGTTTGACTTTGGGTGACATACACGTACAGCAGTTTGGTGAAGTCTACGTAGACACATTGGAGAGTCTTTCCAGCGTGTTCATTCAAAGAAACTATGGAAGTACTGCCTGGGGCTTGGCTTGGCGGCGTGCTTTCAAGTAAGGCGTTTGATGTTGTACAGAGTCGCGTTTCACCGCTGACTTCAACCTTGGTTTTGTTGCCCCTCTCGCGCCTTTCGTGGCGTGAATGTGTGTGCTTGCATGGCGGGCAGGATCTACCTTTACCAGTCGTCTCCTATGTGGAAGACCTTCGGCTTGCATCACGTCAAAGCCGTCGGTTGGTCGAGAGCGGGTTCAAGCAATGGAGGAAGAGACGACGAGAGAGAAGCGGACGGCAATCTCGGAGACTTGTGTAGAGGCATTAGCGAGCAAGTGAAGATATTCGGCGACAAACACAGGGGCTAGGCGAACGTCATGAACAATCTGTACAGACTTGTTCGCCATGTACGAAATCATTTCTATAGCCGACAAACGAACTACCGTGCAACCTTACAAGTAGATATGCCCATTTGCCCTACGAACACGTTCAGTATCGTTGTTGAAGGCGTTCTCAAAGCTCCTTGCGCATAATGGCCTCCGCCCAGTATAGTGTTGCTACGAGTCACTTGGTGGTTTGGAAATACGACGTACCGTAGCTTTTTTATCCTTGGGAGGAAGGATGCGCCGCAAAGCATTTCCTCTGCGTGACCCTGGACCGGAGCTCTTGGGGGAGGAACGACACGGTATAGGGTACATTTGCAACACCTACCATCAGATCAGCGGCAGTGCAGTCTATGGCAAAAACGAAAAAATCACACGATTGTATAAGCAAATCTGTGGTGGCAGGAATATTGGAATGCAAGGATCCATTCAGACACATTCAAGGTGCAGGAAAAAACGATCCTAAGAAGCGTTCCGAGCACCCTTGGGAACTCGGGAAAACACAGATGGATACAAAGAAATACCATATGCCACTTGCTGAAAATGAGTGGGCGGGTTGCTTGTGGCACTGCCCTGCTCTCTATATTAATGGGCCGTCTTGCCCACATATCAACGGAGACCTCCTGCCTGCCTGCTGTAGCAGGGTGAAGCTATCACGACCTTGGGATCCTTTTAGCATGTCGCCTACGGATTAAGCCTAAGTCGTCAAGCCGACTTTGCTGGTATTTGTCGCTAAGCACTCTGTGCCATGAATCTAAATCAGACAAACTGCGGCTTTTTCCCCGTAGCGGAAAAACATGTCCGAAAACCGGGGTCGTCCACATACCCAACAAGCGTGCGACAAACCCATCTATGATCCATACAACGCAGCGTCTAAAGGTGTAACTATCGCACAGGTAGTACGGCCGCCGCAAGTGCCGCTGATCCCGTTGTGTTCCTTAAAACATCGCCTGTCACGAAGCCCGACCCGCACGACCCTTTGCGCCAGGCGAGTGCTCACCGTACGCTATCGTTGTGCGTGGGTGGCGTCAAAGAACCTTCCCGGCTGGCATCACTCATATGCTTTCGGCCTCGTTTGGAGGAAGAGCCCCCGCTCCCTGAATCCCCTCCGTCCTCGCCGCTGCCAACGCTGCCGCTGTCGTCACTCCCGCCACCTTTTCGTTTGCCTTGCTTGTTTTTTCGCTTGCTTTTCCCCCCGCCGCCTTCACCATCGCCATGATGGCCAGATCGACGCCTGCTGCTCGCCCCCTTGTCCACCATCACGAAACCGTCCTCGCTGTTGAGGCGGCGCGCCGTGTCGGCGAGGCTCGGGTGCTCCTTGTCAAGCTCTTTCAGCCATTTGACGGACATCTTCTTCCGGCCAGTCCGGGTTTTCCGCCAGACCTGCTCGTATCAGGGCGCGATTCAGCTACTTAGGTTTGAAAACGGCAATAAAAACGATCAAGCTTGATCTTTGCCGATCAGTACGGCGAGCACCGGGTGATGTGCAACTGCGACCGGCTCCGCGGTATGCTGAGAGCGAGAAACTAGAAAACACGCCAATATTCGCGACCGTTCCTGCCTGCTGACAAGAGTACGCCAACATCAGTCTGATTCGCAAGAAAAGCGGAAAGCCAGCCGCCATCACACGTCGGCGCACGTCACCTTTTCGAAGTTGTTGCGACTGCAGAAGTTCTGAGTGATGGCCACACTGTCCTCGAGGTTCAGAACTGCGTGCCACCAGCCGCCTGGAACAAAAACCGTGTCGCCAGGGTACTGCACGAACTCGTAAATCTTGATCGAGTTGCCGTGCTTTCGTCGTATCCGAGGCAGCAGATCCACGAAGTAGTTGATCTGCGACAACGAAGAAACGCGACACATGGAAACAAGAGATACGTTAAACATTATCAACATGGATACAGTAGAATCCACTCCAAGCAGGGGCGTCCAATACCGGCAGGGTTTGATCGAACGTTATCACTGCTGTACGGTACGTTAAGAATGCATTTCGGGGCGGCAGCCTGTTTAGTTCCCTTACTGTACCACAAAAATAACAAATCTACGCGAAGCAGTTTCCAAGGATAGAAACTCATCGACAACACTTCATGCACCCCGAATATGATTTTGAAACGTGACAAACGTGCCGGGAATGCGCATGTAGCACAATGATAAACCGCCAAAGGTTTGCAATGTGTCTCCATTCCACGCAGACGTATGAGGACTAGAAGAAAATGAACGGTTCACTCTCTTCGGTCATGGTCTCACCGGTTCATCGTCTTCGCCCTGCCTGATGACATCCTTCCCCTTGGCCACATTCTTGTCCACATGCGGTGGGAAAAGCACCCACAGCTTCCTTCCGCTCACGACCGTGTTCCACGCGCTCGTGCCAAGAGGGTCGATATGCACGGATGTCCCAGAGCGCTTGGGGCCGACCAAAAACCACCTTTGGCCAGCGGGGGTACATAGAGGGGGACAATAAGGCCAGCCAACGGTGTTGGCTCCTTGTTGGATCGGAACGCAAGGTGTGTCTAATACGATGGACGTCGGAAGGAATCGAGGTCTCTGGAAAACTCGGAACACCGGGACGGATTTACTACACAGCAGTGCTGGTGTTAGCATGGATATCTACCGTGTTTCGTGTGGGCCGTCCATGCCCAGAGGCGGCGGGTATCCTGAATCATTCACCTGTAGGGCGGTCGGCGTCTCTCTCCGACCAATGAAAACAGGTCATCAGGGAAATAGTGAGGGACAAAGAAGTCCTCCAGTAGGCCCTTTGCCACCTCGTGGTCATCGAAGTGGCTGTCAAAGATGTACAGTGGGCTGTCGTCCGTTTGGTGGTCCATATACCGCAGAAAGTACTTCAGCTTAACCTGGAAAGAAGCGTGCGCACGATCAACACACCAACGATGCCGACGGTGGCATAGGGTAGAGGATTCTCTGTAATAGCTCTGCATTTCGCCTGTGAAAGCATAAGGTCGAGTGCACGGAACTTCGTTGCAGGCGTGGCTTGACTAAGGCCCTCGTACAGGCCGGCTGCCGGTACAGATCCTGTGAGGCCTCAAAACAACAGGAATGTACGGAGTACGGCATACGGAGCCATATCGACCTCCGAACCATGCCCCTAACACAATGTGCTCGACACAATAAAGAAAAAAAATAGCTGGAGTGATGGGTGGGCCGGGTGCACGTTGATCCTGCACATGTGGTTGGTGGGCGGGCACATACCTTGACCGAATAGCCATCGTCGTCTTCCCCGCACTTGAGCTTGCAATCCCCGTACCTGAAAAACAATGTACCGGGAAAAGGCTGATCGACTCAGCTATCCTTTGTGTGGAACGGGGTCCACATTGCTACAAAGTGATTCGCTACATGTGGATTCTTAAACAGAAATACAAACGCCAAAACGTGCGTCAAGTGCTGGAGTGTTCAAAGGGACCGGCAGTGCACGACATCCGTCTCAGCAGTATGCAAAACTTTGTATACACACCCGTTCAGCACAGCGGACGAGCCAGCTCTCCACGATAAATAGAGAAGGAAAGGATACGTCAATGAAGACATGGATTCCCTACAGCAGGTAAACATACACAAAATTGGATACAATCATACCACATAAATTCCAATACGTCAACATGTCTTCCGTATCTCCATCGAGTCACCAGCTACCCATCCGCCAACATTCCTTTCGCCGGGAGAAATTAATCAAGCGTGTCGTAATTCAGCAAAATGCTCTGACATGATCCTGTGTGAAATGGCATCTAGCAGCACATGACACGACGGGAGGTTTCTCCCCGATGTTTGGGTTCGAGACTCAGCAGAGGTTATTAGACGTTGTACATACATTGTACACACTTTCATTTGATGAGTTGCCTCTGCACGAGGGGGGCTACAAAGTGAAACACATGACTCCGAACTGCAACATACCCCTCCAACAGGAGGAAGCTTGTGTGTGGGCCTTTTTGTACGGGGTTGGTTGAATAGAAGTGAATGTCACTCAAACCTGCGAAAAAAGTTGCTAAAAATTGGGTTCTACGTGTGCATACGATAGTAGGCCGGTGACTTCATCACACCGACCGTGTATGCGTAGTGTTCAAAATATAGATGAATCTGCTTACGTCTGGCACGGAGTGTAGTACAACGAACGGAGTAATCATGTCCCCCCTTCAAATACCGGCAAATGTAACGCCTTCCCGTACGTTCAAGACAAGTTCAGATAAAAGTGCTCTAGACTCATTTTCAATGCCCGGAAAGTTTTGGAAGCGGGGGGGGAGGGAGGGACGGCGGACGGCGGTGTCCCTGCTTGCTGTGTGCAAATCGTAATGGTGTGTACAGCTGTGCTTCTGTTCCCATGACATGTGCCCGGCCGGACGCGCCACTGAACCTTACCTTCCCTCGATGATGTTGTTCCAGTACGCTTTAGGGCTATAGCCCCGTGTTTGGGGGTAAAAGTGTCGCCTCTTCGTTCACCCCCCCTCCACCGCACATCGACTGCCGTTCGTTTCAAAAGCCTATCGAGTATCTATGGATACGATGTATCAGCTTCAAGTAGGCTAAAGTTGACTTGAAAAGAGTTCGTCCCGTCATGTCGTACTTTCGACTTTCGATGACAACGTGCAATAATACTTCACAACATGCTTTGGGATAAATGGGACAAACACACGTACCAACCAATCCGCACTGAAAAGCTGAAACGGCTAGCATGTAGCACAACCCGCTGCTGCTGAAAATTGTTGTTGTTGTTGTTGTTGTCTTCACAGCGGTCGGTACCATATTAGACTACAGCAGTATTTTGGTACACCGTATTTTGAAGGATGAGTATAATAAAGACATGTGTACTTTTTTCACCTGCGGTAAAGCTGCTCCAAGCCCCAGCGCTCCTCGGCTCTCCATCCTTCGTCAGAAGGAATCCCCGACACTACCACCGGCAGTCTTCTCTTCTCGTAGTGACGCCAAAACTGATCAGGGGTGAGATCGTCTCGCCTCTCTCGTGCTATCCCGCGGATACCGTCCCGTTCGTCTCTCAGTTCTTCGAACGCTGCGGCCGCCCGGCATCCCTCAACACCGAATCTGTCTCTTCCCCAGTCCCGTAGACGTGGCCGGTGACTCTTCTTGGCATCCCCGATACGCCTCTCCCAACGCTCCAAGCGTGGTGGAGAGGACGAGGATTGCCACGACGACGTTTGGTTACCGTTGTCGCCGCGATAGACCATCTTCAGCAGTACAAGATAAACCAAAGCAGCATGCACTGCGCCTTACTTTCGTATGCGTGCTTCGTGGGCCAGGGGCTAGACGACAACCCGGCGTGTGCATTTAGCAGCAACGCGGAGTGCAGCAGCAGCACCTTCAGAACCAAACAAAACAGCGGACCCGCGGGACTGTCCAGTGTGGGCAGCCCCACACCAGAGCTTTGAGACGGAGCGTTGGCCGGGGGGGACGAAGTCTACTTGCGGAGCCCCCTTAGTACCCTCTCGCTGCTGCCGCTCACACACACAGCAGACAGCTGCACACCTGCAGCCTTGCTTGTAAACATGGCCGACACGGCATACGGAGGAGGAGCGGCGGCTGCCCCATCAGTGGAAACCTCAGCTCCTTCCAAGGATTCACGGGATAGCCTGTACAGCTTTGATGAAGCCAAGCTGGAGCTCACCCGCAAGACCAAACCCTGGATGCAAGAGTAAGTTGTTTTCAAATCCACTCAAGTAGTGAGCACGTAGATACATCTGACCAACCACTGCATTGTGTGCACGACGGTCGTGCGCTGCTGTCTACTACTTCGCACAAATGTGGGTCATTCTATCGTCTTTTATTCACCGGACAATTTCGAGACACAGCGGGCCTTTCAGTGTGTAGACTTATCTTCCCATGGCACACCAGCAGCAGCGGCGAAATTCCAGCAAGACAAAAAGCCAGCCTAGATTATGACCGCGCTGTGTACAACGATTTTCGATCCTCGAGCGCATCGACAACCACCCCCCACAGGCTTTGTCCACACGGTGGTGGGTATGGGTTTTGGTTGGGCAGAAAGTAAGCACCTTTCCGGCTTCCCTGCTGGTATGTAGTTGCCACCGGCGCTCTCTCGACTGAAAAGTGCCCACATCACCACGGCATCCATTGTTAACACCGTCCGTGCATCAGACTACTGGATGGAAGCTTGTTAGATAGGGGATGGCGGCGTACCCCGATTAATGAGTGATTTGTCCATACGAATCCGGTAGAGGGAATAGATACACATGAAGTCGACCTGGTTCCCAATTCAATCGTTCGATCTCGAACGGTAGCTCAACACACGGCACGGACGGTTTTCCAACGGAGGCGTCCACGCACTTTCCCGCTGCTCCCCACCCTCCGTGCCGTTTCCCGTTGTACGCAGCCCCAAGTACTTCAAGAAGGTCAAGATTTCGCCGTCAGCAGCAATGAAGATGGTAAGCACGTCGCCGTTGTCTCGCTGCGTAGCTCGTTGTCGAAGACGCTCGATGAACTCAGCGCTCCTGCAACGCCTGATCTACTCCAACCGGAGGTGTTGTGGTGTTCTTTTTGGCTGCCCTACCACGGTTCCCGTGCCAGTACGAGCCGTTGTTGACCTACTCCTACAATAGTTTGGAATCATCGTGGTGCTGTGCGAAAACGTCCCATCCCTTCCTCCGTCCAGAACCGGATTATCTCGCTTGCCCTCCCGCGATGAGCAACACGTACAGCAGCCTTTGCCAAGCGTCACGAAAGCAAACCGTGATACACGTGTGTTGAACCCACATACTCGCATCCGTGTACATTTGTGGCGGGGTATGTATCGGTGACCACCCTTCTACTGGGCACATAGATGGCGAATGCAACAATACGTCCGTCCTTAGTTTTGTTGTCGTGATGCACCGATCGCGCTGCTGTGACACACTGCCTCCTATTTTGTCTTTCGTAGCTCATGCACGCGAACTCCGGCGTGGAGAAGGGTATGGCTGCGGGGGGCAAGCCTGTGGAGATTATGGGCATGATGCTGGGGAGGCCTGACACAGAGACTGCCAACGCCCTCATCGTCACGGATGTGAGTGTTGTGTGTTGTGTGCGGATTCTAAAATGACATGGACCACGCTACAGAGTATCTGGACTGGGAATCAGTTTTTACATATATCGGCAGTTGATTCTGGACGCATGAGCCGGGGTCAGTCTCGAGGGAGATTAGAAGTACATCATATTTTGTCTGTGGAGTCCCCCGGCAGGGACTCGCGCATGTTTAACTTGCGTGCGGATAGGCGGGAATACAAGGATTCGGAGAACCTCGGGAAACCATGGCAACAACCCGGAGGAGGTTCACTGGCGGAAGGCACACGTGTTTATCCTGCCACATCCTACTGCTGTGTGCACCAAGCGTTTGTTTTGCCAGCTACCAGTGTGCCTCGCTTGTGCGTGTACCTCTTCGTGTCGTGGTTTTTGTAGGTGAGCGGGTACGATGAGAAATATGTAGAAAACACGCACATGGCTGATATTTGGCGAACACACTCGCGTTGCTCAAGTTCCTTTCCTGAAGGATTCATAACATGAACGTTCGTGGTGGTGTCGGCGGACGTTAAGGTGGTGTTGCTGGCGGTACAAATTGTCGCACCTATGAGCGACAACACATCACATCTTGTTGCTTAGGGTTAGCAGTGTGACATGTATCGTTCTAAACTTTTGTGTCGTCCGTTTCGAGCATAGTTCAGTTGCTTTATTGCATGCCTCCAGACGTACTACCACCGTCGTGTGCTGAGGTCGGCTGGCCGGTTGGTTGCCAGAATTGTTTGCCCGTTGCTGTGTTGGTGGTTTGCTGAGTGCCCGAACTATACCGCACTCTCTGCCGCTTTGTCTAATGGTCTTTTTCATGATGTTGTCAGGTGTTCCCACTGCCTGTGGAAGGGGCGGAGACCAAGGTACTGGCGGACGATCAAGAGGTGGCCAACTACATGATCGGCCTCGGAGACTTGCTCGAGACGGTGAGTGCGTGAGAGAGTGAGTGAGAATTTTATTCGCGTACCCGCAATCAAGCCCTCAACTAGTAGCTTCTTGCGAAACTCTATGCCTGGCTGTTTTCCTTAAATTGGTGCGCCCACTAGTAGGAGAGCAGCGCTGATCTTAGCAAATCCGAAGTTCCAACCATTCATACCGAAGGCGTGCAGTAGCGCATCTTTGGGAGAGATTCATCGCTTTCTCGCGGACGTAACTATGTATATATATAGAGAGATTTTTTTATTTCCTTTAGCTGCTGCTGCTGATGGGGATGTTACAAGTGGTGCCACCGCCCATAGTAGGAGAGCTGCACTGCTCTTCGAAAGTCCGAAATTACAACCATTCATACCGAAGGCGGGCAGAAGCGCATCCGTGGGAGAGATGCATTGCTTTCTCACGGACGATGTTATTGTACTTAGCAATAGTACTATTTAGTCCATAGCCCGAGCCCGGAGCTGCTGTTCTATAGATTCGCAGCGTCCCTCTCATGTGGTCACCATGCCCCTGGCTTTGTAAGAAAGTGCGCGGTCTCAAGCTGCGTTGCTGCTCCCTGGTTGAAGTACGTGGTGTGGTGTTCACGGCCTCCGCCTTTCTCCTTTCCCCTTGTCCCCTGTACAGACGCGGAAGGAACGATTCATGGGCTGGTACCATAGTCACCCGTTCGACGTGGAGGTACACAGCCACTGTTTCCTCTCGTCCACAGACATCTCGACCCAGCTGTCTTGGCAGAGAGCAGAAGACCCCCATGGCAACCCCTGGCTGGCAATTGTGGTGCGTTGTGTTTCTTTCAACGCAGAATAGCGGTTGTGCTGAGCGGCCCCACTGTCCGTCTCGAAAGGCCGCGCCACCAAAGCAGCAGTCGTCTGCCTAAAGTGGCCGGGTGCGACCTCCGGTGCTACCATCTATCTATCACTGTGATAACCCTTTTGATGAGAGGATGGCATAACTATTCAATTCAGAGCGTTACGTCTGTGTGGCATCTTGGCCCTCTTGGTGGAACATACGAATGCTCCAATATTCTACAATATTCCGGTACATGTATCGAGGGAATCGTACCCTTGAGTGTCTACCCCCTCTCTCTCTCTCACGTGTCCTTTTAGGTTGACCCACTGAGGTCTCTGGCCAAGTCCCGGCCGGAGTTTGGCGCGTTTCGGGTGTACCCCCCTGAGTTCAACGCGCCGCTGAACGAAACCCCCGACGGCAAGATCGTCACTGATGATTCTCAAAGGGTGGAGCTGTGGGGAGCGTGTTGGAATCGGTGAGGACAGGAGGCGTGTCAAGAAGCTGTTTATGTCACGCTGAAAGCACACGGCTTGCTGCGCATTTGTTGTTTCGTGGCCTTCGGGCACAGTGAAGATAGTACATTCAGCTCAAGTGCATGCAATTCCTTTCCAGCACACGCTATTCGTGTGCTGGTTGGGGCTCTTTGTTGGCATGCTTAATCTTTTCGCTTAGCGAGCGCACGTCACTGCTTTGTTTTTGCTCATGGCCGGACCCCCCCCGCCCTGAGGTGAAAACATGTGGGATTTGGTGTTGATTTACTGTAGCTCACTAGTCCCCGTCGATCGCTCGCGTTCGCAGGTATTACTCCATGGAGATCGAGTACTTCATGAGCTCGCTTGCTTCCGACGTGATGGGCATCCTCACCGAGAACTTCCTGTGGATGCGTACGCTCGGCTCGACCCCGATCCTGGAGAGTGAGGTACGGAACCCCCACGATGCCGATCCACAACATTTTCTCACGCTACAGTACTTCTGGACACAGCAACCAGGGCAGGTTCTTGTTTTTGCCTGGGGTGAACGACAGAAAAGGTGTATTCCGGGGGCTTGAAGTGCTGTCACACGTGTGTCCTTGACTATCGGTCTTCCCGTGTTGTTGCCTGTTAACAGAACCGGGAACGGTTCTCCGAGCGTATCGGCAACGTCGCCGACAAGGTGGAGCACTGCGACGTCCACATGAACCATGGGGCAGGTACCAGCGTGAGCGGCTACCTGGTGGCGGACTCTGCCGCCAGCAAGCCGAAGGAGGAGTCGGCCATTTCCAAGGCGACGCACGGCAGGTTAGTTTAGTACAGGGTCCAAGACCGTCGTGTTGCCTGTTAGTATGCCTGCACTGGTATCACATCACACACCGCCGTAGGCAGGAATTTAGGCGGAAACGAGAAGACCGTTTTTTCTTGGGCCATCAAAGACTTGTAGTGGACCAACTGTTTGTGCCTGAACGCTCGGATCTTCTTCACTTTCATCTGACCCCTTTTGTCTTTTCGACCGCGACATGTGTTTGATATGTGAACTGCTGCGGCGATGGTGTACATTCGATGCTGATTGGCCACAGCTCCGAACTGGCTATCGAGCACTGCCAAGGACAGATGACCCAGATCACCAAGAGCATCGTCTTCGGCATCAAGTAGATCGAGCGGATAGATTAGATCTGAACTGACCACCTGGAGGAGGCGGAGCGTTGAAATCATGTGTGGGCCCAAAAGCATTTCACCGAGACCATTCTGTTACCTGCTGTAGCATAGATTAGTTGCCTGCTGAGGGTTGGGATGTTCGGCTGGGTGAAGTCATGAAACTCGTTTGTATCGTGATTTTGTTAGCTGCTGGGTGATGTCATGTACAAAGGTGTAGCAGCGGGTCGCAGTGCACGCGAGATGCAACGGCAGTAGTAGCGCGGGTGCCTGAAATACTGCCTTCTACTTGTACCTGATTCTTGTTGTTCCCTTTGGAGACAAGGAGAGCTACAGCAGTAGGCGCCTTGTTGTCGTCGAACGGTCGTTGCATGCGCAACGCTTTGCGACATTTTCTACTTCGACAGCCCCTGAAGCTCTCGCGCCTGCGAGCACATCGGTGCATGTCACATGGGTATTCGACGCTTCAACATAAAAGCTCAGCAATGGTCGGCAATGCTGTGGTGGCCGTGCTAGCCATGTATGATCTGTAACCTGGACGAAGGGCTTAGGGGTGACAGGTTACAGCAGCAGCACATACGCGCAGTTTACCTGAGTCTAGAAAGCCGAAGACTAGAGATATTGTTGTTGTCTTCACATTGGCAACCGGTCTCCCTATCTATGTGTAGCTACAGAAGAAAGAGAATACAACCGCAGTACATCTGCACGTGATAATAGATGGAAGTCTGCTTGTGGGACCTCGTGACTATGCAAACAACATGAACCCCCCCTTCTTACACCAACCCGATGAGTTTACAAACGCGAAGTTGCTGTTCATGCACACCGCCTTGCTGATGCAAAAGCGACCAGAGAGTGTGGAACGTGGATACCACTGGACTGTCACATATTGCTATGGGGCAGGCTCCGCGAACTCGCTCTGTAGGAAATCCGCCGCGTTTTGCTGCTGTCTCAGAGTGCGCCTCACAGTCGCAGCACAACAGCGTGGCAGCACAGCAGTAGCAGCGCCATGTCTCGCTGCGCAAGTGGGGCGATCAGTAGACCAGTTTTACGTGTCACCAGCTCGAGCACTACCCAAGGTACTCGATGGAGTGTTTCGACCAAGAGCGGAGCCGCAGGGCGAGCTGCAGCAACAACAACCAAGATGCCGAGGTTGACCCACCGCATGCGGCGGTTGGCCAGAGCTCATCCAGAGGCGGTTGCGGCAATCTCTCCTTCCGCTGTGGAAGATAGCCGCTCCGTGTACGCTGCTAGTGTTCCGCGCAGTAAGGTGAGCGATTGGCAATGGACCCCGGGTGAGTGTCGGAGGAAGCCCAACACACTACGCTCGGTTGGTTTGGTTTCCTTTTCGTGTGCTGCGCAGCAAAACCAGTGACACCCCGCGTGGCGCGGGCGCGCCTGGAGCACCTTCAGCACATGACATGTCCAGTGCACTGCGCCTCGTGGTCAGGGGTTGTACACCCGGGCGGTAGGCATTTTGATTAACACGCGCCCCGAACTCGGTGGCAGACATCAGCTTTGGCGGTGCTTCATTGTCCAGTACATTTGCGTACTGCTGTGGCGCTATTATCATGTCCACTTTGGCGATATTCCGCACGCTGTCAACGGTATGCAGCCGCGGCTGTTTGGAAGCGCTTCAGCTCTCCTCCATTTCTCATTCAGTAGAGTCACCTGTTGCTTGTTGCCGCCAACAACACACAGCGAATGGGGTGGATATGTGGCCTAATGTGGATTGTGCCTTCCCCCCTTCCGCAGCAGAGCCAAGTTGGCAACTCGGGAGCAAAGGTGTGGACCAACGCGGATCTCGGCACACCCGAGTTTTTCGCGTGGCTCAACACGGTGCCACACAACGCGGCCAGACACCTCGGTGAGTGGGAGCTGCCGAAAGCACAAGGAGAAATACCTGCTGCAGCACAGCGGCAACATGTCATCACCATCATCTCCGTTTTTGAGCCAACAACGATTGGGGTGCTGCAGCATGTGGTTGGAAATGGGCGGTTGGATTTTCAACACGTTGAGGTTTTCAATTTCGTGTGTACAACTCGCTTCATGCAAGTTCCATGCCCTGCCCTTACGAACCAGTTTGCTCTTGCGATCGGCTATCTCAAACTTCCTGGTGTCTGGCATTATTCCAACGCCTGCAAATCCAGGGCGGGTCGACAACAAACTATTTGTGCGGACGGGGACAACGTTGTGTTCAAACAACAATAGCACGTGCCAAGATCAATACAACACTCTGTAGCATGATTACGCACTCTCCTTTGTCCAGTCCGCCACGTAAGATGAACAAACAAAAATGGACATATCGACAAGCACTGGTCAAGTCAAGTACTTTTTACTCAAATTTAACCCGTCGTACGTTGTCCTTCGTCGATCTCAGAGGAAGTTAACGAAGAAGATGAGCAGAACGACGACGACGACGAGGACGACGATGAAGGCGACGCGCTAGGCGACGGGCCTCTCAACATGGGCAAGGCGTTCCTCATCCCGAGGGCCAAGATGTCCCTTTACGACCAAGACATTTTCGCGCACAGCATGCTCGAGGCTAGAGACAAGGTAAGGCCGGCAGCAGACGGTTGACACTCTCCCTGAAATTACAAATGTTCACTGTCTCTGTGTTGATTGTCTCGGTCGAGTTCACTGCCTGGCAGACGCCGAACACTCGGGGTTATTATAGTCTGAATGGAACGGAAATCTTGTTGAGAACCGTCCATCTGACTGAACAGGATGTCGTCAACACGTCAACAACGTTCCGCAGCCCAACGCGCCTACTCCGCAGCAGTACCATTGGTCACCTGCCCCCCTCCCACCTTTTCGCGCCGGCTTCATTAACGCTACCGACTCCTTTTCGCTTGCACGCGTCAAGGTGCTCGCAGCTAGGTCGCCAGGGCAGCTGCGGAAAGCGCACGACCGCTTACGAGAGACTGAAACCGCGCTTAACTTGCGGGTAAGTGGTATCATAGGCGAGGTGATTGGTGTTTGTGCTGATTTTTTCCCAACTCTTTACCCCCATGTATGTGCATACCAGCCAGCTTTAGTAAGGTGTTTTGTGGCGAACGAATGCAGTGCGAGCACGTGCTGGCCTGGTACATTCCGCCCTCCCGCATGTCCTTGCCTCTTGGTCGATCGGGCTGCCAAGCCTTTCTCGTGCGATAAACCCGTGTCCAGTTTACACGTCCCCGATTGCTTGAAACCTACCCATTTCGTTTTCGATTTTTCTCGTTGCATGCATGGCACCGAAGGCGGGAAACTACAGGACCGTCAAGGTGGGGTTTGAGGAACCTGCGCCTTCGGCTGGGTCGATGGACGGGTTGTCCCAAACGGAGCCAGCCCATGGCAGCAGCAGGGCCAGCGGAAGGGCAAACCGCGTGGTCTACGGCCCGTCGGAAACATTTGCCTACGTGTACCACCGAATGATGCCGGCCTACACGGTTCTGCACAGGTACCACGAAGTGCTCTGATTTTGTGTGGAGTGGCACAATTCCCGGGTGGAGCTAGAGGTTTTTTTTTTGCCCAGTGGCGTGCTGAAGCATAGAGGTTGGCTTGTTTTTTTCTTACAAATATAGTGCGTGCGCAATTTCGAAACATCGATGCAGTATTTAGATAAACAAAGGTTCAACAGTGTGACTTCAAACGATACTTCGAAAGCGGCTGCTTTTGCTTTGTGTGGCGTCGCTCGAGTTGTAGCACTACTGTCGTGTTTCCCGCAGCGTGGTGCCACCGCATCCAACAGTTGAGAAACTTGGCACCCTCGCCTCGAGGTGCATCTTTTTGTTCGTGATTTCTGACTGGTTTCGTTCCCATAGCGCACAGGGGTGCATGGCTGCAGACTTCATGATTAAACGCCCGCGCGCCCATAACCATTAGAACCCCCCCCCTAATCTGGTCTGGCCCATAACATTCTTCTTTGGCCCTCGACGGTTTTGCCGTTCAATAATTCTGGCATTTGTACGTGGCTGTCTTGAATTGCGCAGGGTGATGACGGAGGTGACGAGCGAGTTGCCCGGCTTTAACCCTCGCACGATGCTGGACTTCGGCAGCGGCCCGGGTACGTCGGCCCTGGCAGTCTGGGACGTTTGGGGTGCGGGTGGCGGTAGCTCGGTGGCTCAAGATGGAAAAGAGACCGGAGAAGGTAACAAAGTAGACTATAATAGCGCCCTTGTTCACTGGACTGCAGCGATGAGAGTACCATATACGTTTGTCGGTCGTTTGCCACGATTACAGCACGTGGGGGAGCGAGGCTTGACTTGCCGCGTTGTGTTGTATAGTTGGGCTGGGTTGCACTTGCACTGTTCTTAGTGTGCTGCAAGGTGCTGAAATTTGACAGTGTACGCCCAGGAACGGGCGCGGTGGACGTAAGCGGTGTGCGGCGGGTGCTAGGACGTTGCGTTGTGCGCATGCGAGGCTCGAGGGGAGGGTTCCAATTGCCCCCTTCCCATCTGCGCTGTCGCGTCGTCTGCCTGATACGGCACTGGTCTTGCGCTCGCTGACCCGACCCAACACTCGCCATTTCACGCAATCCTTGTTCTTTGCCAACCCAACCCGACGCCTCGAGCAGGCAGCAATCTGTCGGAGGTGCGTCTGGTGGAGGAGTCGCAGTCCATGAAGGACGCCTGCAAGATCATGTTGGAACCCCTGACGAACACTGGCCGTATTCGGACGGGGTTCGGCACCTCACTGTTGGAGGAGGCCAGGACGGCGGGCAGAGGTGAGGGCAAGTGTTATAGGGTGCGTGGTCAAGATGCGTGTGTTGGTGCGTAGCTCTATTCATACCCCTATCGAAGTCCCGACCTTGAGTCAGTATCGCTTCGAAGTTCATTTTTGTCCACTTACTACCGATGTTTGCAGGTAGTTTTGCAGCAGCGCATGATGTTGTTGCGGCATCAGCCGGCTCGGCGGGGACGACGATCTGTTGGTTGCTGCAGTTTTCACGTGCAGGGGCCGAGACGAAGTTTTTCCTGTGTGTTTGTGTTCCTCGTTGCTCGTTTCGTGTTCGCCTTTTGTGCAGGGGGGCCAGGCGGGGCTCCGGGTGGCAGGAAGTTCGACCTAGTGGTGGCCGCCTATTCTCTGTCACACCTCCCCACCCACGCGTCCAGGTGACAGTGTGGCGGCCCCCTTTAGGCAGATGTACGAGGTGAAGGTTTCAATACCCGCGCACCACACAGCAATCCAATGTGTTCCGGACAACGCCAAGGTTGTGATTATGCCTTCCACTGGTCGATGTTCGATTGGTGTGGGGGAGGAGCCGGCGTTGGCGTTACAAACAACGTCGCTGCAGCAGTGGTGATTTGTGATCGTTGGCGGGCGATTCTTTCTCATGTCATTACCCGGCATTAACCCGTCAAAACATTCCTGCTTTCTTCGCGCAGAGCTGCGGCAACAGCCGTCATGTGGAGCCTGGTAGCTCCCGGAGGCGTGCTGGTGTTGGTGGAGGACGGCAGCGCTAAGGGGTCGCATACAGTCCGCTCTGCGAGACACATGGTGCTCAGACCGCCGGCGCCTTCCCCTGAACAAGGTGATTGATCACCACCGCACGCCACGCGGCATTGCCATTCGTCAATGGAGAAAATATTTTTTTAGCTTTCTGATGTCTTTCACCTTTCGTTTCGGGCGGTCGGGGGCAGCGCTTCCCCGCCGGCCGCCGTAATTGTACGGGTATCCTTCTCCGCTTACCTCTACCCTTCTACTGCGTCCGTCCGTGCTCTCTTGCGCTCGGCAGGTGGGGACACGGGCAAGCAGCAAGGCAACAGACGAGGCAAAAGGAACGAGAGGCAACCTCCGCCAAGGCCTTACGTTATTGGCCCGTGCCGGCACGACAAGGAGTGCCCGCTGCAGGCTGGGGAGTTTTGTCGCCTCCAACAGAAGGCGAGAAAAACGAGTGCACCTGCTCATGTTTTTCGTATGACCTGGGCATTCGCGGCAGCACTTAATAGTCACGACAACCTACAACGGGCACTCCAAGAGTCGAGTTTATTCATCGAGTGATGCCAAAAATGCAAGTTCCAGACGTTGTCTCAGTCAATGAGGCGGGGGGTAACGTCGTGAGTGGGAACATGGCTACTGGGGGCGTTGGTGGTCCATCCAAATCTCGTCGTTTTCGTGATAAGAAATTTGGTCCTATCCGAAACAAGCAATCAGCCACTCGGAATGTTCACTACATGGAAGGATAGGATGATGCCTTTGCCTTGTAGCACATCTCTGATGCAATATTCCTCTTGGCCGCTTGGCCTAACGTTTTCGCGGCATGTTGTGTTGTATTTCGTTGAACGTCGCGTGTCAGGTGCCTTGGAACGCTGTGAACGTGACCAGTTCTGCAGTCAAGTCGGTCTCGTTCTCCTACGTGTCCATTCGAAAGGGGCCACCGGTGAGTCATCTCAAGTCAAGACAAGTAGACCCAACCATGGTTGCTCTTCTTCGTGTATGAGGCGTTCTTGTGCCCCTTGTGTGTTTTAAGGGCCGTTTTCGCTTGCATGAAGTTTGCTTCGCGAAGTTACTGCTTGTTGTTATGCTGTAGCAGCTCTCGGCGTATCGGGAGGAGGCTTTTGTCACACACGAGGGCGATGTTGTGGGCATCTATCTTACCACCTCCCAAAACTCCTCCTACGACATATTCGGACTCGTGTACATATCGATCCTTTACATTTTTGACCGCAGGAACGAGAGGCGGGTCAAGACGAGAGGGTAGGCAGCCGCACCAGTTCCTCCTCGGTGGACCTCCTCAAGGCCTTCGTGCAGCAGAAAAAGAACCTTAACGATGGTGGGAGCCTGAGGGACGCCATGGACTCTCTCGGTAAGGGTGCATGAATGTACGTACTGTAGGTAGTAGGCAGCCAAAGAAATACGACCATACCCACAAAAAATGAGATTTAAAAGAGACGTGCCACCCAAAGCCTTGCCGCCATCAAAGGGCTCCTGTTGGAACCTCGGTGTCACAACTCTGCGTTGCTACCCGCCTATTAGCTACGTGCACCCGGGCACACGGCGTCCCCGGCAGCACCGGCGCGGGGGGAACCTGTAGAGCAGTTTTACCATCAACCCCGAAACCTTGTCGGTCTTGCCACAACCTGTCCCTCCCCCTGTCGTTCGTCCTCGCCCTAGAGCCAGTCCTGTTATTTTCCACGCCCCAAACCCCAACCCCACGGGGTCTTCAAATAGCTACAGTAAGTGCTACCGTCCGTGTTAATCGTGACCCCTTGTCGTCACATGCCACTCCCCATCGTTTGGGGTATGGTCTATGGTATGGCATGGTATGGTGAACGAGTGTCCCCCCACACACTCTCTCGTTGTGAATGAAGGCACGGATGGGATATCCGACGCAATTCTGAGGCGCGATGATTGGGCAAGGCTAGTCCGCAAGCCTCTCAAGGCGAAGGGCCACGCGCTGCTGGATGTGTGTTCTCCGGAGGGGAACATCCAAAGAAAGGTGGATGGTTTGGTGACAAGGGTTGGTCGATCACTAGAATGCGTACGACAAAAGAAGTCCACGACGGTTGATAGGTTGTCATGTGCCCGCTGAGAGCAGTACTTCTTTCTTGTGACAGTAGTACAGCCAAACTAAAACAATTTCGTGTACTCCCCCCACCGCCTATCTGATGTTTTTATACTGGTGGTCACATCAGAAATCCGTCCCAACCTTCGTTCAGCCTGTCATCAAGCCGTGAGGCAAGAAGTTCCCACGGTCGTAGAGAATCCAAGTACATGTAGGCGTTGCAAGCCGGGAGAGGCATGTCCTCAATGGCGAACAACCTGATGATTTGATACGGACAACAACAGCTTCGGATGCTACTGGTGTACAGGTGGTGGCCAAAGGCAAGTGGAAAGGCGTTCCCGGCATGTTCGTTGCTGCCAGAAAAAGCCAGGTGGGGGGCCTCTGGCCGTACCTCGACAACCACGACTACAAAGACCGTACGGCGAAGCTAGACGACGCCAGCAGCGGGCAACCAGGCGGCGAGTTCTACAGCTTCGACCCCAGTGAAGATGGTGGTGACGGTGTGGATTTCTTGGAAGGCGACAGCGACGGAGAGTGGGAAGAGGTCGGGGACGAGGAGCGAGGACCCGTGGTTGATTGGACGGAGGGAGGGGTGGGAGGCCCAGCGGTTGGTGGTACCGGTACACGGCGACGAAGGCCGCGAACGTCGCCGGCAGCCTTGGCACCACGAGGGAGGGGGAGCAGTGAAGAAGGGAAGTCACAAGCTATGTTCGAGGAAAAGCTTCGATAAAATCGTCCGATGAACACTTGCCAGGTATTGAATCGCGCATGGTTACTGCCATTCGAAGACATTGCTCGATGGACGCGCTCAAACGTTTTGTTTCGAAAGGAACTCTAAAGGCTCATTGCAGGCGGGGCCGTACGCGTGTTTACTTCCGGCAGTTTTTTTTTGTGTTACGGTTGCAGCGTGTGTTGTGTGAGCGATTCCTGCGGGCCGATGTTCCCGGCCCGACCGCTCCACAGCTGGGGCGGGGCTCAGCCACAGCTGGGGCGGGGCTACACCCGTTGTCTCTGAGGGGTGGCTTCTCCCGTGACAACCGGGTGCGTCCTCGCGAATGTGAGAAAGGATGTGTGCTCGCCTTTGTGCGATTCGTTCTAGCATCAGCAGAGGTTACGGCTTTAGCGGAATTAATGGTGGTTGATGTCGGAATACGAATAACGTTCTTGTGGCGCCTCATGTAAATGAAGAGGAGAGTCCTACCGGGGCATAGACGGGACTGGGCTGCCGCAGCCCGCATTTTCTGGGTAGACCAACCTAGCCACCTGTCCACCTTTAGAGTGACCTCTCATCTTCAAGGTTAGGGGTGTGACGCGTTAACTTTGAGATGAAACACCGCTCATTCCTTGATGCTTTCAAATTCGTAAGGCTTGATTTGGCTGACTCGAGGACAGATGTTCCACCCTGTACGTCGCTTCGTTATGCCTTTCGCAAGCTGGAACAAAAAACTGACAGCCTTTCGGAGGAGCTGGAGTGTTTGGCGTTTAGATCTGCATGAAATCCCTTCCCAAATCACCTGGTCGTGCCGACGAAACGACCGACGTTCTCTAGCCAAGTCAACTCAGATTTGATTCAAGTCCCGATATAGTTACCAACTCGTGGAAAGTGTATGCAGCTGAAATATATGTACGCAGAACAACGTCGAATCTTACTAAACTCAAGCAAACTCGAAGTCTCTATCCCTTGTCTCCCTTTCGCCATCACAGTTGCCATCCAGGCACAGAGATGCACTCCCACGCACCACCCCCCCCGATCGAAATTGCACCCAACCAACTGTAGGTTCCAGAACATCTGAAATGCAAACCATGGTAGAGCCTATCCTTGAAGGGGCGATTCAACCAGCCTTGAGCCTTGGGTCATGTAGCCCAAGTCTCTGACACACCTGTTCTTCGGAGAGGTCTTCTCAATTTTGACGTACCCTATACCTTTTTGGGGTAAGTTAGCCTGTGACCACGGGAATCGACCCCGCCAAGTATTAGACTAGTTGGGCAGAAGAAGGTGCTGGGTAGAGATAACGGAACGGTTTTTAATGTGAAGACAACAATAACAACAACATCGCTAGACGTGCTTTCCCTGAGTTTGTGCAACAACCATCGTTTGGGCGGCGTTTCAAGCAGTTGACATATAAGCGGAGTTCTCTGTACGGCATCCCCATTCCGGCTTAATTTCGGCAGGAGGGGTCGTGTGGCCGAGTGGCCTGCTACGGTTGATTTTCGGAGGATTTCAGCCAACCGACCGATACGCCTGCTGCCGGAATATACGAGGACTTGACGAAAGTCCAGTGGCCAGCTTCTGCGAGAGTCTTCCCAGAGGCGTCACACATGTTCGTAAAGATGCGAACGGCAAGGCACCAACTCCGCACCAACACTTTTGCTGTGCCTGTACTAGCTAAATATGTGGAATTCCCTATATGCTCGGTTATGTCAACGGCACCCACCCATATTTACCATACTCAAGCACACATACTCTCAATTGTTTCTTACACAAAACCGACTTGCACTCTTTTCCTTTTCTGAATCCCCAGGACCGAGAGAGAAGCCAAACTAGCAGAGCACTTTTCTGCGATTTTTCTACATCTTATGTCTCTGCCGCTCTGCCCATAAATACTGTCTCCTTATCTTCCCTCTAAGCACAGCCGAGGGTTTCCTTCCCTCAGAAACGGGAACTGTACACTGCACACAATAGTCTCACAAGACCAAATCCCCAAAGTTTTACCCTCTGTGCCCGCTTCACTCACTATCATTGCAACCGTCTACGGAAGTCGGCCCGCTCCTTTCCCGCACCGTCGAAAGAAAAGAAAAACGGGTCAGTCGGTGGGTGGGTGGGAAAAGACTCAACTTGTTGGCAGTTCCTGAGGCTGGCAAACCAGTAGATAGGTAAAGTAAAGCCTTCTGTAGTGTCAATCTAGACCCTTGACTCTGCGCTACTCTCTCTGGCACGCCAAGACTGTCTGCGTGAACACAGAACTTCGACAGACAGAGTGGTAGAACTCAACTCCTTCCCTCCTTCGGGGTCTCTGTGCTACGTATTACGTTCAAGCGCACGCAACAAGACCGCCATGCATGGCATTCGAATGTCTATAAACAAACGTTGGTTTGTTTGCCGATGGTCTTCACCAAACCTACCTGCCCTTTATGTTTCGCCTCCCTTTCGCCACCACCGTCGCCATCCAGATACAGAGCTGGACTTGCACGCACACACACTACTAAACCCTACACATAGAAACATTGCGCCCAGCCGTACACAGATAGGTAGGCGAACTACAATTGGTGGTCATTTTTTGCAAGGTGACAACTACTTTAGGCTAATGAAGAGAGGAGGGTGGAGATTGATCTAGGGAATGTAGGCTTGTGGGTGTTGACGACCCGTATCGGCTCTCGAAGAGGTGTTGTTGTTTGTCGTCAAAAAGGGTAGTCCTAATTTACTCTTGAGTTGGTGCGTGCTCTCTCCGCAGTGGGTCGCGCAAGTAGAACGTGCGTATGCAGCAATGACCACTGATGTACATAAGCAGAGCACCCGATTGTGCAATCTTATAGTCACAGGTCAAAGGCAAAAACTCAAGTGCTGCGTGTAAGCCTGTACGTGTCCTGTACGGCTGCAGCGCGGCGTGCCAACTCACTTGTTGTGCCGCTGGACCCTTTAGTACGAGAGGCTTGGCTCTGAGTACGCAGGAAGGTTCGAAGGAGAAGAAGATGGTGTGGTGGAAATGTAATTACTTGATCAGTGGAGACCAGAAAGAATGTAGAGAAACAGAGGGGTAGTGAACCCCGGAGAAGTAGAGAGGTTGAGAAACCCCAAAGAAGCAGAGTGAGAGGATGGGGCGAGTACGCGCTCATCCTCGAGATCATGGAATCACACCTATCCGACAACGTCGACCAATCACACGTGTTCAGAATACGGTACTGGTAAGCTACGATACGTTTCTGGAAAGATGACTTCAACACCATGCTCTCGAACTTGTGCCACGTATGCACATCAAGTATTGTACTCGCACGCACAAGTGATTACTTGCACTGACGTACGACAAACCGCAGAATACAGCTTCAACAATTGAACTAATGTACTTTCCAAATTCGACTGCTGAGCGCAGACAAATATTCATTCATTCAAGCACGCAAGTCTGAGTTACTTGCGGCGGTACATATCCTTTCATACACACAAGTCAGAGGCACTTGCGACAACGACCCGATGCATATATATTTCCGAGCACGCAAGTCTGAGCTACTTGCACTATGACATATTTCTGAAAATCTAGGCTATGTAGATTATTTCTGGATATGAAGCACAGAACATCAACCATGTCTCCATATTCCGAGTATGACAGACCATACGGAATTTTACCTACTACATGACATAGCGACATTGACAATATTTCAACTAGTTAAACTGACTACCTAATGCTGAAGCTACGGTAGTGTCAAATATTCCAACAATTGACGTATACCCTGGCTGGTACGTTGAAAATCAAGGGCCATACCTCTCAGAGCCGACCTCTCTCTCTAGTACGTGTCTTAATCCCGAACTGGCTGCATTCAATCGCCCATCATTCCTCATCTCCATGACGACAATAATGAGTCAATTGCTGCCCCAGCTACACCGTTGCCTCCTCATCCCGTACAGCTACATACAAAGTGCGCTTCACTTTGGACATCACCTACCGTAAGTCTGCTACCACAGTTTCCTTTTGCCCCGGTCTTGAAACAAAGCTACACGAAACGTTGTACCGCCACTCGGCCGTTCTACCGTCTTACCACTTGCTCAGTCGATAGCCGGATCAACGAGGTATTTTGTACCATGTACGAGACTCTTCTTCATCATGTCAGGTCGTCCATCCTCTGGAGCACCTCAAGCCATCACCATCCCCATCACCTTCTTTGCGGACAAGCCGACCAGCCTCCGAACAACTGTCCCGCCCACGGAGAAACACACGAAAGGCTTGCCGTTCACAGCTCAATGGAGACGAGGTTGAAACCCCGCCAGACGTTCGCTGAGGCTGGCCACTTGGCCTTCGTCAAGTCCTTACTGAACCCGGGCTTGAAACGCACCTTTACCAAGGAGTCGGGCCGCGAAATACCGTCGATAGATTCGTTGAACCCGCCAAGCTCCAATTTTTTCAGGCCACTTGGCCACGTGACCCCGTTCAGCTCCTGGTTGAATGCAGGGCCAAACGACAGCTCTTGCAGTTTTTCGGGCCATACTACCGCGCCAACGGGCTCGTTGAAGAGGGTGCCCAATGTAAGCCGCAACAGGGAGGTCGGCCACAAAACTCCGATGATGGGTTGTTGAAGTTTTCCCCACACGATAGCTGCTCCAGGAAGGCGGGAAAAACGTGTCCACTGATGGGCAGGTTAAATTTCTCGCTCAGGGACAGGTGCAACACAGAGACTCTGGCCACACGACGTGCGTGATAGACTGGTCGAATGGTCCTGCGAAGGACAGGTGTTGAATGTTGTCGGGCCATATCGCGTCCGTGATAGGCTGGTTGAAGCGTTGATCAAACGTCACCTTCGTGAGTGACGGAGGCCAGGTGACTCCAGCCACGCTCTGATCAAACTGGTACCCAAATTCCAGAGTCTCGAGGTGCGGTGGCAGTACGATCCTGTCGATGGCCTTGTAGTAGCTGCCGTACTCATCTTTGTCGAGGTAGAGATGTTTTGTTTGCGTCAGCGCGGGCGCGCATTTCCGCATCATCTCAACGCCAAGACCCCACACGACGCTTTTCCCGACAAGCGGTGGCACTCTCGAAAGACGCGTCGATGCTCCTGCCTCGGCCGCCTCTGCAGCTACTTGGCTCGGGGTCCGCGACCTGCGTGGCCGGCTAGGTTTCATGCCCTCTTGCTGCCGTTGCCCCCTACCACGGGTGTTCCCGCGACGCAGCTTGGTGCTGGCAAGCGCGTCCCGGCCGACCGTTATGCGCCAAAGGGCCAAGTCTCGGACTGCCTTGCAGAGTGCAAGGTAGGCAACCTGTAGTTCCTTTATCGAGCAAAGTGATTCTCCCTTCAGATTCCCGGCGTCGGTGACGAAACCAGGAGGGCCTCGTGGACCGTGTTCCTGTTTGTGGTTCCGACAACATAATCAACAACAACGAGCAGGAGCGACGCGCGGCGGCGGCGAGGAGAGCGCAACACAAGGGGAAGAATGGCAATCAGCGAAACAACAACTGGACCTGATGTTCTTGATTTCGAGAGGATGCATGCCATTCATCCAAAGAAATATGGGTGCGAACAAGACTTCGCTGATTGCAATAACGGGTTGCAATAGCCGACGACAAGATAATACGTACAATAAAGGCTACCTTTCTTCAAAACTAGACCCTCTAGTAGCAGACAAGAAGTAACACTACTATACACTTTGCCTCGAACAACGTTATGACCGATACGAAAACCCATAATAGAAAATCTATGCCGAGCAAGTAGTTGTGAGCTTGGCAGAAACAAGAAACATTGCAATAAGGCCTGTTGACAACTCGATCTGTTGCGCCTGCGCCCGAGTGGACGGGTCGACCACTACCCTAGGTTTGTCGAAAGTGTTCTATGCACATCTTGCCTTGGAAATGCAACAGGAACGTCGTCTTCCGCCGCGAGGTTTTCCTGGTCCACCCGAAGCGTGGGGGAACGAAGGGCGTGAGGGATGGGGAAAGGGATATGCCGCCCGTTGGTAACATGGGCCTACGACAGAATCCCGATTTGAATCAAGGGCGTGCTGCAAATGGTGGCGGTGGGGGAGTTCCAAATCAGGACGCACCGATAGGTATCATTGTATTATCTGCTCCGTTTAGTGCTAGAATGTGGGTAAAACGTTTGGATGAGGCGTTCTATCCCGGCAAATGGGACCACCCCAACGTTTATTGTTGGTGTTGCTATCGTTCTCCGGTTGCTATTGTTCGCTTACATCGTTACCGATACTTCATTTAGGGCGTGAGAAACAAGTTCAGAATGCACAGCAGTCGTTGCTGGATAGAGGCCAGAAATATCATCCATTCAAACACAATACATTGTGATCAGGGCCACACATACGAAGAGGTCATGGGTTAAGTGATGACAATATATCATTAAGCATTTTCCACATATACTCGCCCGCGCGCACGCGAAAAAATTGAATGGAAGAGACGAATATACACACACGTGCGTGGTGATACAGCAGTAGTAGGTGTGATTGGATCCTTCTCTCCCCGAGCAGGTGTACCTTCAAAGCGGACCTTGCACCTTGTACAAATATCGGTCTTACGATGACCATTGCCACTGTGCAGAGATACGCCTGCGATCTGTTTACTGCGCGCACATATTTTGCCTCAATCCACTATCTCTAAAGTGTGAGCGGCTTACTTACAAGTTCTACCTTTGAGCAGACCAACTCACTCCTCCCATTCTGAAATTCTTACGGCGTGGGTCGCTGGCGCTTCCGACCACCTCTTGTGAGGTCGGTGAAAAGGGAGACTTGGTGCTCCCGGCCTTCTCTCACCGCGTTTGCTCTGCTCTCACCATCTTGCCCTGAGGACAGAGCGTTTAGTGACAGAGGGGATCAAACAAGGCAGTAGGTAGGTGCAGAAAACGGCCCTCTTCATTGCATTGCACTCGAGGCTATCGAAGAGGTAATGAGACCAGCAGCTCAAACAAGACCAGCAGCTGTGAAAAGGTCCACGAGCTACTCTTGTGCTAGAGCGAGATCGGATCTCTACAGGCACAGGTCCTTCTGGTCGGTCTTCTTACACCATCTTCCTCAGCAAGCGTTCCACACACCTGACCACCGGATTAAACTTCGCAGCAGCAGCAACAGGTCTGATCTACGCTCCAATCCGTCGTATGCACGCCCGGTCCGCTGTCCTCCTATTTTGAAACGATCTTGAAATCGAATTATACTCTGGCGCCCCTCCTTCCCCGTCCATCTCTCTCTAGCTCCCTCTTCTGTCACAAGATATGTACAGTAGGCTACAGTATATGTGTCACAACATGTATCACGGTCTCGACTCGGTGTCTGTGTCGCGCATTCTCTTTTACCCCATCTCTCTCCATCACAGTAGTGGACAACATTACACGGCAACGGGAGTTACTTCGTCCCGCACGCCAATGCACACCTCCAGGTGGTGAATACGTAAGATGCGTTCAGTCTACGTGTAGAGCTTGCAATTCGTCCGCATGCAAGGAATATATCATCTTGACTGAAACCGCATTATTTATTGCCTCCAGCAGCAGCAGGAAATCGACGCTTTACTACAACTGTAGTACGAGACTGGTTTGATGTGTGCCTCTCCTCTGAACCAGGAGGGAAGGAGCATCTACCTGCACACATAACTCTGCGGCTGATTCAACCCACGACCTTCTGGATCCAAGAAACGAAACGGTCGCCACATACGTACACGCACATCCGCCCCGTCCTCCATTGTATGCATGCGGGTGTGTGTACACTATTTGCAACTTTTTTCTGGTGAAAAAGAGAGCTTCGACCGGCGGCGTGACTGCGCTCGAGAATTACCTCGCGTGTCTCACGTCATGGATTGTCTGGTCTTCTCTTTCACGCTGTGGGTAGTTACTGGTATGTGTATGGCACAAGGGCTCTTTCTACCGCTACGCTTTCCACAACGAAGCCACCGCGTGTCAACTCTTTCAGAGGGTGCGATGAGAGGCTTGACAAACCTGACTTTCTCGAATTTGATTCCGGTGACAACATGAAAATATGCGTATAACGTGATCTCACGTGAGTTTCACGCAAGCCTACACGACGAAGATTTTGATTCCAATGGAGTGCCGTTATGGTGTGAGCACGGGTGAAATGTGAGGACAAGAGGACCCACACCACACGAATTCAACGAAAAAAGATACGTTGGGAAAATAATCCGCTCCGGGCGGTTCATACATGCAACTTGTCAACCGGACAACATTCGACCGGTTTGGTTTTCCAGCAGCACAGGACAACTCTCTGGGCATCCACTGGACTATTGGACAGGCTCACTAGATGTTTGGACCTCTCCCTTCCAACCTCTCTCGACCTACGACGCGTAAACGTGGCATAGGACGGAAACTCTGGACTGTCCACGAATAACGCCTCTTTCCATTTTTTCGTCCCTGAATCGGGTGGAGCCGACCTCACAAGGTGCTGGTGCCGGGTGCCGGAGATCCACGCGAAATCGTGCCCAGGCTTGAAGACTGATAGTTGCATCAGCCTACAGGTTGGTGGTGGCAGTTGCATGCTGCACATTACGTGAGAGCTCAGCCCATCGTGGTGCAAAAGAGACCGGAGACTTGTCTCTGCAGGCACTAAAACTAACGTCTACATGTACTACAGCAGTTGTAGTTGTTCGAGTTTACGTAGAAGCCTACCACGGTATATATTTTATCACAGCCGACAACGATCTACAGCAAAACAACCATCCCTGTGCACGGCCTCTACAAGTGCTTCTTTGTAATTCGGCCGCCCACATTCAGAGTTCTGAGACAACTTGAATATTACATCTGTGTCGCGCAAGTCTCGTCCGGATCAGGCAAAGACCGGGGTGCCTTTCGTTATTCCATCCGGTGTGATGTTGCTGCCACCGTTTGCTCCGTTCGTTGCTATTGTGAATCACCTACAAGGCCTCAAAGTATCAAACGCCACCAGCACGCTCTGCAGGCACACTAGTCTATGTAGTAGGAGGTCCAACTATGATAATAGAAAGCGCCGCTCGCCGCACAACAACTACAATGTACCACGTCGCCAAGAACCACGGAAGATTTCTCGGAGGGGTATACGTTCGGAAGTGGTGCCTAAGGAGCGTGTTCGGGCCGACACCAACGGCTGATTCCAACAATACCAAGATGGTCGGGTTCGGGCGCGGTCATCCTCACATCAATCAAAGCGCGCCTTGCTGTGTGTGGTGGCACATGATACTGATTGTAATACTAGGTCAAGCAGTACGTATACCGGAATATGTATGTGTACCCCGGACCAAACAAACTTGGCACATGCTCAGTCAACCAAACACCACCTGTGACGCTACGAAAAACAAAATGGTTGGCATGCAACGCTCATCATCCACCATCTGGAAGCCAAACAGAAGGACGGACTCGATTCAATGCACTCTGAAACAACCCTTGACGCCTCTTCACGGGAATGCCTAAATCATCCAAAGATAGACACAATAATGACACCAACTTCTCGCCTGTAGCACGATGCCTCCCACAACGGTGGCTGATGTACCGATATACGAACAACCTACCGAAGGGAAAAAGAGGGCCCAGGAGTTGCATCGGGGCTACGAACACCGATCGCTTGATTAAGTGTTCGCGAATTTGGCCCACGCATCCGCTGGTAGTGTCTATGTCTACCTTAACGTGAAACGATGTCCCGTCGACTGTGGATGCCCAAATTCACAAGGACAACGTTTGCGTAGTGCAGCTGTGTTTCTGCTACACTTGCGAGTGCAAATCGCCCTCTGTACTCCTATACAAAGTATGACAAGTATTTCGCAAGCACCCCGAACCTCTTCTTCTCTCTTTCGCGACTTGTCGACCCCGCCTCACTGCTTCTTGAGGAGAGTCAGCATCTGCTCCAACTTTGCACAGCCCCTACATTGCAACGTCCCGGGCAAAAACATGTACCGAACAAATTGCGAGCAAGAGCTACAATATCGTCGTTATTCTTCTACCAAATACAACAGAACGACACGCACTTTGTCGCCATATTCCCCTTGAGAACAAAACTACACCTATTCACGATTCCTTCTCACGGATTAACGACGTGCTTTCACGAGGTAGCGTTTGACTATCTCGCTTACCCTCAACACAACTACCAGAGTAGTAGTAGTCCCTCGGCTGGGCGCTCCAGCCAAGCGTGCTCCATCACCATCCTGCCCTCGCCCCTCAGCCCGTGAGCAAAGCTTTGCTAGCTATGGTCCGAACTTCGATGTAGCTAGCTGCTGCCATCCTATGCCGCGTGACCCTCCGAAGCGGGCTACGTGTTAACACACTGTGCATTCCTCAACACGTGGCCCTTGGGCCCAGTGGACTCGCGTCTATCATACTCTTGCTGCAGGAGCAGCAAGGCAGCAGAACGAAACCTCCGTTACCCCTTTCTCTTTGTGAGAGCCCACAAAACCGAACCAAGACATCCGAACCAACACACCTCCAGGGCGGCACAACAAGAACCCAAATACATACGTCGATCTGGGAGATGTTCCCAATTCTTCCGCACACAAACAAACTACAGCATATTCGGTCTTCGACAAAAAACATTCAATTTGACTATCTCGCTTACCCTCAACACAATTAGACGCACCACAACAACAATCTCTTGACAAGTGGAAAGATGCGACACTTCAGAAAATCTCGAAGCGACAATCATCATGTGGTGCTAGATACAAACAGTAGGAACGGAGACATTCACCTAAAATATGGTAAAGGGAAGACTCACAAAAGTGGACGGACGACACCGAACATTGGGACAAATACAATCAATCTACCCACATATCCAAGGCGTAAATTATGAACAACGGCAACTGAATCTACACGGAAATAAATACCAAAACGTTAATGACCTCTAAATTATTCCGAGACGGAGACGCCGAAATCCGGTGGGAATGCCCGCGTTGTCAAGGGAACCATGTGGCAACAATGACACGTTTTACCCTCTGTTCGTCAGTCCCTGCCGAAAACGGCAAACCGCAATGATTGACGAGCAAACCAATCCTACACGCGCACGGGCAGGCTAGCCGCTATCTACCCGGAAAGGATTAGTTATTAACCAATGTGACTCCGGAAACACCGCACCCCTCTCCCTCTCCTTGTGCACGCACCATCTGTTGTACGTAGATTCCTCTCCGCTACCGCGTGCCCCCTCCACAGTCCGATCCCTCTAGCCGGCACCGTTTGCCGCTCAGCGTATCCCCGCCTTTGTCCACGCCACCATCTCGCTGGTCGGCTGCTGCCTTCAACGACCGTTCCTCCTCACCAGAGGCCACCGTTTCCGGAACGGCGGCAGTTTCACGCGAACCAGCTTTGGGCTGTTTAGCGTCCGGCGAGGAGTTGCCGGCGGCGTTGTTCTTTGCGTCAGATCTTGCAACCGCCGCTTGGCATGAACCGGCAGCGGCCGGGCCGCCAGAACCTTTCTGTCTTCTTCCCACCGCCGCGGGCGTTGTGGCGAGCGACCCCTGCTGCACCGGTGCTAGGAACGCTTCCACGAGGAGGGGCTCTCTCTTGGCGCCGGCCTTGAACTCCTCGAAATCGATCGTACCGTTTCCATCCTTATCCAACCTCTTGAACAGCTCACTCAGCTTGCCTGCACACGGAGAGAGAAGGGATATGTAAAGCTATGAAAAGTCAAGAACAAGCGATAGGGCAGGTACACACGTAACCACGCGGGTGTGCCTTGGAAAAGAAATTAAGCACCAACCTTCTCCAGAAACCCAGCAAGCCAGCTACAACCTTGGCTCGAAAAGCCGAAAACAGACACAGCGGTGGCCTTGGTGCCCAAATACGTGCGATCGCTCTTCAACAGGGACTAGGGCGTCCATCGCCGAGAGTAGGTGATCTCCAAAGGTCTCCTCCGAGCAGAGCTTTACCCCACTATGCTGTTCAGTACACAATTGCACGCTGTCGCGCCAGACTTCAAAACACTCGTGGACGAGGAGAGGCCATCAGCTTATCCTTGCTGGTGACGTTCTGTTGTGTCTACGTAGTACTGGTAGATGTTTTCGACAATCTATTATTGTCAACTTACGGTCGTGATCCTCGCCCCCCCCGTCGACCCCACCACCACCACCACCACCGGACATGGCTTGCATGTCTTGAGGCCGCATGACGCACGAAAGCACAGACTTGAGCTCCTGCAGGTTAATGGAACCCCCTCCATCGAGGTCGTAGATGTCGAAACAGAAGCGTAACGCCTTGTCGCCGGTGTGCTTGAACGATGCCATCCCAGCGAGGAACTCCCCGTAGTCCACCTTGCACAACGCACAGGAGAGCGTCAAGGCCAAGGCGACAGCACAGTCAACGACGGGACAAAGACAGACGGCACGGGCTTCAAAGAGAGGAGCCTCAAGTCCACTCCGGCAACAGACGCATCTTGCGTGACCTTAACGAGATGTCGAATCTTCTCAAAAGAGCAAACACGTCCTTTTTCTTTGTGATACACCCGCCCCTCTCTTCCCTGGTACGACAACAGAGAGCCGCTCTCGTTCCTTGAAGTGGTTGGATTCGTGCAGACAGCGACGGTTCTTCGTGATCAGGTGTCCACAGCGCTAAAGGTGAAGATTCGTCTTGTGACGAACGCACGCAATGCCCCCCAGCAGTCCTCACAACGACTGCATAAGCCGTGGCAAGTTGAAAAACCTCTTTTCTACTGGCAGTGGAGAAAACAAGCCGAGCCTTCACGGAAAAAAATGAGATATGTATGTTCTCCGCTGCTGTCGACAGCGGTAACATAAACCCAGCATGTTGTGTCCATCGCCAACGCTGTCTCAGATTGCAAGGATAGGAAGGAGGGAACGAAGGATCACATCCGGGGTCCCGAGACCAGGGTCACCTCGGCACAACCACAGCTCCTGTACAGACAGCCAATTGAGTCACGCTCCACTTGTCAGCAGCAGCATCAACAGAAAAGGAGCAACAGCAGCACCAGCAGCAGGAGAGGAAGAACGCGCTACCCTTGTACTCACGGTGCCGTTGCCGTCCGTATCAAAGAGGTCGAACATCCGGTCGGATGGCACCGGGCCGAAACCGACGTCCGAGAAAACAGAGGCCAGCTGCGCCCTGCTCAGAACCCCCCCTTCCGCGGAAGAGAGAAACGCCTCCTTGAGGGTTTCCAGCTCGAGAACGGAAACTGCCGAATAGGATAGAGGTGTGTGTGTATGGGTTACGTGGCGGGAGTCAACGAAGGCGTAACTTCTATATGCCGACCGGCGGCGCACGTCATCGTTGTCTGCTACTCCTGTAAATGATGTTGCACTTCTCTCCCATGATCGGAGTGCTCCTGGCGTGAATGTCACGCGTCATTATTATTATTGCCACAACTGAAAACGACTCTGGTAGTCGTGTCGAAACATTAACATTTCCACTGGAACGTTTTTCTGCAACAGAACAACACATCGACTGGGGGGCAATTGAAAGCGCTCCTCGGCACCGGAGATGCTGCGCCGACGTTGCTCTCGTTCTTAGTCGAACCGCGTCCGACGCCATGCTACGGTACTCTTCTACTCTTGCCTGTTCACGGTGATCTCTATCTTCGATGGCCATCGAGCTAAGGCGGAAGATGACAAGCAACAGTAGACCTATCACAACAGCACCGACGTCATCGCAATTCCAGCAGCAACAAGCCTCCCTGCTCGCCCTCGAGGACAATCCAACGGCAACCCCCCGGCTGCTCACATCCGTTCTTGTCCTCTCGCTCTCCCTCGCTCGAACTGCGGGCGCGCTTCTTCAGGCCGAGCCTGGCCCCCAGCATTACCACCGCCGCCACCGCGCGCCACTTCCTCTTGGCGTTGAAGGCCTTGAGGCGGTGGATAGTGTCTGACAGGTGGTCGTACTCGTGATCGCACGCCGAGGTGAGCCACTGTCGTGGTAGCAGCGTGGTGGAGAGGTCGGTTTCGAGGATGTTGGCACGGACAAGGAACGAAGCGTGCAGCAGCATGTGGACCAAGTCGGGGACACGTCGGGAGATAGGTCAGCCGACCGACCTTTGTACTTTGCCCATGGAACGCCTTGGTCGGCACCGGTGGCACCGTTCCAACTGGCGTTGTTCTCGAACTCTCGCGACGGTATTATTTGATGGAATCTGGTACCTAGGTTTGTTAATCATTAGTCGTGGCCGTAATCCTGTTTGATACTTGGTACAGTAGTCCATTTCATGTAAGAAGAACCTTTCGGGAACCTTCGTGTATATCGGTATGGTACACTGATGCCCTTTTCGTACAAGACCACGTACGCCGGCTTGCTTGGTGGCCCTTGAATTGTCTTAAATTCGCCAATGTGGAATATTACCATCCATCTTACACCAAACTGGCGCAACCACCACAATACTGTTGTCCTCATGACGGCGGGAATAGGTTTCCCACCCGAAGGCACGAAACGAAGTCCATACTTGGATGACCGCCATCGACCTAATCCCGTGGAGTCTTCTGCTAGTTGCGTAAAATGTACCGTAGGTGACATGCCGCAAGACATGACACCCCTAGTACCGATTTTCAAAGGTGGAAAACCCCACAGCAGAAAGAGCGGCGGGACCGAAAAATGTGGCATTGTAGCGGTCTCATTGAGAGCTTTCCGAACAACGTACCGTTTGGTTATACTTCAAGTACATCCTGTTCGTCTTGGAGTAATCGAGCTTTGAAAAATAGGTCCAAGTCCAAGGCGTGTCATGTCTTGTGTCACCTACGGTAAACACTCCTGCCTTCGGTGCAGCCATTGAGCAACAAAGCTTTAGGACCAGAATGCTGACATTACGATCAGAAGCGTCAAGCCAGCTTCACCACTGTCGCCTCCACACTTGACGGTCAATTTGTGAGGTGCTGGGTGAGATGGAAATGCCAAGCGCTACCGCGACTGACTCACCGGGTGATTGAGAACGTCCGCCATGGTCGCCCGCTTTTCCACGTCTACCGTCAGCATCCTGTACACCAGATCCTTCGCCTGGTTCAACACCGTCCGTAGAGGCCCGAGGTCGCCGGAAAGAGGAAAAGAAAACATCATCCGCACGGAGAACAGATCGGCAGGCAGCGTACGGGGAGGAAAGACAAGGCCACATCAACGACCAAACGTGAGCTTTTTCGCTACAGACAGCAGTGGTGGGCTAGCTCGTTCGTGACCCTTTCCGACTAGTTTCTACGATACTACAGTATACCATGCGTTTTTTCCACCCATGTACGCTAAAATCGGGCGCGCCCTTCGCCAAAAGAGACAGCGAGCACCCAATGCACATCTATTCACTCAGTGTACAAGACGCGTGCGTTCTTTTTCTCACCTCTGCGCTAATGAGGTCCCACGCGTCAGGGTGAAAGTAGTATTTTCCCTGCCAACGAGCGGAAGGTGCGGGTGTCGGGGGGGAGGCAAGGCAGCGAGAACGAGAGGGATGAATCCGATTCGATCGATACATGCATTGGATGCCACAAGTCAATACCAACACCGGCGTACGTACTCTCTTTTTGTCGGAAGAGACCTAGCTGCTCGTAAACGCAGCAGTAGCACTTAAGCATTGCAAGTGTGCAGCGCCCTCGCTACGTGCTTGCCATGTCCGGTTCAGAAACGACCATGATCGCGAGCTTACCGCCGGGGAGGAAGTAATGATATTCGGAGCTGAAACAACAGCCCCACGGAGGCAGGTCATCATCATCCACTCTAAATTCTTTCGTTTTCGCAGCTTCAGCAATGGGGGCATGGTATGCCTTACAAAGGGTACCAAGCATCCACAGCAGTCGCTGCCACAAAAGTGCTGTATTGGTGGCGACCATTACCTTTCGTAACCCCCCGAAGTCGCAACTGAAATTCCTGACCACCGACTCTCTCCTTCCTTGCGCACTTTGGCAACGTCACGAGATTCTGTTTTTTCCCTCCGTCCAGCGTAATTAAGCAAACACTGGCTTCGCTTGATGCAAAACCCTGGCCTACCAGCAGTTCTGCACTCGGCAAAACGAACAAACTTGGGCGGCAAGAGCAAGGTGTCTCGGGACAGCCGTTGCTGCACAAGCTCTCGCATCCTCAATACCACCATCGCCACCTCGTCAAGCCTTCGCCCTCTCTCTCACCTGCTTGATGACCTCGAACAGCGTCTCGTCCGCGGAGGGATAGAACGGGGGGTATCCCGCCTGTCGCAGATCGATCGATCCGATCAGATCCGATCCGATCACCGGATAAGCCAAAAGCACCCCCGGAACCCAGAAACGCCAGGAGAATTACGGGAGGAACCAAACCAGGCAGCCAGCCCGTCAAGGGAGCGCAGGCGTGGAGATTAGAGGGTTGGACAAGGAGCGGAGCAACGGGTCTGGGCTTTCAGAAGCTGGATCAACTAGACCGGCTACAGCTGAATATCCGGCAATCAGTTTCAAGCAAAGGGTAGGGATGGCTGAGGTAGGCAAATAACCCCCTCAAGGCAGCGTTCAAAGACATGCCTACATCCCAGACAAACTCATGTCACAGGAGGTGTACCCATGCGTAACGGTTTCGAACGCGAGACGTAAATGACAAGGGATGAACAAAAAAGCACGAGTCCACCACAGAGTCGTCCGGAGCACATGCCAACCTACCGCTCGCGGACCCCGCGTGCGTCTCTCTTATACGCCCCCTTATGGTACAGTATCCTCGTTTGTATGTGTCAGCCTATTGAGTTGATCTTGTCCACTTGAATGCACCCATGACGTACTTCGAACTACATGTACATCTTTTTCTGTACCACGCCCCGCACATTCGTGCAATGAAAAGCGCAACACGACGGATGCATCTGGATGTGGGCAGAACAACATTCGCCACCGATGGAGGCAGCAACTTTCACAAGCTACAAGGCAGCCGGACGTACGTACCCTCCGAGGGAATTGGCGTACAGTATAGACTGCTGCGAAGAATCTTGGTGGCCGCCCAAACTTGAAGAATCCACCCCTCTCGGAGGTACTCTACCTTCAGTATTGTGTTGTATTAATGCTGAAGCTACAGTACCACCGAGAGGGATGGATTCTTCGAGTTTTGATCGGTCACCAACATTCTTCGCAGCAGCCTATACTGCACGCCAATACCTTCGGAGGGTACGCACGCCCGGCTGTGCTGCCTTAAAAGTCACCCAGATCAACAGCATCAACACCCACGCCACCGCCATCAGCACCCACTCACGAGGAGGATGTACAGGAGCACACCGCACGCCCAAACGTCGCACGGTGGACCGTAGAGACGGGAGGACAGCACCTCGGGAGCGACGTAGCTGAGGCAACCAATAACCAACCACGGCAACAAAGCGAGACGAGCGCAGGCACGGGGTAATTGCACTTCAGAAGACGCACACAGACAGACAGCGTTTGGCATTCAGAGCACCGACGGCTACCAAGCGGCTGCATGAAACATCACCGAAAGGTGTGCGTTGGAAAATCTCGAATGAAAAAACACCAAAGCTGACATCGGTGAATGGGCCAGCTGACGACACAGGAACACACCCTGTCCTCAAAAACACTAAACGTGGAATGGCGGATGGGCCAGCTGCCTACACGTGACAATAACTTGTCGGGCACCGGCAGGGTGAGGGTTACCACTTCGGAGGCGAAGCGGAGGCATGGCAGGCCGATGGTAGGTACACCATTACCAACACGTGGGGCGGTAGAGGGTTGGTCATCGACGACGCAAAGGCGACGGCTGACGTCGAACTTCCTCGGACCAAAAAAAAAGGGACAACACCCTTGACACGGGTCCACTGGGCGAGCGACTGGGGTCATCATACTGGCAAAAAAAACGTTGCAAACGACCATCAACTGGGTGCCACAAAGGGCCGGCAGCCCGACTAACCCCGGGGTGCCGACGAGGTTGTCATCGTGCACGGTTACCGACGCCCCAGGGTATAGCAGCGCCAGCCCAAAATCCGTGAGCTTGATTTTGGTGTCATCGTCCCTCGAGGTGTACATTATGTTCTCGGGCTTCACATCCCTGGTCGCCGCACCAAGCAAAAGAGAGAAAGTAAGGAAGTGTGTCAGGCCGAGAAATGTGGCATGCCATTCGGAGCGGGGCTACGCGTGTAGACCACACGCCCATGCACGGGGTTGGGGAGCTTTCGGCGCGAAACCACCACAAAACACAAAACGCAAAACACAACCCACAACAGAACCAGAACCAAAGCCAAAAGTAGTTAGCACCTGTGCACTATTCCCTTCTCGTGGCATTGGGCCAGGGCACCAGCCAGCGTGCAGATGAGGTGCGAGGCATGTCCCTCCGTGTAACGCCCGCGCGACACGATTCGATCGAAAAGCTCCCCGCCTGGTGTTGGTGTTGCCGCGTTTTCGTGCCGAACGGGCGTCACGATCAGAACGCTGTTTCTCACGTTGCACAAGGGAAAAGAGTTGAAAATGCGGTTCTTCCAAGATTTCCAGCCTAGAGAATGAAAAATTAAAAAACTAGAAGCGCACCAGCCGCCTTGACTACCACCCGCTACCTGTGCAGACGGGCTTCAATGCATGTGAACGTTTCGAAGTTTGAGGGCGAAACGGTTAGATTGTGGACCTACCCTGGTCGAAGAAATAAAATAATCTGGTGTTTCGGTTCACCACGCCGATTGGGGTGTCATGCCCCGTGCTTGTGCAAAGCCCAAACAAGTATTACGTCAGTCTAGGTGCTTGTCTACGGGGGCACGACAAAGAGAAACACAGAGAAATATATACAGAAATGAGAGATAGATAAATGAGCGAAAGGACAAGTACAACGTCGTAATAGATTGGTTGTGAAAGTGCGATGGTGTGGGCAGGTATGGCACACCGGGCGGTAGAGCGGAGTGTTGCAGCGTCGGACTCTCTCGTGCTACTGCTGTATCTCGCTCTAGTAGAACCTCCCTCACCGTTCAGCTCCTCGAGAACGATCGACACCTTGGAGGGATCGCTGAACACCCCGATCATTACGATCAAGGACGGGTTGTTGATCTGCCCTCGTATTCGCTGATAGCCCGCAGGAGGGGGCGGGGGTACAAGATGAACACGGTTGCGCCGAAACACAACAGCGCACGGTTTGGTGCTATTGGTAGAGTGTATCGCCAGGACTTTTGCATTGATACCTGATGCGGGAGGTACGCGCACTGCCGCTGCACCGCGTATTCCGGTCATGTACAAATCAAGCACACACATACAAGATCCAACATTGGAACAAAATTGGTTAGAGAACCGTAGGCATACACGGTTTATTTGAAGTACTTCTATAATAGCTGCACACGAGCTGAGGCGACGACTCTCTCTGCAGCAAGCAAGGCGAAGGCAACGACATTTTGGGCACTTGTATGTAGGTGCAGTTTTGCTTGTACAGAGGTTGACGGTGTACACAGAACGGTTGGCGCAACACAAGGTGACGGATACAAGTCAGAAATTCTAAGCAAACATTCCATCCACACCCATAGCCACGGTACAGAGCGGCGCATCATGCAGCGACGCAGTAGTATATTCGCATTCAAATTAAAGAGCTACGAAGCACAGGTATACAACGCACAACCAGCGCAACTGCCATTTGCTCGTGCTCGCACCTGCATCGCCTCGACTTCCACTCGTATCGCCTCCTGAGCTCGCTTGTTGCCTTCGAACGTTGCTGCAGCGATGATTTTGAGGGCGACCTGCATGCAGGAAAAAAACAAGAAAAGAGCAGCATGTGAGGAACCCGGTCTCGATTTAAATTCCGCAAATTTTCAGCTCAAAGCGGAGCCGAACCAAACGTCCATAACAGACCCAACACACGGCAGTTGTCGACACGACAACGAAAAAAAGTATGCATGCATGTAGAGGTGTTACCGTTTGTCGCTCATCACTGCCAACAGAATCACAAATTTTCTGGTGTCTCACATTTTCGCCCGTTTCTCGATGCCTGCCGTGCTTCACCACCGAAAAGGCTCCCTTCCCCAGCTCATGGCCTACATCGTAAACGTCTTCCATCCTGCACCAGGAAAGCAGAAAAAAGAGAGAGACATGATAGTCTCTTCTCTGTTAGAGCTTTCCTGTTTGACAGGAATTTTGCTCTCTCGGTGCAAGACGGCGATTGCCACCCGCTTACTCCCGTCACAACACGAGGCCGTTTCACGAAGCATGGTGTGACAAGAGCGGATTCAAGAACACCGACAAAATAGAAAGCTGGGGACTCCCGCGAGTTAGAAAGCGAATGCGCTGCTGAACGCGCAAGCTCGACTTATTTGACGAGAAAATGAAAAGGCCCGCGCGTAGAAAGGAGCCACGCTGTTTTTTTCGCTGTGGATATATACAGTAGAGGTCCCTGTTTAGTGCCGGTGCCCGGTACAGCAGTGCCCATGTTTTCGGCGGGCACCTTGAATTTCCAACACTTTCTCTCAACTTTGAATAGTGTCGGTCCGGTATAGTGCCGCTGAATTGTCTGGTTACATATGATACCGGCAAAAAACCGGGACCTCTACGGTAGCATACCAGTGTCAAGCGCTGCAGAGCGCATGCACCGGAATGTCTGTAGAGCATTATCATGATACTGCTGTAGACGCTGAAGGCTTGCAGCTGCTGGCTATTGAAAGTACGGGAGAAAAGATCGCAAGAGTGGATCGATCCCGGTCTTTGTGTCTCTCACCTCCCGTCAAGGGCCGCCAGTTGATCCAAACCACGCAGCATGTTGTCTGGCGCTCCTACCCTCCGGCTTTGACGTAGGTACGGATAGCGGCAGCCGCTGGGGGGGTTTTCAGCCAATCTTTCTCCTTTGTGTTCACCGCCAGTGGGTGTCTTGAATTCCTATGGGTGCAGTGGGGGTGCGTAGTGCAGAAGGGCAGCCTTTGGCGAGAACGGATATGTACAAGCCTACAATAATATCAATTCCCGAAGATGTTGCCGCATCCAGATCCTTGTTTCAAAAAGGGCTTCGAAAAAATATTTTTTCTCGCAAATAACAAAATAACAAGTAGAACAGGCATGGCAACGGAGCTGCATTTTCTTCCATACATCCTAACGCTGCAATCACACGTGATTTATTTATGTGTGTACCTTCGCGTTTGTGTGTGCACAGGGAAGTACTTCCATTTTGGAGCATTTGCTCTCAAAGAGAGCCAGTTCCTCGACGAGCAAAAAAAAAGAGTCAAACATACTCAGTTTTGGTATGTACGATACACGGCACGAGTTATTTGATATCTACCCTCTATCTACAGTATCTCGATGACGCTTTCAGTTGGTTGGCTGTGTTGGTTGTTTTTGTTGTTGCTATGGTGCGTGGTGCGTGGTGGTGGTGGTGGTGGTGGTGGTGGTGGTGGTGTTGCTATGCACAGGCGGTGCTTTTCAGTGCCTCCCTCCAGCACATGGTCTACATAACTAGCAGGCAGCTGACAACAGGTTGTATGCATATGTGTAGGCTGTTTATGGAGGGGAAAACAGCAAATTTCTACTGTAAGTACACGAGTTCGAAGCGACCAGAATTCTTGTCCTTCTGTCGGTGTGGGTGTGCCGTGTCTCCAAAGTCCAGTCAAGCAAATGGCGGGGAACCTGTGCACCTGGCCGACAACAGACTGAACTGGACATGCCGCAGCAGCTCACATACGCACACATGAACCGTAGACGACACAAGATGACACACCCACATAAGAAACCACACCCCCCACAGAATACGACACCCCGGCGAAAGTTTTGGGGATTTCTGACAAACGATCGATTTATCACCGGGGCTACATAAGATAACACACCCCTGATGTTGCGCCGCATACATTCACGGGGCTCCTCCTTTTATCACCGGGGTGATACAACATCTGCCCCGTGGACATGTGGGCATCTCACACACACAACATCTGCGTAACTCTCTTGTAGTCGTACCCAGTATCAAGGTATGCAGGAGGCTACTTTTTTGCGTGAAGGGGCAGGACGGATGGCGCACTCTGTGGCCAATGAGTCATGTGCTCAGGAGTTTCGTCACCTCCGCTGAACTCCTTTGTTTTCACCATATTCCGCAGAACCACAAGTCATGAAGTGTTCGTACAGGCACTGCTATCACACCCCCGCAATACCCACCAAGTGTGCGGCAGCAGCGGTTCAACTCTACAAGAAGTGTTGCAACACCTCCTTTTTATCACACCCTCCCATTATTACACCCCCGAACATACCCTGTGGGTATTCATTCGGACGTGCTATCACACCCCCTTTTTGTCAAACCCCCTCATTTATCACACCCCAAACACACCCTGTGCGTGTTCGGACGTGCTATCACACACCTCGGTTCGGTTTCCTAGGGCTCCTTTTCTCGACCGGTCGGTGCGGTAGCTGTTCTTTTCTTTCTATCATTTTGTTTTGTTTCCCCGCGGCGTCGCATGTGCCGGGTTTTGCGACCACGGGCTCCCCATTTTTGTGGACTATAGAGCTAATGTGAGAGAAACAACAACAACAAACACTCCCCACAAGATACCACACCCGGTGATCATATTTTTACAAAAGCCCAAAATGTTATCACCGGGGTGTGTTATCTTGTGTCGTCTACGGTATGCGCCGCAGAGAGTTGCCCCCTTTTTTTTTTTTTTTCTTAATACGGAAGAACATGTACTACCACACAGCAGGCAAAACACTGGTGAAGGTAATAATCTGCTGCGTGACAAAAGAGCACCTCCTCCCCGTCGTGTTGCTCTTCAACCCTCCATCACGGAGCAGAACGCGCGGACTCCAGACATACACCATGCTGCAACCATGCGTGCACCTCTCTACAGCAGCAGGCACGCGCGTGGTTCCACACATAATAGGGTGTTGAGTTTGAACATTTTTCTCTCCGGCGGGGTGCTCTTCCTGCCTCTGCTCCATGGTTGGTCGCATGTCTACCGCTGCCTGATACTGACTGCTGTACTACCGGAACATACCTCCAATCAATCGCTCGGGAGTGCGGTCGGGTTGCTTCCGAGCTCTCGTGTATGGCTAGCTCTTGCCGTCGTGCCTACTTCTAGCTCTGCACGCCTGCTTGTCACTCACACTGCACTCGGCCAATCGAGAATCAGATCATCGGATCATCGGTGCGGTAAGAGGCGGGTACCCCGCAGTCGATATGATCAATCTGTTGTGCCCCCGAAACCGCTATTTTCAAATTTTTGAAAATGGAAACATCCTGCGACGAGACGACCGGCATGGCAACTTCCTCTCTATAACCTGCTGAGCCAGGAGCGCACATCCACACTGCGTTCGAGGCCACCAGGTTTGGAACGAACATGTCTTCGGGCGGAGGCGCTGTGGAACTTATCCCGGTAAGTTGGAACATAGCAAGCTGATGGCTGGTCGTCAGTGTGCTCGAAACAGGACGAGATGTACGGCCCCTCGAACTACTCGCGGCTACAAATACGCCGCGCAAACTACTTGCACCTGCCGAGTCTGCTCTGCTGTACAGCAGGCTTGCAGCGCCTTTCACAAGCCACCCTACCCCATGTCACGGCCACGGCGCGTCACTCATGCACACAAGGAGGAGCTGTCGGCTAATTTGCTGGTTTCCCACGAGCTCAGTTTGTACTACTTCCTTCGCGGGGCACAAGTACCCAACAGCCCAAATAGGTGATGCCCTAGGCTCAAGTTGAGGCAGATGGTTTTCGGATGGGGCCCCACAATCGCGTGATTGTTCAAGCTTTTTTCATGAGAGACGTTTGCCACAGCTGTTTTTGCAATTATTCCCCATGTGCCATACATGGCACTACAAGTACTGTGTACATAACGACATGTATACTCTGTGTAGTTGTACACCGGAGCTGCTGCCGCACACTAAATAAATTAGTCAAAGTTTGTTTGCCCATACATTAGATAACATGACAGAGAGATAGACCCCAAGGGGTAATGTTCCCCATCGATACAAATCGCAGAGAGTAATACATATGCCTATTTTTTACTATTAGGTATATGCACGTGGCCCGGTCTGTGGCAAGTCCTGACGATACAAGTACGGTATTCTCCGGCGTAGTGGGGTGCGTGTGAGAGGATCGGGTCTGATGTTTACGTTTTATTTGAAAATGTGCTCGCAAACTCGAACTCCTTGGCATGTAGGTTCTGTTTTGTGACTCAGCTTTCGAGTTAGAGCTAGTGGTACCATTACAAACAGCTTCGTTCGTAGTTTTCGTAGTTTCCCCGCCCTATGTACCCTACCCTCGAAAACTGTAATCGTTCGCAAATTCGCACACCGGCGAGGTATCATTACTCCGCCTCTGTGTACCTTGTATTGGAACACGCTTGTGAGTATTCTTGGGAGAAGCACGGCCGAACCCTTCTGGTGTGAAAGCCTTAAGGCCTTGCCCTGAGGGGTTTCATTGGATGATTTCGGATCGGAGCTCTCCAGTTAGTGGTTGTGATGAGCGACGGTTACTTAATTATCGGGTTTTGAAGGCGAAGCAGAATTATAATTTCCGTATTTTGGACATATTTCCGTATTTTGGACATGTACTGTGAGCTTACTTTATGCACACCCTACAACCGTACCTCACTAAATAACACAAAAGCACCAATCCAGGATTACGCAGAATAGGTCCTCTGCGTCCTCGGCTTCAAGTCTTCTACATATTATCTGCATGCGACTTCAATTCTTCGTGAGTGAGTGGTAGGACTCCCTCTGGGTCTTGTTAGGGTTATTTTCTACATTCGAAATACCGTGTTTGGGGGTTAGATTGTGCGACAGGAAGTTGGTGTGTTTGCTGGGAAGAGGGAAGAAGAGGAGATACTAAGCACGTGCAGGTCCAAAGGACATACCAACAACGTCATGGCCACAAAACATCAACCAAGGTATAAAAAGTCTAACGTCAAGCGCAATCTCTCCACGAGGAGCAGCTGATTGTCCATTCGACAGTAACCAATCCCGCTTCGGAGCGCCAGACGACCTTCCTTTTCTGGAATTCTCTGTCTCTCGCTAACAGGGGAAGTTGTACTACGTGACGCTCAGATCAACTCCACCGGAGAGCTCGAAGGAGGCGGCGCACTTTTGGTCGGTGGGTCTCGATATGCCGAGTGTGTGGTCACTACACATATAGCAATAACGGTCGTTAATTTAGCAGAACTCGTTTCGTGGTACATACGACAGGAGGTGATCCATGGCATATTTCAGCGGGAGACGGCCCCAGAAAATGACCCTGCGGAATTTCGAGCTCAAGTACATGAACAATCTTCCATTTCTACTGTAGAATTCGAAGTGGATTGCTTTTGGTAGCTGCCACCGGAATCCCGTTCAACTACGACGTAGGTTCGTGTCCAGAGCACAGCATTCGTGCCGCTTGTCGCCAACCCAAATCAACCTGCTTCACTGCCGCGGGCGAGTCGTCGAGGAACGACTACCACCTTGCCAAACCTGGTAGTAGGAGCACAGTCGGAACATATGCGGAGATAATCCTCCTACCCTTACGCCGCCTACCAATCCGGAGCACCTTTGCACTGTGGCCCAAGAATTCCATTGGATCGTCTTCACGCCAAGTTGATACATGCTTGTTTCGTAAACAGGCTGACGAGTTTTCTTACTGGAATTTTTTCCTAGACTGGGGGCCACTCTCCTTGGGTAACCTCTTCCGATTCTGCCGGACGCTGAACTTCAAGCTCGCAAACGAGAGGCGGCTGGGCAAGGTGATCAACGTCCAGGGGACGTGACAGAGTGTGTTGTCGAAACACCAGCTAAAAAAGCTGGGGAAACGTTT